GGTTGCGGCTGTGGGAGTGCGAGTCGAGGCGGAAGCCGGTGTCGGTCATTGCTGTGCTTGCTCGAGGCAAGGTTATGACATGGTGGTGAGGGGTGGAGACAGAGCAGCTGAGGTGGAAGCTTTACATACCTGTGTGAGTGTTAGTGCTCGACAGCGCTTTTCTTAGTGGTTGGTGCCTCTGAACAAGTTACCCTACATCACAACAGCTAAAGGTGTATCCCGATGCTTTCACTCTGCATCTGCATGAGGACTGATGACATGCAAGTCGAATGAATACAAGGCAATGCCTCTCCAGAACAAATCTTCTGCAAAGCTTTGGTTGCGATATCGCTTACCCAAAGCTCGATGTTGTCATCTTATTACCTACCTAGTATCTAGTAGCTCCCCCTAACAATCTAACTCACAGCTACATACCTAGTAGACTAGTAGTAGCTTCATGCTGTCCAACAGCTTACCAAAGCATCAATCGCAAGTCTTCAAAAGGGCGCGCAATACATGCCCACGATCCCCGTGCTAGACAAAATAGGCGGCAGTTGCCCGCTTCGAGTCACAGCTACACTGGTAGTAGTCATAGTCATACAGAAGTAGCATCTCCAGAAACATCGACTAATATCAACCCCCCCCCGCGTCCGGAGCAGCTGTGAGTAATACATCAAGTACACTGTTCATCGTCTATATAAGGCATAAACCTCGCCAACCTTCATCACCATCACCATCACCATCACCGGCATACTAATTCAGCCAACCACCCGCCCCGCCCGCAATGGAACTCCCCTTCATCACCCTCGACGTCTTCACCCGCACCCGCTTCCGCGGCAACCCCCTCGCCGTCGTCACCATCCCCCACGACATCAAGAACAAGCCCACCCAGCAGCAGAAGCAGGCCATCGCCCGCGAGTTCAACCTCTCCGAGACCGTCTTCATCCACGGCGTCGCCGACCCGGCCGCCGACCCCTCCCGCCGCATCGACATCTTCCTCACCTCGGCCGAGATCCCCTTCGCCGGCCACCCCACCATCGGCGCCGCCGTCTCCCTGCTCCGCCCCGACCCCGCGGAGCCCTCCGCGCACCACCACCACCCCGTCACCGAGCTCGTCACAAAGGCCGGCCGCATCGCCGTCAGCCGCATCGGCCCGGATTCCGCCTCGTCCACCTGCACGCCAAGACCCTCACCGCCCACGCAGGCATCTTCGCCGCCGACCTCCAGCCCAACCCGGACGTCCGCCGCCTCGAGCTCGACGCCCCCGTCTTCAGCCTCGTCAAGGGCGTCAGCTTCGCCCTCGTCGAGCTGCCCTCGCTCGAGCTGCTCGCCCAGGTCGCCGTCGGCCCCGTCGAGTTCAAGCCCCACGGCTTCCTCGACGACGGCTGGCAGGAGGGCTTCATCGGCCGCTTCTACTACGTCCGCACCGGCGACTCGACAGCCGACGACGATGACGACGGCGTCCCCGTCGTCGGCCTGCGCACCCGCATGATTGCCGAGGGCTTCGAGGATCCCGCCACCGGTGCCGCCTCCAGCTGCCTGGCCGCCTACCTCAGCATCCACGGCCGCGACAAGCAGACGACGCCCACGCGCCGCTACGACTTCACCCAGGGCGTCGAGATGGGCAAGGAGAGCTCCGTCCGCGTCGACGTCAGCCTCAAGGACGGCGCCCTCGACACCGTTCTACTGGCCGGGCCGGCAGTCCAGGTCATGCGTGGAACCATTACCGTTGAATAGAGAGCCATAGGGTTCCGGGTGAAAAGAGTCAACAAGAATGAAACTGCTATACTTGGTCATTCATACTTGCATATAGTCTTTTGCATCTCTGAAGCTGTCGCATCATGAATTGTCATCCTAATCCCAATGTTATCCGGCCAGGTCATGAACCTAGATGCTCCCATATGCGCCGTGATATCGTCACTTCTCTCGCTCTTCTCCCCTGCCGTAAAGTTAATTTATCGTACATCAATACAAAGTTATTACAGTTATGCCGTCCGATCGGGTCCCCGCCCTCTTCTGTGTCTTCTGGCCGGAGAAAGCTGAATCCCAACTTTTCTTTGACAATCGCAATTTTCCTTTCCGTCTAATCCCAAAGAAAAAAGAAAATAAAAGAGGACAAACGCGTACAGCGAAAGAGAAATACCGAGAACGCAGAAACGAGCCAACAGGACAAGAGCGTGAAAAAAAAGGAGAAGAGGAAAAAGGACAACATAAAAAGCAAGCAAGTCCCTTGCTCCGCCGGCACCAAGATCATGCAATAAGGCTCAGGGGGCTCTTTCTCCAATGTAGTTTCGTGGCCTCGTATCGAATCCCCATCATTCATGTCGATGTAGCCTATACTCGTTGAATAACTGAGGCGAACCTCTCGGCAACCTACGTAGATGATGCTTGTTAGCTGTGTCTGTGTCTTTTGCGCTCAATTTGGAGGCGTCGAATTGCAGGCATACCTCTGGAGTTGATCTGATAAAGGGGAGGTCGAAGAACATAATCTTCTCGTTCTTGCAAAGCTCCACAACCGTGTAGATGAGTCCCCAGGGCTGCGGCCAAAACCCTACCAGCCGCTCCAGGAGAATCCGGGTAATCTCTTGGCGAATCTCTGTTTCCTCGGGATCGTTCATGTCTTTCCCAAAGATGTGCTGAATCACCTGGCTGAAAAACTCGGTATGAGGGTTGGGGAACCTCAGCTGGTTCACCATACTGGCCACCAGATAATATCTGGCGTCAGGAGCCAGCTCGTGCACCAGCATAGACAGCATGGCAGCCTCGGGCTCGTTTCCTGAAATCGATGAGCCGGCGGCGGGCGGCGACCGCTCGGTGGCATGGTGACCAGCATAGAGCACAACTGCACCGATGATCTGAGCGTTCGCGGCGACGGGCACGTGGCCAAACGTGGTCTCGGTTGACGCCGTGATGGTGTGTGCAATCTGCGCCACTGCCTCTTCTGCTGGTCCGTTTTGGAAGACCTGATCCAGCACGCTCAAGAGCCCAGCGTCTGTCAGAGTGGCAACGGCCTCATCGACAAGGCCGGGGTATGTCCTCAGCTCGTCTACCCGATCGCCCTTGAGGTTATCGACGGGCTTTCCGTAGTTTTGCTGAGGAGTAGCAGTCAGGACCGTGTTGATCAGCTGGATGCAGTGCGTCGGAATAAGGGCGCAGAAGCGAACGTGGTTGGCTGCCAAGAAGTCGGGGAAGTCGTGGTGCAAAACCACAAACAGTTTCACCGTTCCTCGAGAAAGCTCCTTGCCGACATCCGAGACAGTGAGTGACTTGAGCTGCTCGCTCACGCAGCGAAGCAGCTGGCAGACAAGGTCCGCAAACGCCTTCCAACCCGCATTGTCTGCCAGCTGCAGCAATGCAGGCATAAAGGTTCGATGCGAGACGAGCGACAACCACCCAAATGCGAATGCGGGAAGAGCCTGGGGGCCGATGCTCTCCAGTCTGGTGGCAAGTCTCAGCATCACGTCGCGGCGGTCGTCTTCCGGCAGCTCCTCGCAGACGGAATGCAGTTCGTGGAAAAGCAGCGACAGTAGGCGGAAGAAGACCCTTTGGTTCAGATGATCGGCGCGATTGATGTGATGGTGAGTGAGGACCAGAGACACCAGCACCACAGCCGAGTCAAGAAAGGCTGCGCGTGCCACCAGCGTTTCGGAGGACATGCTGGCAAAGGCGCCGATGAGTTTCGCCAAGGCATCCGTTGCCATGAACGCATCACCGAGGGCCCCGGTGTGCAGAATGTGCTCGTACCGCTCCACCGAGACGTCGACGCCGATGCGCACAAGGAAGAAGAAATCGTCGCGGTTGCGAATGACTTGCCTTGCCTGCAGCTGCTGGATGAACATGGTCGTAGCTTTGCTGGATGCGTTGTGGTTATTGCAGAGATGCACCCACTCCTCAAAGACATACTCCAGCTGGTCCTGCTGCTCCGCTTGACCCTCTGAGTCGGATACGCCTTGCGGCGGCTGGGAAGGAATCGAGCCCATCAGCTTGTTCTTAAGCCGCTGACCGGTAGCAGAGCTCGGCTCTTCGTTGACCCACGCCCACGCCGCCTCAAGTGTGCGAATGAAGTCGGCGTATAAAGCAATCGGCCGGTTGTTCAGGATTGTGAGGTCGAGCAGGTGCTCGAGGAATTCGAGCGAGTTTTCCTTGCGAGCTTCCAAGACCTTGGACATTGCAAGATCAATGTTTCGCCAGTCGAGCAGGTCGGTTCGAATCAGCGCTGCGAGCAAAGGCAAGCTCAGGAAGCTGGGCCCCGGCTGCTGAGCAAACAAGGAGCGGACTCGACTGTTCAGGGCCGGACCAGAGATCTTCCTCAGTGTCTCCAACACGTGAACAAGGCTCTCAAGTGTCAGGTTGTCCTCAACCTGCTGGAAGATGAGTGCACTGATCTGCTCGGCAGCATAGATGGCAAACTCTTCCGAGTTCTGGGACGTCTTGATAATGAGCTGCACAAGAGCATCGACAACATCGAGGACGGGATGCGGCCTAGGCAGTCCCACGAAATGATCCTCTCGTGCCTCTCCGGCCACGCGCAGCAATTCCTGCAGCAGCTTGTTGACTCGCTCCGCCAGACCTCGAACATCCATTTGGAAGCCAGCGGCGGCTCGCCCGTTGCCCATCGCATTGGCGGCGGCAAGGCTATGGACTGGCGCATAGGGTTGCATCTGCGCGCCCAGCTGTTGGATCGAAGGAGTCTCTGCGGGGGTGGGAATGTTCGGCAGGGCAGTGTACGTCTCCTGGAGGACCTCGTTTGCCAATGACCTTGTGGCCTCTGATGCAGATGGAGCGTGGGACGCCGCCGTGGAAGAAGTGGTGCGAGGTTGCCTGGCAAAATCTTCGTAGATGGCCATTTGCTCAGCGTTGAGGCCGCCGGGCCTCGGCTGTATCTTGTACGGGCTTGGGATCGTCATGGCCCATCGGTTGATTCCGGTTGGGTGATACGGCTCATTTGGATTCTGAAGACGATGCCGCCTCCTGTGCTCTATGTCGCTCTCAAGCATCTCCTCGATTTCCGGGACAGCTCGCTCTTCAGCTTGCTTCTCAATGATGCTGCAAGCCAAGTCGAGATTGGAGTTGACGCACATGATGATGGTGCCTTCGGGAAGGCCCGAAGGCAAGTCGTTGGCAAGGCTCCTCATGTAGTTGGTCAGGTTTGCTCTCAGCGGTTCCTTGGACGTGACGAGGGCAAGGCTGCCGGCAGTAGCCTTTACCATGTTGATAGCCGACGTTCGGACGCGGTTCTCGTCAGGCTCGGCAATGAAGTCTTTGCGAATCATCTGTTGTGTTGATATGGCAGCAATGGTGACGGATCTGTCGACAACAGGCTGGATGATATCCTGGAGAGCGCGAGTGAGGGCTGTCCGAACAATCTCGTGCAGTCTGCTGGTGCTGACCACCATTTCATTGGTGGGAGGAATGGTGATGAGCGGCCCAAGGTCTGGAATGGTTGGAACCTGGGGTGACAGACCGGGCCCAACGGCCGAGCCAATCCCGTTCAATGACAAGCTGTCAAAGGCTTCGAGCTGCTCCTGCACAAGCGCGTCTGATTCCTCCACGACAGGGCGGTTGAGGATTTCTCCAGAGGGTTCGATGCTCTTGTGATCGAGATTCAGCCCTTTGCACAAGACCTCGATTTCGAACTTGAGATTGAGCTTCAGCTCGGCGTGGTGATAGAGCTCGATCAGCAGATGAATGATATCCATGAGCCAGGGATTGGGAGGTCTGAAAACTGCCGAGTTTGCCGCTTGGATGAGCACCTTGCAGACGAACGGGATGACCACGATGAGACGCTTCGTGTCATGGGCCTCGATGAGCAGTTGCTTGAACGCAATGTTCCTGTGCTTTATCGGATAGTCGCGGGCAAGGGTGAGCAGACCGAGCCACCCTCCGAGGTTCTTGAGGTGCGATCTCTCTGTCGAGTTTTGCAGAGTCGCTTCAGAGTTAAGCATCCTAGACACACTGATATACGTCTCGCGGAGAACCTCAGCCCAGAGAGTCTTGTCTTCAAACAGTTTCACCAGCTCCAAATACACGTGATGGTAATTGGGCTGCATCTTTGCCCGTTCCTCGACAAGATGGGTAGCGAACCACTGCTGGTACCTCCGTTCTAGCATGTCGCGAAGCTCAGCGCACATGGACTGCAGCGTGCCCTCGGTGATGTTGTTCAAGACAAACTGGATCTTGCCTTGGGTTTCATCATCGGGATCTTCGAATTGAGCGTCTGGAGGTGGGGGGTCGACGCTGATGGCTGTGAACGCCGGCGCAGGCCGGTCAGTGCTTGCCTGTTCGTCACCGGTTCCATTGGCAAAAGCATCGTTGGTGAAGCCCCCTCCATGTGGCGTGCCTGAACCATTGCGAGCACGTGCAAGCTCCTCCTCGTGATCTCGAACAATTTCCTCCGCCTTCTTGAATGCCTCGGTGCCTTGAAGGCCGGGAATCTGCAGCAGCTGCTTGCAGAAACCTGGCCACTCCCTGAGACGCACCAGAAGTTGCATAAGTGCCTGAAGGCCAAACTTAAACATTGCATCGTCGGGTGTATGATCCCTTACTGCCTCTAGAATCATGCCAAGACCGATCTTCAGGGGCAGGTCGGAAATCAGCTTGTGGGATATGATGCCGCCAAAGAGAACTGCGGTGGTGGCGAGAGCTTCGAGGGGATAGTCGACGTAATGGTTGTACTCATCGAACAAGCCGTGAATCATGCAGGCGAAGACGTCTTGGTCGAGCGGATCGCGCGAATGTTTGTAGCGGTCCAGTATCTCGACGATTGTGCGAACCTGTATCTCATCGCCGTACATCTTCTTGTAGTGCTCCTCCATCTTGCTATTGGCGGCCTGTGGCAGAGCATTTCCGTCCTTCCCGTTCGCATCAATGATATCATCGTATCCTTCCCCATAGTTAATCAAGCGAGGGTACGCAGTGATGCAGTGACGCTGAACCAGAATGAGATCGAGGACCGGCGCTTTGGGAAGGAAGTCCTCGAGTATCTGCAGCAGGGCCGAAACGGTCCGAACCTGGAGACTGGTACTGGTCTTCACCGGTGGCTGACCATCTGGCGGACGCTGGAACTGAATCTCGAGGTTGGCCTTGATCATGAGGAACTGTAGCAGCGTTCGAGCAATCTCATTACTCCGATCGGCGTTGTACTGTGCCCACTTTGACAAATCCAAGTAGCCCTCTGCGTGAGCAAAGGCCGCCAGGTCGATGCCAAAGCCATTGGGAAGATAGACCAATTCCTCCAGCCAGTTATGCTTGGCGGCATGATCGAAGATGAGTGGAAGATCAACAGGCTTGATCGCATGCGCATCAATAAGTCGTTGAACAACCCACTCCTTGTCCTTCTTCCAGAGGCTATCGAGCACGAAGTCGTATTCGGGGGAACGCTTGTACAGGAACGTCTCGAAGAGAGAGTTCAACGTATCAATCGCCATGGCTGCCCAGGATTGCCTGGGAACCTCAAAGGCGGAGACAAGGAAAATGTCGAGGTTTGGGACGACAACTTCTTGGAACAATCGCTTCGCCTCAACGCTCTGCGAGGCGTGGACAGAGTTGAGGGCAACGTTGAAGATTGCTGACAGTGCGGCCACGGATACAAGAGGATGCTTGACAACGGCGGCAGCACGTTCCTGCACGTTGGGTGCAGAGTTTGCGTAGTCTTCAAGCGTAATGCTCCGCTCAAGGCCAGGAATCGTGGTTGCGTCGAGTTGTTCGGGCCCCAGGGAAGCATAGGCGCTCACAAACGACAGCTGCGCTTCCGGCTCGCTCCAAGAACCGCCCCAGAGTCGCTGAATGTCGAGGTTATTAGCTGGCTCCTCGGCAATTGGCAGCAGAGCTTTGTAGAGGCGCAAGAATTGGGCAGACGAAATGCGCGCTGAGGGCTGGTCGAAACAAAGGACAACTTCTGTCCAGTCGAAAGTCTTGGGCACATGGCGTTGGATGGCTTTGACGAGGATGGCAGGGTCGTGTGGAGGGTTTTGGCTGATGGTGGTGTATGTTAGTGCAGCAGAGACTTGCTCGGGACCGAGCTGAATGTTGCTAGGACGGCCTCGCAGGAACTGGAAACACGATTCTTCATCCTTTGTAAATTCCGGTCCAGCCTTCTGGATGTAGCGAGCCAACGAGTTGGCAGGCCGATCAGCCAGGACTCTGCTGATATCGAGAGCCGCCAGCACCTCGGACGGGGGCGCTTGATCGACGGATAAGTATCGCTTTGCAACAGCATTCTGAAGGTCTCGGCGGGAGGCGGCATTGAAGCTCGGAGGATAGTATTGCAGAAACCTGTCAATGATGAGTGAAACAAAAGCGGGCGTCAAATCAGCGTGGGCTTCGATGTCCGGTCGAGAGATGATGTCCATGAAGGTGGGGAAATTAGTCGACAGGATAGCATCCGCTGCAGTGAGGAGAATCGTTAGTCGCAAATTGGACGAGTAAAACAAGCATCAAGGTTAAAAATAGGGACAGCAGGTAGTATCTCGCCGTACCTTTAGTCTTCAAGTCGGGTCGAGAGCCCAATTTGAATGCCAGAGCTAACAATGTCTTTTCCAGTGCATCGAGCTTGAAGTGCTCCATGAACGTCGACAAATCAAAGTCGCGGAATATGTCCTCCGTGCCACTCTCAATCGACTCTGCAATTTTTGTTGCTTGATCGGGATCGTGTGCAATCTTGCGCATCTCGCCGACGAGGATGTGGTAGTTGCCTGGGTTGGCGACGGGCCTGTTGAGGCCGGGGAAGATCTGGGGCGCATTGCCCGCCACCAACCGGGTGAAGTATTTGGAAAAGACCTCCATGCCGTGTTCATCGATAAGCTGTGGCCGGCGACTCCAGTTAGAGGCGTTTCCAGACCGCAGGGTTTTCTGACGAGATGCTGGCACTCACCTTTCTTAATTGCTCAACTTGCAGCTCCCACTTGGCACGATCCTTATCCTCCTTGATGGTGCTGAGCAACAGATAGACTTGGGCGACGACAATTTTCGTCAGGGAGTTGGCCCCCGTTGGACTGCTTATGCCAGGACTCGCGCCAGCTGTCAGGATGCCAGTGTGCGATGGATGGGGTGAATGATTACTGCCAGTTTGAAGAGTCTGCGCAGGATTTGGTGAGAATGATCCCGCTCTTTGTGGAGGGACCATGGAGGGAAATAGGCAGCGGTCGAGACTGAATCTTGAGGCGGCTGGAGGGCCAACGGCAGGTCGAGCGGCTGTAGGCGTGAGAAGAGCAGAAGGGACCAAGAGGCGCTCCTACATGCGGTGGGGGGTTCGAGGATGTTGAGGGGACGGGCGAGACTCGTCAAGCTGAAGCTGCTGAGGTGAAGCTTTGCTGGTGCGGGACGGCGACCAAAAGTCAAAGTGGGTTCACGTGAAGGCTCGTAGGTGTTGCCGGAAAAAAGAGGCCGAAGTGCCAGATGCAGGGAGGGTGAGAGAGGCTCGAAAGAGGCTCGGAGAGGGAGAGCGGGAGCAGCAACTGGCGGCGGCGGGGCGGCGAGGCGAGCGGGAGCGTCGAGATGAGACTGAGCGTCGGGGAGACTGGGGATTGGGTGCAGGATGGAGTGCGAGAGGCTGTCGCAGTGCCGCAGAAAGAATCGTAGCCCGCCTTTGTCATGACAGGGTGGCAGCCCGCGTTGGGCTGGGCTATCAGGTACGGTGCGCAATGTCACGTGACGCGGCTGCGAGCCGTTGCTGGGCCAACACGCACCGCCACATCAACCAGCCACTTCGGGGCCTGAGGTAAGGCGATTGGGCAAGTGCAGCGCATTGCTTGGGCGCTACCAGGGGACTTACAGCCTCTTACACGCACCTAAACAATACCTACCGCTGCAACTACGCGCATCGTGCATCTTGCATCTGCAACAACTCATCCGCCTGCGTGTTGGCTCTCCAGAGTCGAAACTACTACCAAATCTCTACTCCTGTTTCCAGCGTCGGCTTCGGCCCCCATCCTTCGAATTGGCACTCACTCTCCCCCTTGGGCCGCAAGGCAAGATGCCTGCCGCCATAGCTGACGCCCCGGCCGTTGCCATGTCCTGTCAGTGCATCGCGAACCCGCGCCAGGAGCACACCCTGCTGACAGTTATCTCGACGCAGTTGCCAACAATTTCTGGGGCAAGGACGATGCTGGTGTCGGCCCCCTTCTGGAGCGAATGATAAATTCGAAGCAGACCTGCGACGAGCTCAAGAACTTCTATGGCGGTGAGGCCCCCCGGACCAGCCCCGTACGCTGCTAGACGTGATGCTGACTTTGTCATGTCAACAGTCCGAGCTGCGATCGAAGATGAGTACTCCCGAAAGCTGCTGAACCTGAGCAAGAAGAACCTTGGGTCCCACGAAACCGGAACGTTGAAGGCTTCCCTGGACACGGTCCGCGGCGAGCTCGAGGCCATGGCCAAGCAACACCAGAACATTGCCGCGCAGATGAAGACGGAGCTCGAAGAACCGCTGGCCGCGTTCGCGGGTGGGATCAAGGAACGACGAAAGATTATTCAGAACACTGTCGAGAAGCTGCTCAAGGTCAAGATCCAGCAGACGAACCATGTCAACAAGGTGAGGCAGGCGCAATTGTCAAGGTACCCACCATTCTAAGATGCATTCATGACTGACGCCTGACTAGACTCGAGACAAGTATGAACAGGAATGCTTGAAAATTAAAGGTTATCTCGCACAAGGCCACATGGTCATGGGCCAGGAAGAGCGGCGAAACAAGGCCAAGCTGGAGAAGACGCAAATCAGCCTGGCGACCTCAAACACCGAGTACGAGAACGCTGTCAAGGTCTTGGAGGAAACCACCACTCGATGGAACCGGGAGTGGAAGGCCGCTGCCGACAAATTCCAGGATCTCGAGGAAGAGCGGCTCGACTTCACCAAGAACAGCCTCTGGACCTTTGCCAACATCGCCTCGACGGTGTGTGTCAGCGATGACGCCTCTTGCGAGAAGATTCGGCTCTCTCTCGAGAGCATGGATGTTGAGACTGACATTATTACTTTCATCAATGAGCGTGGCACAGGTCAAGAGATTCCCGAGGCCCCCAAGTATATCAACTTCGTCCGTGGCGATGTTCACGACGACCAATCTGAGGCTTCCGATGATGACAACAATTATACCGTGGCGCAGTTTCCTCGGAGCATCAACCCGGCCTTCCGCTCATCGTCGCCCCAGCCTTCTACGTTCGAGTCTCACCATGACCCCAACTCCCCGTTGGCAAACGATTTGGCCCACAGACCTCCCCCCAAGCCCACTGGTCGTGAGGGCGCGGCAACTCCTCAGAAGAGCCCCCAGAAGTTGCTTCCTGCCGGGCGACCGTCCATGGACGACCCCTATCGCAAACAGCAACCTCCGAGTATGGATGATCGATATCGAAAGCAGCCGCCGGCGGTTGAAGATCAGTATCGCCGACAGCAACAACCACCTGCTCCGGACGATCAGTATCGCCGACAGCTACCTCCTGCAGAGGAACAGCAACAGCAACCGCATGGGAGGCAGCCACCTGCGGCTGATGACCCATATCGTCGGCAGCAGCCCGGGGCCGATGATCAGTACCGGAGACCACCCCCGGGGGCAGAGGATCAGTTTCGAAGGTCGCAGACGGGCTCACAGCCTCCTTCGCCATACGACAATCTGCACCAATCTCCAAAGCCGACAACCCCCCATGACCCTTATCCAAAGGATGGGATGACGATGCTGTGCCGCCCTGGGGCGCCATCGGCCAGCAGCCCCCAGATCCAGTCTGCGAGACCCTCTAGCCGAGATTCCCGCAGCGAGTATTCCGATCCTACGTCGATTTCCAGCCAGGAGCCCCAAGCCGGCAAAATGTCTCCAGTCAAGCAGGATGCACCGACCTCGTCAAGCCCCGATAAGCGGATGATGAAGAAGAAGAGCGGCTTCTTCCAGAACCACAGCCCCTTCAGACGCAAGAGCACCAAGGATTTGCAAGCTGCCGCCGCTGCCGGCAGTCCACAGCCCGGCAATAGAAACACCTGGCACCCGTCTCAGTCTCAGTCTCAGACATCGACCAGCCCTGTGCGTCGGCCTGCGCCCTATGGCAACAGTGAGCCGCAGACTAGGAATCTGCTCAAGGAACGGACCGCCAGCCCCGAGCCGATCGATGCGAACGCCAGTTTGGCTCTTGGTGTCGGTCAGAATGTTCTGCCGGTGACGACGCCAGACACCAATCGACAGAAGCCACAGCAGCCGGTTCAGAAGGCTGAGCCGGCCGACCCAATCGCGGCCGCCTTGGCAGAACTCAAGAATGTCAACGTGAATAAGCAGGCCTCGGTGAGAATGTCAGCGGACCACTATCACGGCATTTCCACCCCAGTTCCGACCAACGATGCTGCTGCCATGACGCGGGCCTTCCCAGCTCCTGGTAGCCATGATGCTGCTGCCGCCGCTCGCGGAACACCTCCGCCTTCGTATCAAGCACAGACTCAGGTGACGAGACTGGGCGTTCCCCCTCCAGCTGTGACGTCCAGGGCCATGAAGGAGGCTACCCAGAAGATCACGGGCCAGGCAAGGAGCATCTTTGGCGATGATGGGCGCCGGGGGTCCGTAAGCAACCCTGCGTCGCCAATTTCCCGTCCTGGCACTCGAGGCAACGACGCGTCAGGCTCAGTTTCTCCAGGCGGCAACCGCGGCGCATCCCCTCAACCTCAACGGCGAATGAGCAACGATCCTCGACAGATGGGTCGAAACTCGGTGTCGCCAAACCCTTACATCGACCACCGCCGAAACGGCTCTCAGGCCAGTCTGGCGCAGCAGAATCAAGGATATTATCGCGGAGCCTCGCCCCACGGATCGACTCGAGGCTCGACCAGGGGTGCCTCGCCGAACCCATATCAAGGCGACTACAGCCATTCTCCGAGCCGTCCGCAGAGCAGCTACGGCGGCTCTGAGATGGCGATGCAGCTGGCCGGCGATGATCGATATGGTTCGACAAGAAGCCGAAGCTCTATGCGGCCCGGCTCTCGCGCCATGGGCCTATACGACGGAGGGCATCAGCGAAGCAAGAGCGTCGCTGATCCATCTCGGCAGTATAATCGAGACGGGCGACCGATTTTGCACATGGGTATGCTTTCTCTCTCCTCCATCTCCCTCTCGATATGATGTTTGAAGCAAAGTGACTAACGAAGTCTCCAGCACGCGCATTGTACATGTATCAGGCCGCTATTCCCGAGGAACTTGGCTTCGCTAAAGGCGACTACCTAGCCGTCTTCCGTCATCAGGATGACGGTTGGTGGGAGGCAGAAGTCCATGGCGGAAATGGCCAAGTTGGGCTGGTCCCAAGCAACTACCTCCAGCCGTGCTGAGTGCTTGACGATATGACGGATGGCTATTGTGACTTATGGCGGCTTCTCCTTTTATCCTGTCTTTTTCTTTTCTTTTCTTTCTCTGAACCCCCTTTTGTTCTGAATGATCAACATGACGTGTCTCTTTATGGCTTGATTGATTGTATATGATTTGATGATGTTTTTGCAATGTTCGCAAAAACGCCTGACATCCGACTGTTCATGTTTGACTTATTTCGTTTATAATGATTCGGCTCAATATTATCAGCTGTCGCTCGTTATCTTCAGATCCTGTCGTGTGCTTCATTGGTGTGAGAAGAGATGATATTCCCTCTTCGCGTAATCCACAGAGAAGAGCCCCTTCGGCTGATCTTCGTCTGCATAATAACTGTATGCTATCCGGTCGCTGCAGTTGAGATTGTTGAGAATTTCAATTGCTGGTGCCTAAGAATTCAGTGAAGCTGTTGTGTGTGCCCAATGTGGCAATGACCTTGGTGAACCGACAGGGTACTTGTGCTACCCCGCCGCATGCTGGGTAGACACAGCTACAGAAATTTCAGGAGAAAGTATCGGGAAAGTACAGGCGATAGGCTAAGACGTCATGTTAATCACATGCTCCGGAGCTCATGTCAGTAACGTCGAACGTCTCAAGAGCTCTCCCTACGGCATATACACACACCAAGCTTGGAGCAAGAATCTCTTCTATAATTGCGCATACCCTCGCGCTCCACGGGGAATTGAATCTCCGTCCTAACATCAAGCTTGTATCGTCTATGGAGTGATCGTCCTGAGCATACCTAGTCATGGTAATTCCAACCCACTGCAAAGCGCTGTCTTGGCCCAGGCTCATTCTTGCTGCGTGCGACAGGAAACATTCCGCGAGACGGCGCGCGTCGTCACCTCGAAGCCTGTCCAGAGGGCCGTCGTCAACACCGTGCTGCTCGTGTCGGGAGCTGTGACGCTGCTCTGTCTGGCCGCCGTTGCCTCTGTGCTCTTCTTCCAAAACTTTGTGCCCGACCAGTTTATCACGACGCCGGTCCATCTACAATATGGGTAGGTAGCAGCAACCTGCTGCGTGCTTGCGATGCTTCACAGGAGCAATCGCTAACGATATGATCAAAACAGGCTGAGCTCTCACCCATACGGCGTTGCGGCGCTCGCCGCCCCAATGCTAAAGTCGCGGCAAGACTACGACATCTCCGTCACCCTTTCCATGCCGCGGTCTCCGCCGAATGTCGAGCGAGGGAATTTCATGGTCAGCCTATATCTGTTGGATGCAAAGGACAGAGCTGCACTGGCTGTGGACGCGCAAAAGTTTGCCAACGACCACGCAGGTTTCGAGCAGAGCAACGTGCTATTCAGCTCGCGCAGACCAGCTCTGCTCCCGTACATTGATCCCGTGGTGTCGCTGGCTTCTCGCATTCTGTTCCTGCTATATCACTTGATCGTTCCGGCAGCCCAGACTTGCGTCCTCAAAGTGCCGGTGGCGGAACGCGTCGCCTTTCCAGACTCTGCAGTGCCCTCGTGGGCGTACGTGGAGGTCGAGGCGGGGCAGGGGATCCAGATTTACAGCGCTTCCCTGACGATGACTGCGCAGCTCAGCGGCCTTCGATGGCTCATGTTCCATTATCGTCTTCTGACTTTCATCACCTTTACGATGCTGTTCTGGGTGTGCGAGGTCGCGTTCATGAGCGTTGCTTGGGCTGTTATAAGTTCTCTTCTGGGCGCGTCGTCTGGCAACATGGATCTCAAGGGCCAGAAAGGCCAGCGCCGTTCTACAACGGAAGGCTTTTCAGACTCTGAGGATTACGGAGAGGACTTTGAAGGGGATGACGGGTCTGATTATCCGCAACAATTTCCTACCTATGGGAGCCAGCCCGCTTTGAAGCATGAACCAGACGTCAAGCCCGAAGAGGAGCATAAGCAGCCGCTCCACGAGATTCCAGTTGCTGGTGAGGAGGCTGATGACGAAGATGACGATGGCGGTGAGAAGTCGGCTCTAGATTCGGGTATTGGAACGAGTTTCAGCGGAGAGACAAGCGGCAGCGTTCGAAAGAGGTCGTCGCGGTCAAGGCTGGAGTAGCGGCATGAAGTGCGAGAAGCCAGCATTGCGTTGTCTGCGGCACGGCACTTTGATACCCCGAGACTGGAAGCAATGCGATGATATTTCGAGTTCTTGTTTGATATTTCACTACGTCTCTTTTTCTTTCTTTTTGATATCAATGTTGATAGAATGGACAGGCGATGTTATGCTCGTAGTGGGTAGCCGGCACCCCAACTTGAGGAGCATCTAAATGCAAGCTTCTTATAACTATCGACTGAGGAGAAAGCATACTATCTACAACGTTAGAAAATTATAAAGCGGATAGTCAAGGCCGAGATGCTGGCTAGCCAACTCCTAGTTCAGCGTCCAGTTGGCGGGAAGAGTCAGCCACCGTATTGTTGGCCTTCAACTAACGCGGTCCATGAAGTAAGTGGCTCATGCTATTGCTGAAGAAGTCATGACGCAGAACAGTCGTAACCTTTGCCGAAGGTCCTCAGTTTATGACAACCTCGGTCATTTTCTAGGACTTTTTCCCCCGTGAATCAGGTCAGTTTCATCACTCAAGGCCTGAATTGTATTCAAAGTATGAAGCGTCCGTCAAGATATTGGTATGGGTGCGAGTCCATGGGTGTCGTCCCAAGCGAGGCTCTGAGAGACACAGCATACCTGCGTAGGACCCTGCGGGAAGCGGCGTCGGGGCTCCAGGGCGGGGGTATCACCGAGGTACTGGACGTCTGTTGCCAGTTGATGTGATGTGCTGTACCTTAGTGGCGCTGCTAAGCTGCATGATCTCACGGGTACCGGCCACGGGACGCGGGACAGTTTGCTGGTGCATGTACGCTGCAGTACTCCGTTATCAATAGAAAAGAAAGAGACAAACTTTGATCCCTGCAGGTTAGGGCACAATCAACGCATTAGCAGCCTGCGAGTCGGTGCCAGCACATGCGCCAGTTTGCGGTGGAAGGAAGGCAATCTGAGCTGGCTCTTCAGGTACCTGTAGGATGCCGTGGCATTCATGCGTGAATGTACTGTACTTGCCGCTGTCTGGTACTTGGGACAGCTGGCTGGCGCCCAAAAAATGCAATAAACAGAGGGCTGGGGCTCCATTTTGGGGTGGTTGAGGTGTGTTGGGTGTTCCCTGGCTTGCCCCGGACCTAGAGATGATCCGCTGCGGCGGGACAGCAACCCCCCATTCGCTCGCTACCAATTCCATTCACTTGAACGAAGGCCGTCCTCGGGTCCAGTGCTTATTTACGGCACCTCGCAGAGACATGAACAACGCCTCGCTGTGATTCTTTTTGCGTGTCAGGACCATCGTGAGCCTCAGGGTCGACTCGGCGCTCTCGTCTTGATTTTGCCCTGCCTTCTCTCCTCCCCATCTACTATACTGTGCGCAAGACACGCCCGCCCGCACGCCACTTCGCTCACGCAGGCGATGGATAGCTGGTGAACGTTGGAGCTTCGAGTCGCCAAAAGCTTAGCCCGCCTCCTCCATCCCCACCGCCCTCTCTTCGGACAGCTTCTCTCCCTCGTCTCCCCAACGACCACCAGCTCCTTGACCGCCCAACCGCTGGACACCACCGACAAAAAGAGCCCTCATCCTTCCCGCTACGATGCCCTGCTTCAAGGGTATTGCGGTGAGCATCCATGCCAATTCGGCTCCGCTCCCCGAATACGGCATCCAGAAGCAGTCGAGGCTGTCTCGCATTAGCACCTACATCCCGGTGCCGCAGCCGACGCTCACCGCGGGCAACAAGCCGGAGCCCGCCAAGTTCGCCATCTCCATCACGCTGCTGACGCCCGGCCTGCCCATTCCCTACTCGGCCCCCAAGCCGTCCGAGTCCAACCCGTACCCGAAGCCGCAGTTCGTCGGCGGTCTCCACCCCGGCTCCCAGAATGAGCGAGGCAGCAGGGTCGCCGGAGCCGTGGCTCCCTACATGCCCTTGACAAACTCCGAAAACGAGACGATCGCGGCCTACATCTACTTTGACGGGAGGGGCAAGGAAGAGGTTGCCACCTTGCTCCGTCCGGGCGAGGAGACCTGGGTCAACAGCCGCTGGGTCCAGGTGCCCGACTCCGAAGGCGGCGGCCTGGCCGAGCGCGAGTTCCTCTTCCGCGAGGTTGGCCTCGAGCGTTGGCTCAACGGCCTGGACCTCAAGGGGCACGACGCTGCGGAGAAGCTCGAGAAACGACGTCAGAAGTTTGAAAGAAGGAGGCGACGACAGGCTGCCACCTTGGAGGGCAACACGACCACGAATGCGGATGGGCGCAAGAGCACTCTGAGATATGGCGACGAGGCCTCGCCCATCGAACCCGTCTATGACGATTCCGACTCCTGGTCTGACGACGATGACGAACCTCCCGAGGCGACGGGCCAGATCAAAGTGGCTATGTTCCGCGTCCTGGCTTCAGGCGAGATCAAGAAGGGAGAATACTCTCCCCAATTCGACGCACACGACGGAGATGACGAGTACGAGAATGGGAACGGAATCGACGCAGACGTTGAGCACACGACTAGCTTTGCCAAGCCCAAGACGCTCGATCCCAAGACTATCAGCACCCAAACCGTTACCGGAATCGACGGTCCCGACAAGCCTTATGCTACCTTTACATTCTTCTATCGTGGCGAAAGTAAGTTTTGCCTCTTTTTCTCCAGGATTGATTTACAACTCCCCTTACCCTCTTTATCCATAACCCTGCCACTAACACTCACATAGGACAATTGCAAAAGATTGGCGTCCTCCAGTCGTCCAAGAACAACCCCCAGACGACCCCCGCCGCCGCGAAAAGGCGATCAGGCCAGATTGACTTCTCCAACCTAGGACCTCTCAAGGCTGGCGGCACAGTCGGATTTTCCGCCTTCCGAGACCAAGGAGCTGAAGAAGCACGACGGAGAAAGGCCAGGAAGAAGAGCAACGGCAATGCCGCCGACGATAGCGATGATGACGAGGAGGAAAGCGAATTCCTTGGCAAGTTGGAAGAAGTGGCCGACAAAGAAACCAGCACCAAGCTGGCACCAGAAGATGTGAAATTCCAGGGCGAACTGGCAGATGGCGTCAACCGCATACACGTATGACCAACACCCTTGAACACTTAACCGGGGCGGGTACTGACATGATGATTCACAAACAGCTTAAGAGGGCACATTCGGCCGACCCAGATGCAAACTCCACCCCGGAGACCTCCCAGCGAACCGACTCTCCTGCCGATCCGGGCTTTCTGTCAGCACCGAACTCGGGCCTCCAGCCAAACTTCGACTCTCTCGCTTCGGCAATGGTTGGCAGTCCGCTTAAGAAGGCGAGGCCAAGCGCCGAGCCAAGCAATATTGGGGAAAAGTTCTCTGCTACGCATAGCTTGAGTGCTGCCCTGGGCTCTGCTGTTTCCAGCAAACCCGGATCCCCAGACAAAGAAGTTGCTGCGGCTGCGAAGCCAGAAACCAAAATAGAGGAGGAGGAGGAGCTGTAGTGGTGGCGACAACTTGCCAAAGCACGCTATGACTCGGGAGGGAATTTGACAAGATCAAATCACCATTTCATAACGACTTTCTTATTGGAATGACCAAGCGATGCATCAGGAGCGAGCCGGCCTTGACCAAACAACAATGAATCAGTCTTTCGACGATACGCACCCTTAGGGGAATGGACCATGATGTACGAATGATCCGCTGGATGCGATTGAAGCCAAGTATATTGTCTTTTTTTTTTTTTTTCTCTCTCTTAACTTTTTCACTGGTTTTGGTAAAAGGGAGAGTCGGATAAAAGTGCGGACGGAAACAATGAAGGCGCCTGGAGCCTCGAGATGTCCGTTGGCGATGCATGATGCTGGCACAACGGCACTTGATGAGCACTTTTACATAGGCTGCTAAGCTGAGAGCTGGGGCTATGTCGGCTGGAGTTGGATTCTCCTTCCTATAGACAATAGCGATGACCTAACGAGCGGCGCTTTGCTCACCCAGCGCTTTTCTTCGTACACGACTCTACGGGATTGCTTGAGAGGTTGGGTATACTATATGGGGGGATTTGAGCAAAGGAGAGAAAATGGTTAGAGGAGTGCAACGGAAATCAAGATTCTTCCTTCTTTTTTTGGTTTGGTTTCTGGCGATGATGCTTTCGAGTGTCGACTAACCCTGCCTTTATCTTCCTTTTCTATCCTTCTTATATATCCGGAAATCTGTGAAATGATGAGCAAGCAGTGTTCCTATTAGAATATGCGGACTTTGCTGCCTTTTCGTCGTGCAGTGTCGCAAATGTCTGGATTGAGACGCAGTGTCGCCGTCATCTCGGCGTGATGCCGTGTTGAAGGATTCGAGGTTTACGCAAGGCGCGGGGTACTACAGCCGCCGGCTTCTATATAAATGTACAAGTCGGTTGATCTTGTAGAAACCGAAACTGTAATCGGACCATTCCGTGCTTTATAGGAGAAGTGCAAGGAAGACAAAGGAGTGGTTTATCCTGCTGTCAAAGAAGACGCTTCTCACCAGCCATGGGCCGACTATTGCGCTTCCTCCCAGCTCTTCTCGCCTTTGCCGTCATGGGATCTGCTACTGGGGATCATGTTGCAAGCGCAGCGGCGGCGTATCACCCCCATCCAGACGTCGACGCTCGACGGCAACAGAGCGAGCAGAAGCCCTTTCACAAGTATGAAGGGCCTGCTGCTGCTGGAAAGGAGAAGAAGAATCCGTTGACGGCGGAGTTTGGGGAATTCGTGAGGGAGCAGCTGGACAAGTGGAAGGTTCCTGGTGTTGCGGTGGCGGTTGTTGATGGGGATGAAGTGTATGCCGAGGTGTGTCTTTTTTCTTTCATACACCTTTTTCATCTCAAGGTTTAGTTTTTACACATTGTGATGAAGTGATATCGGTGGTATCTGGGAATCTTGTTCTGAATGCTGTGTTACAGGGCTATGGATATGCGACGCTGCCGGATGTCCCAGCCACCGCCGAGACGCTCTGGTACGGCGCCTCGACGACGAAGGCGCACGTAGCAGCCGCCCTGTCCGCGCTCATCCACTCGGGCAACCACTCGACGGCCCTGTCTCGGGGCTGGTCGACGCCCATCGCGTCCATCATCCGCGACGACTTCGTGCTGCAGGACGAGTGGGCGACGAACCACGTCACGCTGGACGACGCCGTGAGCCACCGGACGGGCATGCCGCGGCACGACATGTCGCTCCTCAGCGTCGCCGACGGCGGCAGCAGGCCGGCGACGCCGAGGGACGTCGTGCGCAACCTGAGGAACCTGCCGCTGGCGGCGGAGCCGAGGCAGGCGAGCTACTACTGCAACTTGATGTATGCGACGCTGTCGCACGTCGTGGAGACGGTTACGGGGAGGTGGCTGGGACAGGTGCTGAGGGAGGTGATTTGGGCGCCGCTGGGGATGGACTCGACGTTTTTCGATTTGAAGAGTGCTTTGGATGCGCCGGAGCATATGGCTTCTGGGTATGCTTGGGATTATGAAAGGGGGGAGTTTGTGGAGATTCCCTATATGAACCTGACGGAAGTCAGCGGCGCGGGATCCGTGATATCAAACGCGCTGGACTACGCCAAATGGATCAAGAGCTTGATCCAGCAGTCCGGGCCTCTGTCTGAAGAGGTTCACAGGGATATCCGGACGCCGAGAGCGTACTGGGGTGGTTCTCCCGACAAGGGCTACGATCTTCAGCTGTATGGGCTTGGCTGGATCAGGACTCTACACGAGGGCCATGTGGTGTACACTCATTCCGGGGGAATGCACGCGTACGGAACCGAGGTGTACTGGTTCCCGGAGGCCGAGTATGGGGTGGTGGTGTTTGGAAACACCGCGACGTGCCATGTCGTGGAGGAGGTTGTTGGGTGGAAGCTCATCGACGACAGGCTGGGTATTCCTGAGCGGGATCGTTTTGATTACGCCAAGAAGTAAGTTCTCGCATGGGCACACCCCTTGAGATGCGTATGATGGGGATTGCTAATGTGTGCTACTCCTACCTTAGGTGGAAAGAAAGCCAGGACAAGCTGACTTGGCTGTACGAGAATGCCGTGGACGTGCTCTACCCCGAGAGACCGGATCCCGTTCTGCCCTCTACGCTGAACACGAGCGAACTGGTGGGCACATACTACGACCCGGGCTACGGCAACATTACGCTTCGCGAAGAGCCTCACCCAGATAAGCCGGGCGAGAAGATTCTCGTCGCCGACCGCCCGGAGACGACGTGGAAATACTCAATGCACTTTTACCATGTCAGCGGCGACCATTGGATCGTGTACCTGCCGGCGCCGATATACAGCGGCAGCAGGTTCAAGGACTTTCAGGCCGCGGAGTTCAAGGTGGGCGCGGACGGGAAGGCTTGGGGCGTCGAGGTTCTCATGGAGAGTCGGACGGATCCCATGCCTGAGGGTAAGGTGCTTTATAAACGAGTCGTGTGATGAAAGCAAGCGTGGTGGTTTTTTCTTTCTGCGTCGTTGGGAAGCTGTAACTGTGATCCTGTTAGCCGGCTGGACATTGCGTACGACAGAGCGTATATATGGAGGATCATTGATAGAGAGAGGTTTTGAGAGTGCGTGATTGATCAGACAAAAAGTTGGTGATTAAGAATTCAACATGAAATTCAGTTGGCCGTTCTTAAGTTTTATCATCAGGAAAGAGAGGGAAGTTGAGCTGGCTTGAAGCACCAGATGCTGCAATTGACTTACCATTGGGTCAGAAATATGATCTATTGCAGCGAGTATGCCGCAAAGAGCTGGAGAGCTCGTTTGTCCATCTGGCCCTACTGAGGATCAAGAGTGTGGAAGAAAGATTCTTCAGATGAGGCTGTCAAATTTTCTGCGGCTCGAGATATGGAGCAGCACCCTCTTATATGCATGAATCCGCTTATCAGAGCTCCCCGTCCACCCCGCTATTCACTTACCCAGCTACCGGAGAGCTGTATGCGTTTACGCCGCATTATTCGGGCCCGCGCAAAGAAAAACATGACGCTGGCACTGTGCTGTCCCTCTCTCCCTACCCCACCATTCCATTCCTCCCAAACGTCCTATCGTCTCCCCGAAAGCCTTTGGGCACATTTTGCGACAACTCCAACTTGCGAAATATCTCCCTGCCGCTTATTCCAACGTTTGTCCCTCCCGATCCCCCCCTCCTGATCTGTCCAGCTGCGGCCGTCGCCTGTAACGCGAAAAAGCTCACACTTTGCTCGCCCAGTTTCCTCCCTCCCCCCCGAAGCAACAACTCCCGCGAAAAAGCACACAAAAACCGCCAAAATGTCCAGTAAGACATGCATCAACCCCGCCACAGATGCGCGCCAGGAGCGGTACTAATCACGCATATGCCCGCATAACAGTCGAGGAAATCGCCAGTATGTAAACACTTTCGCCGCTTCAAGCTCTTGTCGCCAGGGAGGTTGGGTTTGGGAGCTATTTTCTAACGCGGAATCTTCCTCCTGTCGTAGAGCAGTTCGTCAATGGCTTCTTCACGGGGATGAGCACCAACATCCAGGGCCTCGCCGCCGTCTACGTACGTTATTGCGACTCTCTTGCCTGAGCGATATCTCGAAAGGGGAGCCGTTTACCAACTGATGTCGGGGGCATACATAGAACGCCAACTCCGTTATGACCTTCGAGTCTCAGAAGTTTGAGGGTGTCCAGGCTATCCTGGAGAAGCTGACGGTGAGCATACACGAGTCCTGCGAATTTGGACGCGCCGAAAGAGCTCCGTCTAACTGCCATGTAGAGCCTTCCCTTCAAGATGAGCGGCCACCAGCTCTCCACCCTCGACGCCCAGCTCGCCTCTGGCGATCTCCTGATTCTGGTCACAGGAAAGCTCAAGGTACCGAGTTCGAGGAGAAGAACGAATAGAGAGAAGGACGGGGAGTGTGCTGGGGAGAAGGACATTACTAACTTCCCTGCTTGTAGGTTGACGAGGACGAGAACCTGATAAACTTTGTCCAGAACTTCAAGGTCAGCGTCGTTCAGGGCCCCGGCGGCGAGATCACTGGCTTCACCGTCAACAACGACATCTTCAAGCTGGTTTACTAAGCCCGGGAGAACCCCCTGACGGAAGAAAGAAAAGCGTGGCTTGTGGAAGTGGGCGAGCGTAATGGCCGGTCGAGGAAGAGCTTTAGCAGGAGATGAAGATACGGACATGGGCCGGGAGGGGTGGAACAGATAAATGGTTAGAGATGTGATGTGCATTTCTCGAGTCTATGGGTCATGAGCTCCTTAGACAGATTTTTTTCTCGGAAAATTCTCAAGCTTTCTGGCATAGTCCAATGCAACTTGCTGGCGTCTACAGAAGTGATGCTCCTCTATGGCTGATGGTCCCTTGGTCCTTGGCTATCTCATATTCGGGCGGCTCTATATACCTGTCTCCTTCCTACTTTACTCTTAGGACTGTTGATATCTGGTAACGGAGAATTACTGCGTGCTCCTGATATTCAAAATATGCCCCTATTTATAAGTATCGTTTACTTATGCTGCTATGTAGGCAACTCCAACTTAGGATCTTAGTACTGGATAGCCAACCCCAGTCCTTGAGCCGCAATATAAGCACTGTGTGAACTGTAGGCATCCGGTTGCTTCCCACAGTGTCTGGCTAGGCTGCGTCTCTGCCGCGGTTTGGGTGTGCCAGTTGCTGGGGCAATTATGTCATTGCTTTGTTGGCATTTGGTACCCAAAGAGGCGTGACAAGTGAATCGTGCGGCCGCAAGTGACAAGGCGTGTCTCGAAACTGCACGGGTTGCGTGAATGCAGCAGCCGAGAGCCTAACTACATTTCTGCATCATGAATCTATATAAATCCCCCTGAATCTCAATTTCTTTCACCATTGAATCTCCATCTTTCTCCAATTCCATATACCCAACCCTCTTACATAGAATCCAAGTTGAGGCCCAATCGATAGCAACTCCCACGCGGGGGGACCCTTGAAGCCTTGCCCCGCCATCACCAACATTGAAGATCATCCCACCACCATCACCACCCAAAACAAAGACCAACCCACCAGCAATGGTCAAGGAACGTGCAGCGCCCAAGCAGCAGCGCGCCGACGACGACGATGCCGAGAGCGACACCGACATCTCGGCCGTCATCGGCGGCTGGTCGTCGCTCCAGGGCAACAACGCTGCCGCTGCCGCAACCGCGCATCCCACGTTTGGGCACCCGACCAAGATGATGTCCTCTCGTAAGCAGAAAGCCGACATCTTCATCCGTCAGAGGACGCGGCCCGAGCACCACCTCGACACGCCGGTTGCCGGCCCCAGGGCGCCGACGTACCAGGCTCGAAAGGCGCCGCCGCCGCCCATGTTCAGCTCCGTTGGGTCGACTTCGACGTCAGCGACGACGACTTCGGCCCCGATGATTACACCGCCTCCATCGCGGTATGGAGGAGACGAGGTCTTCTATACGGATCCATCAAAGGCTCAAGAAGATTTGAAAGCTTTACTCGAGGGAGGCATTGAGGGCGATGACGACGAGGGCGTCGAATCTGACGGGAAACAAGCGCCATCAGCACAGGAGAAGAAGCCCAAGGACGACGCAGCGCCCAAGGACCCCAAGATCATCGCCAAGGATGGCGTCGTGGCTGGCCTCAAGGTGCAGCTGCTCCCCCATCAGGTAGAGGGCGTCAATTGGATGCGCGGCCGCGAGCTGGGCCCGGTCAAGAAGGGAAAGGTGCCCAAGGGCGGGCTGCTCGCCGACGACATGGGGCTCGGCAAGACGCTGCAGTCGATTGCCCTCATCCTCCTCAATCAAAAGCCAAAGAAGGACGAGCCGGGCTGGAAGAGGGGCTTTTCGGGCATCGACAAGACGACCCTCGTCGTTGCACCTCTGGCGTTGATCAGGCAGTGGGAGTCGGAACTCAACGAGAGGGTCGTCAGCACTCAGGGGCTCAAGGTTCTTGTACACCACGGGCCGCAACGGACAAAGGACGCCAAAGACCTGAAGCAGTACGATGTCGTTATCACGACCTACCAAATCCTCGTCTCGGAGCACGGAAAGTCGCAGGACGACGACCAGATGGGCTGCTTCGGGCTTCACTGGTGGCGAGTCATCCTCGACGAAGCACACACCATCAAGAACCGCAATGCAAAGGCTACCAAGGCCTGCTGCGCCCTTCGATCCGAGTACCGCTGGTGCCTATCCGGTACACCGCTGCAGAACAATCTCGAGGAACTGCAGTCACTCGTTCACTTTCTTCGCATCCGGCCCTACGACGACATCAAGGCGTGGAAGGAGCAGATTGAGCTCCCCATGAAGGGCGGCAAAGGCCACATCGCCCTCCGAAGGCTTCACAGCTTCCTGCGCTGCTTCATGAAGAGGCGAACAAAGGACATCTTGAAGGTCGATGGCGCACTCACACCGGGCGGAGTACCGACAGCCGACGGCGCAGCCCCGGTCGGCGGGTTCAGACATACAAACCGTAAGGTGGTTACTGTCGCCACCGAGTTGTCTCCTGCAGAGCGCAAGTTTTATCAAAAACTGGAAGCCCGTGCCGACCAAAGCATGACGAGGATGATGAAGGAGAAGATCAGCTACGCCAACGCCTTTACACTGCTGCTCCGACTGAGGCAGGCCTGCAACCACCCGAAGCTGCTCGAGGGCAAGCTGGGCGAGGACAAGGATGCGCTGTCAACGGACTCTGGGAACACGAAGCAGCAGGATGCCGATGTCGACTCGGTGGTCGATCTGTTCTCTGGCATGGGGATTACCACGAAACATTGTAGCATTTGTGGTCGGCCGGTCGAGAAGAAGGAGCGCCAAGCTGGAAGTGACAACTGCGCTGAATGTGCTTCCGATTTGGCCTACTTTTACGGTGTTGAGGAGGAGGTGGACAAGGCAAAGAAGAAGCCAACCAAGAAGTCCACCAACTCTACAGCCTCCAAGTCCAAGAAGAAGGGAGGAAGCCGGAAGCATGCCAGACGTCAAAAGGCAGAAGAAGAGGAAGAGAAGCCCGGAAAGAAGTCACGTACGCCACGAAACCGCAATATTGTCATTGATAGTGACGATGAAGAGGAGGGCGGCAAGACAGATGAGTCCGACGAGAAGCCGAGGCAAAAGGCTCACCGCAATCGGAATCTCAAAGCCGTCATTGATAGCGACGACGAGGAAGAAGAAGAAGATGATGATGAAGGCAGCTGGATCGTCTCGGGTAGCGAGCGGGGAGCTCTACGGCTCGGCAAGGCTGGAGGGGAGGAAGATGAGAACGCAGAAGGCGGCGGAGACTCGATAGGATCGGAGGACTCCGAAACCTCGGAAGATGAGGATGAGGGTGAAGAGGGTAGCAACCTCGACAGCTTCGTGGTGGATGATTCAGTAGCCCGAAAGGAAAAGGGGTACAAGTCTGTGGACGAGGCGTCGTCGGATGAAGACTCTTTGCTGTCCATTGCCGACATGACAAAGAGCTTTGCGGCGCAGACCTTGGGCGAGAAGAAGCCTCGTTCCTCCAAGTCTAGACGAGCCATCTCTGTTTTTGACGACGATTCCGAAAACGGCTCCGCATCCGAAGAGGATTCAGAGGCCTCGTTTGACGCTTCGGAAGAGGCGTCCTCGGACGACGACGACGAGGAGGAAGAGGAAGAAGAAGATGATGAAGAAGAAGAGGAGGAGGAGAAGCACCTATCGGCAACGACCAAAAAACCGCTCTTCTCCTCCGCCAAGATCCGGGAGCTCACCAAGCTCCTGCGCGCCGAGGCGCACGAGCACAAGTTCATCGTCTTCTCGCAGTTCACGTCGATGCTGGACCTGGTGGAGCCGTTCCTGCGCAAGGAAGGCTTCCGCTTCACGCGCTACGACGGCAGCATGCGCAACGACGCGCGCGAGGAGAGCCTGCGGCGGCTGCGCGAGGACAAGAGGACGAGGGTGCTGCTGTGCAGCCTCAAGTGCGGCAGCCTGGGGCTGAACCTGACGGCCGCGACGAGGGTCATAATCATTGAGCCGTTTTGGAATCCTGTAAGTTTTTGCTTTTTCCCCTTAATCTCCCTCCACTTCTTTTCCTTTTTCTTCTATGGTGATGAGTAGAGGATTTCAATGTACTAAATTATCGTTTGTAACAGTTCGTCGAAGAGCAAGCCATCGACCGCGTCCACCGCCTCACCCAAACGGTCGACGTAGTCGTCTACAAGCTCACCGTCAAGCAAACCGTCGAAGAGGGCATCCTCGACCTGCAGGAGAAGAAGCGCCTCCTCGCCGAGCAGACCATCGAGGGCTCCTCCCGAAAGGGCGCGCTCAAGCTCGGGCTCAACGAAATCATTGACCTGTTCCGCCCCATCCACACGTCTCGCTTTGGCAACAACGACGACGATGGGGCCTATGGCGCTGGTGGTGGTGTGGATTCTGCGGAGGATGAGGAGAGGAGGAGGGCGAGGGATGCGGTCAATGCGATGAGGAGGGGGGTCAAGGCGAAGGCGCAGACGGGGTCAGGGAAGAGGGCGGAGGATGGGGCGTATGGGAGGAGGTGGTAAGGGGTGGGGGGTGCGGCTGTGAGAGTGAGAAGGGGGGACGAAGTGGTGGGTATTGGTATGAGTATCATGATTTACGAGTAAAGATTGTATGAGCACTGGATTGGTTTCATGACATTGGGCGAGCTTTTTCGCCGTTTAGCTCAGACTAGATTATATCGAGCATTATCAGACGATACCTTGATTGTTTCGACTGCATTCAGATTCCATATCACGGGCATCCTCAACGCATATTCACTGTTCACCAGTAAGCTAGAGGCGAGTGTAGCCGAAGAAAAGCTGTTATTGCTACTACCCGACTGCCTCCATCCCATAATCCACGCTAGGTCAATCATTCCATCCATGTAACCAAAAAGATTCAAGCAACAGGAAAACACATCCTTCTTCCTCCGTTAAGAGATACAAAAAACCATGGACAATCGCTCCCATGTTGTTGTTTCATTCAGCCCACTTATTAACATGCCCGTGCTCCTCAACGAATTACATACACGCATAACCGACTCAGTAGACGCCGGATTGGCGATAGTAGTCGTTTGGAGCCGGAGCGCTAGGTTCCGACGAGCCTGGGGGCACATACGGCCTATACTGCGGCCCTGAACCACCGGCTGACTGACTGGGCAGCCCCTGGCGGGCGTCGTACGCAGCACCGTTGGGCTGCAGAGGTGGCGGGCTCATCACGTTGGGAGGGCGCTGTGAAGCCTGGTTGGGAGGAGCAGAGGGTGGTTGCTGGGGAGGCTGGTAGCTCTGGTATGCTGGTTGTTGAGTATTGTACGGAGCTGTAGGCTCGTTATCCTTCGGGTGAGGCATCCCAGGGCCTTCTTGAGAATAGACGGAGCTGGAGAATGTAGCGGCAGAGGTCGGGTTGTTGGGAGCAATGGGAGAGTCGTAGACAGATGTGGCCAGTTCCTGGGCGCCATAGGTGCTTGGTGGTCCCTGGGTTGGAGGCTGCTTGAAGGGGTTGAAGTTCTGGGAAGGCGATGTTGAGGTGTTGAGAGGGGGAGGCTGGTTGCCATTGCCGGGTATTCTAGGACCGTGGTCGCTCGGAGGGTACTGTTGCTGCTGCTGAGCAGCGGGTGGCTGACCGGCGGCGGCATGAGTCGGCACCTCAGACCCTGCTACGTAAAAGGGCGCGGGCGGCGCTCCAGACTGCGGGAAGTTAGGTGGAGGGGAAGACGTCTGTTGGAACTGTGGACGGCCTTATGCCAACGGTTAGCAACTCGAGCTGACGGCAGTGTCGGCCTGCTCAGTGTGGAAGCGTGCGGGGGATCGAACCTTGAGGCCCAGGAGTGTAGAATCTCTGGGGATCCTGCTGCTGAGGCTGGGGTGGGTAGGTGCCTGCTGGGGGAGGATAGGCCTGCGCAGGGCGCATGGCATACTGTTGGTAGTTGTGCTGAGGAGGGTGAGACATGGACGATTCGAGCAGCGCTTCATAGTCTCTTCGGGCTTTGATGAATTTCTCATTCAACTGCGTGAAGTCATCTGCGCCGTTTGTTAGTCTCTGCTCAACGACATGCAAGGGACGGGATATTGCCTACCCTTCTTCTGCGAGTACTTTTCGATAAGCTTGATCAGCTTCGGGCGAATGGCAAGCGTCTGGTGATATAGTTTCTGCACGAAGCATGTTAGCTGGGCAAAGTGCCTTGCATTGCGAGTTCGGATGCGATGCGTACCGAGATCTCCTCGTTGTCTTCCTCCCGCGGCCCCGTGTTAGAGGCGCTCAACAGCGTGAGCAGCTTCTCCACGTTCTTGATCTCTGCAAAGACCTCTGCCTCCATCTGGGCCTCTCGTTGCATCTCCTCGGGCGTGGGGTCCGTCAGCTTCTCAACGTAGTTGAGAGGGAAGATGCCCGTCTTGCCCTTGAGCGACCCGCGCCACCAGTCCTTGTACACGCTCTCCAGCACAGCAATGACATCCCCCTTCTTGAACTCCAGCTCGCCGGGCTCGGTAGGCACAAAGTCAAAGAGGGCGCGCACCCTGCTGACCGTGGCAGCCGTAGTACCCGAGGGCACCGCCGTAGACCCAGGGGTAGTCTGCTGCTGCTGCTGTTGCTGACTGCTGGATGAGGCCTGTGAGGCCGGCGTGGCCTGGGCCGGCTTCTTTCGTTCCTCGTCCTGCAAGCTGAGCCGGAGTGCCATCTGCAGCTCGTCGTCCTCTTTCTGCCGGTCTTGGTCGGTCAGGCCCTGTTTCCGGGGCGCACTGGGCGGCTGCAGCGAGGGGTTGCTCTGCTTCAGCCTGTGGAAGGCGTCGTTCATGATGCCCAGGTCGGCGTCGCTGCTAAACATGTCGCTCCACTCATGCATCTTCTCCAGGATCTTGCTCTTGACCTGCTGGTGGGTGTTGCGATCGTTTGCCAGCTTCAGCAGGGCCTCGGTAAAGGCACGACTGGCAATTTCGCGGTGCATCTGCTTCCCGCAGTTCTGGCAGAGGGCGTGCGCAAGCTGGTTTGAGAGACAGAGTAATTAGTTGAGCGTGATCCTGAATTTGCCTCTCGGCCTCGGTGCTGGCTGCGAGCGGGGGGAATGACGCCGGCCGGGGGGAGGGCACGAGCAAAGGGCGCAAAAGGAATGGGGGGAAAAGGGCAAGACGAACCTCAAGAGTATAGAGCTGAACATTGGCGTTGCGATGGGCGAGTCGCTTGATCATGCTCTGGACGGCTTCCTTGGAGCCGTTGGGGTCGCCAGACACCTTGTCGCATACTTCGATGATGGCGCCCCAGTCCTCCGACGTCAGATTCTCGTCAGTCGCCTTGGCTGCGATGGTTTCCGTTAGCAAATTGCGCAAAGGGGGATGAAGACGCCGTCTGCGTCTTCCTTGGGCGACAGGGCAGACACTTACTGACGACCTCGTCAAACGGCCCAGCCGCCGCCGCTCGGAACATGGCTGCTGCTGCTGCTGACGACTAGAAGAGGTATGACGTTGTTTGGTTGAGGTGCTAACGCTGGTGCTAAGGCGGCAGCTCGAGATGCGATCGGGGGGGAGAGTCGCTGGAGGAGAAACTGATGGGAAAGTTGTAGGAGGAGAAGTTAAATCGTTTATCGGCCGAGGGCGAAGCAAGTCGACGACGGAAGTGCAGAAGTTGGGAAGAGGAGCGAGAGAGTCGTGGGAGAGGTTGTCGAGTCTGAGTTGGCACACAAGGTGCTAAGCTTAACGGAGTCGGTAATAGTGCTGGTTCACGGCCAGGCAAGTGCGGGTACAGGTCCAGGTCCAGGTCCAGGGCACCTCCGATGCAACAACTTCAGTTGAAGGCACTCCGTACAGTGCAGTGGATTATGCCGCTTTGGGTAGGGCATTGGAGATGCGACAACTGGGCTTCCAACTCTTCCATCCAATGACCGGGTACATGTACCTTGTTCTTGCGGCGAAGAATGCAGCCATGGGGTTCGCGCAGCCTGCAGTCTGCACGCAGTTGGTGAGGAAGCTCGCCTCCGAGTTCGTCATCCGCAGCAAGGCACAAAGGCCGCCGTACCCGCAGCATCTTGCACCCTAAAGGTACCAGGTACCCAACAAAGCAGAGGCGGTGGATGGACAACTCCTGCGTAAGTCTATCTACAAGCATATTTGGGCAATGTCCCAGGCTTTCTCCTCCTTTTGCAATATTATGATCATCATCAGCCACCTCCGGTACCTGACAGCATCTGCTGCTATCAAGTAAAGTACACCTGCAGGCAGAGGCTCAGCACCTGATTATGTGGTTGGCCGCGCCACTCCTACGCCACTCGTTCGTGTCCCTCTAACCGCCTCATCCTCTGCTGCCATGTCGGCCCATACAGGCAAGGTAGATTTAGTAGGACTATACATACTCGTAGGCATTCACTCTCCGCGAATCATCCCATGCGGAATTGACAAGTCCAGCCCTTTTGATTGAAAACCCCTCGTCTACTCTGTACTGTACATCGCCTCGAGGCTCCATATGCCCTCCAATGCCAGCACTCATCGTAGATCCAAAAAAACCCTTGCCAAAAGACGTCTGTCTTCCCAGGTGCCTACCTATCCAACCTATCCCGTCATTAACCAGACGATATATACACACGCCCACTTCCTCACTCCCCTGACCGTAAAGACTAATAACAACACGGCAAAAAATGAACAAACCCGCTTGCCAGTCAAGAAAGGAGAGATAATGGAGCAAAAGTTCGTAGAGCAGGAAAGTGTAACTCCAAGTACCCATGCCGTCGTGGGGGCTTCCTTTGTCACCACCATCCAGAAAAGAAGAAAATGAAGGAGAAAAAAAGACGCATCGATGGAAAGAACAGAGAGAAAGAGGGGGGATGAAGCAAGGGTTTTAGGAAAGATACCGTCAACGCCGCCAATTCAAAAAATATCCAAATCAACCATTAAAACAAGCTGCTGTCTTAGGAACCCAGGACTGAGGGTTCCGAGATAGCAAAAGATGACCAGTAGTCTATCCACAGTCTGTGTAACGAATCAATCAAGTCAGTCAGTCTTTACTTAGAAGCAAAACTCGGCATCTCTTCTGAAATATCAATCACTCAGCCCATCCTCTTCGACTCGTGCCTCGTGGCTCAAAAGAGGGTCGATCAACGGATCCACTGCCGCGACCTTCTTCCAAGCTTCGCCGTCCCAGAGCGTCCATCTCGGAGAGCGTAAAGACAAGCGGCTCCTCGCCAACGGTCTCGTCGTCTGGGCGGCCAAGCCTACTGGTCGACCCAACGAAGCTGCCTCGGGAGGAATGCGGAGGAGTGCTCCGACGGCCGCTCGCCATGCCAGGATATCGCCGCCGCTGGAAAGGAGAACTTGCTTGCGCCGAGGGGATGAAGCCATCAGGGGGTGTGTCGCTCGCCGAACCTCGCTGTATCACATCGGAAGACTCGGCAGTCTGGACGCCGGTAGCCGGCCGAAGCGGGCTGGACGCATCTTCCTGCTGCCCGGAACACTCGTCTTCCAAGCCCATTTGGCGGCCGAGAAGTGTGCTCAGCGTCGGCGGCTCCCGGTCGTTGGCCCCGAGACTGATGCTTCGGTGCGTAGCAAACGGTAGATCGGCCTCTTCATCATCTGCTGCAGTTCGAACCTGCTGGGCGACAGAGCTTGATCGGCGGTGGTAGACACCCAGTCTAGGAGATAGGGGAATATCAATGGCGGTCGCTCCGTCCTGGGTGCCGCGTGCTTGGCTTCCTGCAGTTCGAGAGTGTTGGGATTCTCGCTCCGGAGGCTCCACCCTCTTGTACGTTGGGGAATAATCAATAATTGAGTTCTCGCTCAGACGGGATGGAATCGCGGGCGTGTGCGGCGTATGCGGCGACACTGGCTTTCCGGGAGAGGTAGAGGTCGATAGCGAGATCGTCCCGCCGATGCCAGTGAGATTCGCCAGCTGTCTGCTGGAAACGGTAGAGGAGCGATTGAGCTGCATGGAAGAGGTCATGGACTCGGTCAGTGCGGCGTTGGACTCCCTCATCATCTGGAACTTGGACAGCTGGGCGACTGTCCTGCTCGTCGCGGACTCTCCCTTCTTGGTCGGTTCGAAGGACTTGAGAGTCTTCTTGCTATCCAGTGCCTTGAGAAAGTCGGAGATGTCGTCCTCCTCGGTCTGAAGCGAGCTGTAGCTTGCCGCCCCAACCTCGGCGAGGAATCCCGACCCTGGCTGCACAGTCGACGAGGCCAAGCTCTGCCTTCCGCTGCTGCTCTGCTCTTCGTCGCCCGCCCGGCTTGTGCTGCCAATTGACAAGCGACCTCTGCGGTGCGTGAAGCTGCTGCTGTACCGGCTGGCAGAGGCTGGTCGTGGGGATCCTGCGATGGGCGACTCGGTGGCATTGACGGAGGCTGGCCCGCCGCGCAGAGAGGCCGGCATGCCCGCCGTCAGCGAAGATCGGTTTCCTGGTTGTCGCAGGGACGGCAAACTGGGCCTGGTGAGCGAGGCAGGCGATTCGGGGTCAGTGTGTCGGGGAACGGGAGACCCGGAGAGCGAGCCAGCTTTGAACGGCTGGAAAGATATGGATGGTCTCCTTCGATCCTCAGCAACCCGGGCCACGGGTCTTGCCGCAGATGCTCGCCCTGACATTGGCAGCGAATGAGGAGCTGCAGCTCCCGGGTCGGTCTGATGAGGGAGTGATGCCGGAGGAGAGCTCGTGTCTGAGCCGGGCGGCTTGACAGCACGGAGGGCAGAGATGGGACTTGTGCCCAAGGGGTTATCACCGTGGAAGGTCGACAGGCTACCATATGTCTGGTGAACGTCATTCACGCTCACTCCGCGGCGGTGGTCTCGCAGCGAACCCACCTCGGCCATGTGCCGCTGGGGCAATGATGGCTTGAAGAAGTTTTCGTCTACTCCCATGAAGCGCGAACTTAAAAGTGACTCTGAGTCGTCCACGCGGAACGTGCAGTCATTGCGGTATATCACAGATGTGCACAGCCTCCCCACGGGCACATCAAGATCTCCAAACATGTATTCGGTGACTGCATCCCTCCTCCCATCGATCGAATTTCTTAAAAGATCAGGCCTTGACCTGTCCGGGTCCGACATGCGAATCCGGCATTGAGGGATCAGGGCGGGGTGAGAGTTCTTGATAGCGCCCTGGCTAGCAAACTTCCAGGCTGGGAGTAGCTTTGTGGCGACGAAGAGGGATCTAAAGAAGACAATAGCCTTTTTGTAAATGGTGGGCAAGATCGGTCCAAAGTCGTCTACGGGCTTGTCGGTGATGGACTTGAGTTCCACCCGCCATCGTTCGAGTATCACCTCGGTAGGTTTTTTGATTGTGGTGAGCGAGTCGCTGTCATTCGACGAGGTCGATGCGGTGAGCTGCTCTAAGACGTCCCAGCGCTTGCCGTCCTCGTCAATGATGACAAGGCTCTGGCTCTCCTTGAGCGACGACGCATCCAGATACACTTCGATAATCATCGGCGGAGGGTGGTTCTCAAGGCTGCCGCAGTTCTTCCATATCCTCAGCTCTTCCTTAAAGTCGTCGATCTCCTCGGTTTCGATCTGGAACTGTTGCTCATCACGTCAGGATCCCAGACTGCTTCTTCCATTCTTCACAGATAGTCAGGGACGTACCCATTTGTTGATTCTCGGCGCTCCGTTGGCGCCATGGATCGGCTTGACCTTCATACGCGAGGCGACGACGACAGAAGCAATTTTGGTGTGGAAGTTCTGCCAAAAACAAAACAAGTCAGCCTATCAAGACACATATTATACCCTAAGCCACCTAATGCAACGCACCTGGACGATCTGGTCCAACTTCTTTATTGACTCGGCCGGCGGTCCGGGCTGTTCCATGGTTGGCGAGCTCGCAGACTCCCGGGTCGAGAGATTGGATCCCGCGCGCGGCCGAGATCCCACCGCACCATCTCGAAGGCTGTTGGATCGCATGGGCGACCTTGCCGGCGAGGCGAGCCTCGGGGGCACTCGGGCTTGCTGATGCATTTCTGGTCAAATGGAAGGCAGGGGGTTGTAAGAGGCTGAGGGAGTTGCTTCGTAGCTTATATCGGCTCTTCGCAGAGCAGAGGAGAGAGAGCAAACAAGCAGGCGTCGGTCGATCAAACTCGGATGGGGGCGTCGGGCTGGAACTGAGACTGCTCTTCCATCGTTGAACGTGGGCGTTTGATTCCGAGAGCTTGTCGTGTTCCAAGGGATGGGGAGGCCCCGTCCAGGCCGGCGCTCGCGCCTTCGAGCCGACTTGATACCAGGCGATACGGGCAGCAAGGCAACCTTGGAAATCCAACCCAATTCCCGGCCGATGCGATGCAGTCAAACCGGATGGCCACTGAGGCCGATGACTGGTCAATCGTGGTCCGCGGGTGAAGGCAACCTTGGGCTAGCTTGGCCAGGCAGCAGAGGGGGATGGAAAAGGGCCTTGATGGGCTCGGCGGACAGGCAGACAGACAGACGGCCAACGAGAAGCGCGGATGGGCAGAGCAGAGCAGAGCGGCGCTACAGCATCGCAATGCCCGGGGAACGGCGAGGCGGAAGAGGAAGAAGCAGAAGAAGAGAGTGAGTGAGAGAGAAGAAGACGAGTTGCTGTGCCGTGCTGTACTGTGCTGTGCTGCTATTCCCAGCTGCAGCCAACGACTGCGAATCGATAAAGTCTGTGGAGACGAGTATCGTCACAGGACGCGAGCTCCTTTTAGCACCAGACAGAGTCACTCGCCCGACCCCGTGATAGCAGGCCAGGCCGGGCCAGGATGTACAAGTACCTACCCAGAAGCGGGAGCTGCAGCGCCGTCAGGTACCTGAGTCGATAGGTGCCTCTTACAGCGCCCTTTCGTCACACATCCGACAGCGCGTAAAGTGCTGCGCTGAAGGCCCCTGCAAGCGGTGAGCTTTTAGGTAATAAGGTAGCCCGCTTGGAAGGGATTACCTGGGGGGCGCGGAGAAAGAAAATCTGAGATTGGATGCTTCAAGGTTCTTCTTCTCTCGTCAGCAGAGACTGGAAGCTGATAAGGTTTGTGAGAAGCCGGGGTCTGCTGGAGAGGCAACACTGGAAGTCGGAGGCTGGAGGTCTGGCTGCCAGGTTGCGGGCAAGTACTCACGAGGTAGCGCGGTATCAGACACGGCGATAGCAGGTGGCACGGGGACACTGACGTGCTGAGCTACAGCGGCTGAGTGGGCTACGGGAAAGAAAGCTACGGGGGAGGCTAGGGACCTTTCAAGACGGAACCTGAAACGCGCAGCTACTTGTCGGTACGGCAGCGGTACGAGACAGCTTGACGATGTTTGGTCTCGTGCTTCTTGACCATGATATCGAAGGAATGGATATCAATCGCCACGATGCATCGCTGCTGGGGCCACGCCGTAATACGCTGGGCGTGAGAAACGCCAGGTGGTGGTAGTTTTAATATATCGAAATTGCTGAGGTGCAGCCGAGGACGTGAAGGGACGGGACCTCGGAACCTGTGCAAGGTGCTGCTGCAGTTGCTGCTGTTTGTTCTCCCACCTTCTGGCGCCGCCACCAACATGCAACTTGGACGGCTCAGAAACACTCCATCAATAATAAGTATGGACAACTACTAATCAATCAGACTCACACACAAGTTCCAGCACACCGCTGAGGCCAGGAAACGAGCACAAGCTGCTGCAGGGGAGGTTTTAGCACTCTTTGCTGCCGCCATCCATCCATCTGATTAGTTCCATCAAATGGTTTGATTGAACGGCTTCAGCGCCTTCCAGCCAAAGGGGTGGCGCCCGTCAATGCCGAACAGCGGAGGGCGGCCGCCCCTATCGCGCCTCCGTGGTTGGCCGGCTTTGGTCGTTGACTCGTTGACGTCGCCAGTCATGCACCTTCGACAGGCCGATTTCCCCTCCGGACTGGGCTGGAAGCTCCAATGGCTGTCGAGGCGACGTACTGCCGCGGTACCTGGCATAACAACGCAGCTTTTGGGGGGGCCAACAATTACTGTAATGTTCGAAGAGCCAGGCCAAGATGCCTTGGTATTGATTGCTGTTGATATAATAATAGACGACGTGGAACATGGTAAAGCGCACGTCCATGCACGCCATTATTGGAGTGACAGAGGTCGGACTGAGGCTGAGATGAACCAATCCCGGGCGCGGAGCACGCAAGGCTGTGGAGATGGTGAAATACAGTGGGAAGAAGAGGGAATCGACTGCTACATCTGCCTCATAAGTAGCAGTGTAATCATTGCCACAGCTCTACTGTAGAAGCAATTGAGATCATCGTTGGTCCGTTCAATACAAACAGCAGGCGTCTAAATCAACATGCATCATCTATTGATGATACCAGCACAGCCGCCGCCTCTCGTCCACTTCGGCCCCAACAACGCCATCACAATACTACGGCAATCAACGTCCTCTCCCATCACCAATAGAAGTGCCTGTTGCCCTTGGGTGGGACAAGACAAGTCTCGGGATTGGCGTCGCACAGCACGCTTCTCTCTCACAAGCCCTACTGAACAGGTACATGTAGTTTGTGTCGGTGAGGCCCTGGGGCTTTCTGAATGGCTGGTGTGGTGTCACCAGCAAGATGGCGCTGGCAGTTCCTGGTGAACGTGCCACATCATGATTGGTATTGTTACAAACAACGCACCCGAGCACAGGAAGCTAGGTATGTACGATTACTAGGTAACCACGGAGGATGAGATCTTCTAAAAACTGCCGGTCCAGCCGTCAAACACTGACAATCCGGTAAGCCAAGCATAAGTATAATCCAACAAATAAAGAACAAACCTATGTCCCACCTCTGTTGGCCTTCCCTCTGCCTCTCCCACCCCGGGACGCATTGCCGCCAGTCTTCGCTGCTTCCTTTGAACTCGTGCCTTCAGCAACGCCCGACTGCTGCTGATTGCTTGACGCCTCGGGGCCCCGGGCCTTTCCGCCCCTTCCCCGACGGCCACGTTTCCCTCCTCCTGCTCCTCCGCCTCCTCCTCCTCCTCCCTGCTGCTCTTCCTTGCCCTTTGCCCTGTTTTGCCGCCTGGCCTCTTCTTCCTGTGCACGGCGGCTCTCTTGGTCCCACCACTCTTGGAAAGCTTGCTCTTGTTGAATCTCCTGAAGTGATCGCTTGGCCACCGCCTCCTTGACCAGTTGCTGCTCCCTCTGCTGCTGTCCGATGATATCTGCCATGCTCAACCCCAACGTCGGTTCTGTCTTCTGCGCCGGTTTAATGTACGACTTCGAGTGCGGTATCAGAGGTTTGCTTGGCGCTTGCTTTCCCATTCCTCCTCCCGAGCCTGCTTGCGGCGTGGCTGGGGAGTTCCCAGGACGCCCCTGGCCTGGGAAACGAGTGTCTGGAGACGCTGTTCGTCTTTGTGCGGACTGAGCATTGGATTCGGACGCCACCAATGGTTTGGCATTGGTAGGAATCACGTTCCGCTGCGCAACGTCGGAGGCCATGGCTTGCTGCAATGACGTCTTGGGAACGGGGGCTGCAGCTTTCCACGGCGGCTGCTTCTTGTTAGACGATGCTGTTTCCCATGCAATCGTTTTGGCCTGCTCCTCCTGCGCTGCGGCTTGGGATTCTAGCTGCATCTGCATCTGCTTCTTCCGTTCCTTCTGTGACATCTTAGAGAGCGGCTTGCCAACCGACTCCTTGGTCATCTGGGCTGCTGATAGAGCGGCGGTCAACGCCGACTTCCCAGAAGCCTCGGACATGATGTCCTTCAGATCTAGCTTAGCGGTGGACAGCGGTGCAGAGGCCCACGGAGCGTTGGCTGCCGAGTAGGGAGATTCGGCCTCATTCTTGGGGGCCACAGAGTCCATGGTGGGCTGCTGCCGAGGAGAGGCGCTTAGAACAGATGGCTGCGGTAGCTCTGCTTTTCCCTTGCCTTTGGACCGCTTCCAATCCGCCGGGACCTTCGACATTGCCAGATCATCGCTACGGGCACGGGTCAACGGTGGTGACAGCTGAGGAGATGCGACACTGCTTCCTCCCGAGGGCCCTTCATCCTCCATGTCAAAGATCATGTCGGCAACGGAATCCTTGGGCCGTAACGTCGGGCTAAACGGCTCGTTTCGGCCCAGTCTGGATTGCCTGGTGTTCTTCTCCGGAGTCTCTGGCCCTCGTGTAGGGTCATCCAAGCTTCCAAAGCGCGCTTTGTACGCAGAAGTCAACCTCTTCTCCTCTTCCCTCTGTGCATGTTTAAACGCCATCTGCTTAACACGGCGTCGCCGCTCTTCTTCAATATCCGTCGCCAGGTCAGGATACTTCTCGTGAAGCAGCAGCTCCGCCCTGCCGCTTTTTGCAAATGGGAAGCACGCCAGCTGGTTGTCTCGAATCTTGTCATCCAGTTCGTACAGTAGCTCCTCGTCGAGGCTATCCAGAAAGTGATTTTCGAGCATCGATTCGAGCTGGAGGCACATGTACTCTAGCCCAGTATCCTTGAACTCCGCGACCGAACATGCACTGATCTCATTCAGGAGATTGGAAATGTTGCGGGTCGTCACAAACTTGCCAATCAAGGACTGGCATATTTGCGACAGTCTGTCAATCATGAGCTCGTTGGCGACGCTGAGCACATCCAAGACGAGTTCCGAGAATTCATCGAGAGACGCAGCCGACACATCGTCAAATATTTCCTCGCCGACGTCTCCATACAGGTACTTGAGCACATAAGAAAAGGTTTCCGGATGAATATGCTTGAGATCAATTCGAACCGGTTCTGCGTGCTGTGTTCCGTGACGACGGTCAGTCAGCCACTGACCTTGGGACCTGCCGTTGAACATGCCATCGAAAAAGGGACAGCGTTGGCAGAGAAACTGGCTGTGGACCGTCACCTCATCCCCGTCCAACTCGAGTATGACGTCGCCATCGTCGAAGAACACGGGATCATTGACTGCTTCCTGAAAATCAACATCGAGCGTCCGTTCCAGGCCTGCCTGTAGCCGAGCAGCTGCCTCCAACTTTGGCATATTGAGCTTTGTAGCCACCTTCATGAGGTCTGTCCGAACTTGACGGAAGCGATGGGCCATAACCGGAGCTTCACGGGTGTACTTCCACACAGGGATGATGTTGTCCCGGTAGGCATATACCACAACGTTCAGCATCGTGAAGATATCAACGTGGAGCAGGGTCAGTACCATCCTGTCGTCGAGTCTTTCAAGAACAAACGTCTCCGGTTGGGCTTGGGAGCCATCTAGCCGGAAGTCGGACAAAGCCGCGCGAAGGACGGAACTTCTTGCGGAGAGAAGCCATCCATGCACCGGTATCCTGATATCTGGCGCCGCAGAAGTGCGAATTTCAAGGTCAGTGTCGTACAAGAACGAGTTGGCTTGGAGCCAGCGGAGCAAGTCCGTTTCGATATCAGAGGAGCTCATGATTTGGTGCGCCACAGTACCGGGACCCTCTCTCACGATAGAAGCGTTCCAGGCTTTTCGTGACGGATCCCTCTCATGGTCGGTTCCGGGTGCCTGGAAATCTTTCAAGCAAAGAAGCGCGCCGACGTCATTCCAGAGGCCCTGTTGGCCTATGGGGATCTCCTGGGCCATGACTTTGCAATCCTTCCGAATGGCGGCGAAGGCACCAAATGTAGAGCTGCGTACGGCCACACAGTCCGTGATGTAAGGAACACGCTGGAACTTGAAGTCTTTCCTCCTCGCATCGACAGAGGATTCAAACTTGCCCTTGAGGCGCTTGATTCGTCTCCAGACAGCGCCGGATTCTGTGCAAATGATGACAGATCCATGCTCTCCGACGCCGACTGAAAGGACGCCATCTTTCCCTGAATCCCATATGCACTGCGGCTGCGTCACGGCACTCTTGATCTTAACAGGGTTGGTCGTGGAGCCAGAAGGGGCCCCGATATCACCCTTGTTGCTCACTTGCATGGTGAACAAATCACCACGAGCTGTAACTGCCGCGATGGTGTCGCCACCAGACGTGATGTACCGAATGTCCCTCCTCGACATCTCAGACATGGCTGAATAGAGGCTTGCGTTGAGCCTCCGGTGGAGAGCGGCATCGGGAAAGGGGAATCGGATCAGATTGTAGCCATAGTTTGTGAAGACCCAGACTTGGTGGTTCGATAATAAGCAGGTAGTGGCTCTGTCAATCGCCGAAACCATCTCGATCGGCGCCGATAGTAGAGATGCAGCAACCTTTCGAGGCGTCTGCTGCAGATCAAGCGATCTAGAGTCAGAATCCATCAGGGCAAGCTGGCCTGCATTGCGACCCCAGCAATACAGGGACGAGCCGGTGTGCGCCACCGAGTGGATGGACGATGCAGCAACACCGAGGACAATCTCCTTCTTGAGGGGCCCAAAAACTTGGCGCGGGACGAGGCTCATTGGGTCCTCATCCGTCCTCAGAGGAGGAGGCAGCACGTAGCCGAGTTGCGAATCAGAATTGAGGCCCCATGTCCACAGCTCACCATTTCCTACAACGGCCATTGAGTGATTTTGTCCCAATGCCACCTGGCTGACCTTTTTGTCCGCAAAAGGACCAAGGAGAGGCGTGAATCTGAACTGTGTGTTTTCATCACCGAGGCCTAGCCTTCCGCCGCGGCCAACTCCACAGACATAAAGGTTGGATATCGGGTCGTCGGTAAGAATAGCGCTATGCAGCTTGGACATGGCCACGTCCTGGATGACCAGGGGTCGGTTTTGAACCAGTGTAGGGATCGTTTCCAGATCTGCCGCGACGCTGAGTGGCGCATCGTCATGTTTCTGGGTCAGATAATCTTCGTAGAATCGGCGTATCAGCTGGTCTGATCGTTGAAGCATGATCCGCTCGGGATATTGCCGGTCGTCTTCGTCTCCAACTCCAAGGGACAGGTTCTTGTTGCTGCCAAACATGAATAATTCATCTCCCTCGGCATAATGCTTGTTAGCATTGGAGAGTTTTGTCGAGCTAGATGATTCGAAGTCAGCGCCAGAACCAGATACAAAGTAACGAAAGCTGAGATGTTGGCACTAACATTTGCTCAAAGTCGCCGTCACCATAGTCCGAATCGTCATCCATCAGAGATTGGACCAGCGTGTGGCGCAATGATCTCGCAGCGATGGTCGAGTTATACAGGTCAAACGGGCTGTTGCCCTCGTGATCCTTGGTCTTGATCAGCTGGCCGACCTTGTTCACGGCCCCAAGGGCGTGGTTGACCAAATCGTCACGCTCCTTGGCCAGCAATGCTCTGGCTATAGATGCATTTCCGGCATATAGCGACCTGTGGAGGGCGTTCCAGCCACTCTCGGGATCCTGGGCGTATAAGTCGATTTGCGGGTGATCAAGCAGAGCCTGGACAAAGGCCAAAGCGTTCGGATCGGTCGAGGAGGATGCGCGCAACAGCAGCGTCAGTCCGGCATGGTCCCTGCTGTTGACTTCCGCTTTGCCCAGACCAGAGCTTCCGTCTCTTGCTTTCCCAAGACCGGGGGCATAGCCCGACGGCTTGCGCGACTTGGTGGTGGCTCTCGGCGATGTCCCGACACTACCGGGGCTCGCTCCAAGATGCGATGCAGCGCCCACGGCTGGACTCCTCACCGCCGTCGTCTGGGAATTGGGGCCGGCCGGGGCCAGCAGACGCCGAAACTTGTCGACATCGTTTTCCCAGAAGTATTTCCACAGCAAATGACTCATCGGCCGGGGATAAGCAGCTGCAGGACGGAGGTGAGGCCCAGACGCCTGAAAAGGCACCTCGCTGTGAGTCTCGCAGGATCACGGCTTTTTTAAAGGTGCGATTCGAAGCGCCGGAGAGTTGCTGACGCCTCAGCCAGCAAAGTTGAACTGCTCTCTTGCGCCGGAAAAGTTTTCTCACTCGTCAGGATGCCGTGCGACTCGAACGTGGCGGCAGCGAGGCGTGCGTGTGTGGGACTCGACGAGCGTTATCGCCGGGTTTGCGAGCAGGATGCGGTCGTCGATGGATGGCAGAATCTCGTCGTTGACGGTATGTTGAGTCGAGATTCGAGTAGGAGGCGCTGATGTCGAGTCCCTGAGATGGATTCAGCGCGAAGGATGCAGTGGCGTTGACAGAAGGAGAACCTGGAAGTTGGCCGGTGATGATTATATCTCTCCAAGGCTTCCAAGCTCCGTGAACGTGGTCCCTGGTGGCGGAAAGGACATGAATCAGTCATGGCAGAAGCTAGATGGGGACTTGGAGCCTCATGGTTATAGGGCAAGAAGCGGGGCACTGAGAAGCTACAAAAATGGCATCAAGTCTCGGACATGATACTATGAGAATCAGGGGATGCAGTTACAGTTCTTTATGGCCTGATACCAGCATTTAGGAAGCCTCTTGTGAGCGAGTATAGTCACACGGCTAATGTAGATTCTTAGCATCTCGAGTCTCCCCATCATGTATCGCCGATTCCTCCTTTTCGCCCTGACGTTGGCGATGGCGGGGTTTAGGTCCGGGCCACAGAGCACCTGCACCGATAAGACGGATAGCCCTGGACGGCTCTTTTGCCCTCTGCGGCAGTGGCCAATCGCAGCGCCCAACGGCAGCCTGTGCCAACTGGCTTCGATGCTCAGCTTCCAGATCGGGCAGTGCTGTTGCGGCACATGTCGAGGTTGCGCGAGTTTTATTTGCTGAAGGCTTGCGACGACGAGTAAACGGTGCTATTAAGACGCAGCTGAGCTGAGCTGGAATTCGCGAATTTTGCCGGGCCAAGGCACCGGTAGTGATGCTGGTAGTAATGGCAGCGATCTGATTCGAGCAGCGCAAGTGCTCTTTTGATACTACCTACCTTAAGGTAAGGTATACAAAGCAGAACGGAGCCTCAGCATGGCTACAGGGACCTTGAAACGGACACGCACCAAGAAGCCGGGCCATTCCGAAGACCACCAGCTGGCGTGCATAATCTCCAGTTTGTGGGGAGCACGTTGAACCCCGCCATTCCAAGACATTTGGAGTCAGTCTCTGCCTTGCAGAGTTCATCCGATATGACAATATAATGTTGGCTTCAAGGTTGCTTAACAGCTGTGACAGTAACGTCGATTGTAAATTTTTGGGATACATTCCGAGTTTCTCATACCATCCCTATCGTGACCCCCCATAGGCACATATGAGCAGCTCTTTCGAGACGTCTAGGACAGATGGAGTGCTCCAGACTGTGAGTCTACTTGGCTACTAACACGACACGTCTAGCGTGGCCGGACCCTGGACAATGAAGGAATATCATAGTAAAAACATCTACATGTTGCCGTGTTGGTTGTCTTACAAATTACCTGGCAATATTAAGTTGATAGTCTTTATCAATGCCCGATTACCACGGACTCCCGTTGTCGGAGATGCACACTAACACAACCAATCGACCATTAATATGCGAGGTCAAATGGCTGCTGGTCTAGATCAGTCACTCACTCACAGTGGTAACAGAACGCTTAATCAGGGCCTAACTGCCTCTTGAGCATTTATTGAGGCACACAAGTGACCTGAACTGTCAATATCTCCACGGCTTGCTGGCAAGTGTCGCGTGTTCCTCGTCTGGTTTCCTGAGATTGGCAGCTCAGACGAGCCGCTAAACGGTGCACAGGGGTCTCTGCTAGCGCCTGTGGGGGCCATTCGCTTATAGCCGGCGATGCTCAGCCCATTGAAATTGCCCGCCCGCCACTAAAGAAACAGAAAAAATCCCCTCCAGAGTGACCTCCGATCTTCCTCCGCAAATAACTGGACAGTGACGACCGCATCTGTGCTCGGTGCCTGTGCCTCGGAATCGCTTCAGCACCGCAATTGACTGTTCCAGCAATCCTTCAAGATGGCCGAAGAAAAGCCCCTTGCTTTCCAGTACCAGTTCGCCGCAGGTAGGCGCAAATACCGCTCGCATCGTGCAATGGCATCCATGGCTGACTGACGATAACGTTCAGGCGCAATTGCGGGCGTCTCGGAGGTACGATATGAGCCCAGATCCCTTTGCGAAATCTTCAGCTGACGGTCGATGCCTACGATGCTAGATTCTGGTCATGTGCGTTGCTCTACAGCTTTTGCTCCCGGCAGCATAGATAGCCATACTTACCAAGTCACTCGGCAGGTATCCTCTGGATGTGGTCAAGACGCGAGTCCAGCTGCAGACTGGCTCAGGCACCGGTGCCGAAGCATACAATGGCATGCTGGACTGCTTCAAGAAGATCATCAAGAATGAAGGGTACGTCATGCATGATTCATCCATGTCTCCGTCGACGAGCCCTCCTCTGATGACACCGCAGCTTTTCACGACTCTACCGTGGTATCTCCGCCCCGATCCTGATGGAAGCTCCCAAGCGCGCCACCAAGTTTGCTGCCAACGATGAATGGGGCAAGGTCTACCGCAAGATGTTTGGCGTCGACAAGATGAACCAGTCACTGTCAGTCCTCACCGGCGCTACCGCAGGTGCCACCGAGTCCTTCGTCGTCGTTCCCTTCGAGCTGGTCAAGATTCGTCTGCAAGACAAGGCCTCCGCTGGAAAGTACAATGGCATGGTCGACTGCGTTGTCAAGACGGTCAAGAACGAGGGCCCTCTCGCCCTTTACCAGGGCCTCGAGAGCACAATGTGGCGCCACATCCTGTGGAACGCTGGCTACTTTGGCTGTATCTTCCAGGTCCGGCAATTGCTGCCCAAGTCTGAAACCAGCAAGGGCAAGATGATGAACGATCTGATCTCCGGTGCCATTGGTGGAACCGTGGGAACCATTCTCAACACCCCGCTGGACGTGGTCAAGAGCAGAATTCAGAACACCCCCAAGGTTGCAGGTCAGGTTCGCAAGTACAACTGGGCTTTCCCCGCCGTGGGCACTGTCTTCAAGGAAGAAGGATTTGCTGCTTTGTACAAGGGCTTCTTGCCCAAGGTGAGTCCTTGCCCAGTAGCTTGTAGATGGTTTGCATTAGCTAACATTTCCTTAGGTCCTCCGTCTCGGACCTGGAGGTGGTATTCTTTTGGTCGTGTTCACCACCGTCATGGATACTTTCCGCAAGTGGCAGTCATAAATTAGAGATGAGGTCTCAGACAAGCAGCTCGGGGGAGCCGACTGGGTTGACGGGTATCCAAGATGTCGATTCTCCGACCCATGCCTAGAGCGTTATACCTCGGGATTTGACGCTGAGCAGCTAGACGATTTTCTCTTGGATAGACGGGTATTACTGTATTTTTCCTGATTTTGTTTGTTTCTCAAAATGAGCGGTGGTCTGTAGGCAATTTCTGGAGCTTAGACATACACGGGAGGTTCTAGCGCTTCAATTATGTGTATATCAAAGTCGCAGCGAGTAAATACCTGGGTAGACTTCAACATCTCAGATGTAGACGCTCCGACACATTTTACCCTGTACTGGCGCGCTTCCAGGCTCCCTTCGCCTCTTCCAATACTGTCGAAGACATGCCTAAACGTTATTTCTTTTCGGTGACTGGGCCTGATGCTGGAAAATTGAACGCAGGCCCAAGGAGCGCGTGGATGTAGACAGAGCTTGGATTCAATGACAAATCAAGGGTAGGGATATTCGGGCACCAACGAGATGAGCGCGCCCTGCATCAGGACCATCAATGCTTCAGAGCCGTTTGAACAGAATTGACGTCATATTGTTTAGTCGAGCAGGACAATCCGAGACAGACCCCTGGAAATGATTGACAAGCTTGACAGGTTTGACAAGGTCGTGACGAGGCCTTGGAAGCCCATCCCAACCCGGGCGAACACCGAGCTCCGGAACGCCGGCGGCAGGGACCGCTGTGGCCGCACTGGCACTGACGCAGGGTCAGAATTCCCGACCGAATCGGAGCTGCCTTTGGGCAAGCAAGCAAGGTACCTGTGCAGGCGGGCTGATTGGGCACAGGCGGTGGAAAGCTTGCTGTGCCTTGGCTGCTTTGCCTTTGCAGCGGCTTGGAGGCCCCAGTGGAGGCAGTGGAATCACGCATGAACCACACACACACATGCAGCTCTGCCCCGGAGATGTTTATCATGGGGTTTTTGTCTTCATAGTTCCACCTGTTTACATAGATGGTCATAATGTAGGGTAAGCCTGGGCTGACGGGCTTTTCCGTAGGATAACTCGAGGCGTTCGAGAATGCGCTTCGGTATTTCCCTCAGCTTTTAGCTGCTGCGTGGCTGGTGATGGGGCGGCGCCACGCCCGTGACGTAAGGGACAGCACCCGAGAGACACGCAGCTTGAGGCGTCACAGGCACCTGACAAAAAGCCGGCCACAGACGCCGAGAAAACAGCTCCGAATCTCCTTCCTCGGCATGCCCGGATATTTTTGTCAGTGCAGCCTGTGAATCGTTGGTTTTATGCTCTTTATTCCTCGTCTTCCCTTCGCTCTCCTGCTGGTCCTAACGTAATCAGGCCAGGGAGCGTACGTAAACCCACTCGAGCTAGCTGGAAACCAAGGCGAGGCGAAGCGCCTGTCGACCAGCCAAAGCTTGTCCGTCCAGTCATTCATCTTCCCGGACGAGGGCCCTTCCATTCTTCTTCTCTCCTCCGCGAACCTGTCCTGCTGGCCCATCAATCCGCCTCTTCCTTCTCTCTCCCCTGTGCGCCGCGCAATCCCGCCTCGCCTCGTCGTCGCTCTCGCTCGCACGACAGACAAACAGCTCTCTCCTGCTTGCCTGCATCGTCTCCCCTTTGTTAAGCGCCACGAATAGATTGCGATCAGCCGCCCCACGCCAAGCACCTTCAGGTCTAGAGCACACCACAGCTTTGCCGCCGACTCCGACCGAACTGACGATTCGCCTTTCTTTGCGAGGCTCGTCATCGTCTGGATGCTTCTTAGTTGTACAGCTGCAGCAGCTGTTTGCCCGCGATTCACGCTCGCAGCGTCCAGCTTCAGCGGCTGAAATCGCTGCGCGACCCCGGGCCGCCGTCCGATCCCATCTCATTTCCCTTCCCACTCCTTTCCAGCTACTAGCTGCGACTCCTCTCACCAAACTTCCCCCCATCAAGCCTCTTGTGCGCCAACCGTACAGGGCATCAGCGCGCATTTCCCCTTACCTTCTTTCTTTGTTTTACTCCTCTATTCCCCCAGCCGTGAATAGCACAGCTCGCCCACCATGTCGAAGGTTATGCGCAGCGTGAAAAACGTGACCAAAGGGTACTCTCATGCCCAGGTCAAGGTCCGAGAAGGTTGGTCACCGCCAGAATCGCCGCTCGTCGGTCCTATTCCACGATGCTAACCGCGGCTTCCTCGCACAGCGACCAGCAATGATCCATGGGGCCCGACGGGCACGCAGATGAGCGAGATTGCTCAAATGACATTCAGCACGTATGTCACGCTCTGAAGAGGCAGATACCAGGACGTCACACTAACTGTGAACCCGACTGCAGGTCCACCGAGTTCTACGATATCATGGATATGCTTGACAAGAGACTCAACGATAAAGGAAAGAATTGGCGCCACGTCCTTAAGGCGCTCAAGGTCCTCGACTACTGCCTGCACGAGGGCTCCGAGCTCGTTGTCACCTGGGCCCGCCAGAGCATCTACATCATCAAGACGTTGCGAGAGTTCCAGTACATTGACGAGGAAGGTCGCGATGTCGGGCAGAATGGTGTGTTCAGTTCCCCTCATTTCCTGTTGACGGTTTATCGATAATTAACGCGGTGCGCAGTTCGTGTTGCGGCCAAGGAGTTGACTGCGCTCATCCTCAATGACGAGCGACTGCGAGCGGAGCGAAGCGACCGGAAGTCGTGGAAGTCGCGTGTCATGGGTCTCGATTCTGATTTCGGCCCGCAGTACGCTGAGCAATCTCAGCGACGACAGCCTCGGTCCGAACGTAGAGCTCCGACGACGGAGGAAGACGACACCGAGTATCGCCTTGCCATCGAAGCCAGCAAATACCAAGAGGAGGAGGACAGGAAGAGGAGGCAGAACCGCTCCAACGGCGACAACGATGACGATCTCGCAAAGGCCATCAAGCTGAGCCAGGAGGAGGAGGAGAGAAGGCGTCGGGAGCTGGAAGATGCAAACGCCGCCTCTTTGTTCGACGATGACACTCCCGCGACATCGCAGCCACAACACACTGGATTTAACCAGGGTTACCAGCAAGGGAACGCCGTGGATTTCTGGGCCAACCCTATTGATCAGCAAGCCGCGCAGATTCCACAGCCGACGGGCTATCTCCAAGCCGCTTATACTGGATACCAGCAGCCGCAGCAGACTGGCTGGCAGCCAAACTACAACGCTGCTTTTGGCGTTGATTCATTTGCCCCGATGCCGACAGGTAACCTGCTTGCGCAGCAGCAGCAGCAACAACAGTTCCTGCAGCCGCAGTTTACTCAACAGCAGCATCTGCAGCCATCACCGGCCCTGGATTTGGCCGTCCAGCCTGGGAGCAACAATCCCTGGGCGTCCAATCACCTGCAGCAGCAGTCCCTTCAACCCACGCCGACCGGTTCCAACAACCCCTTTGCTCAGAACAGGCCGCAGTCAGCAAGACCTGCGACATCTTCTCTTACTTCTCTCAGCCCTCTGCCAGAGCAAAAGACACTGTCCAACTTCAACCAGCCCCAGCCCCAGTTTGGATTGCAGCAGCAGCAGCAACAGCAGCAGAGGCTCAATTATACCGCGCCTCAGCGGGAGCTTAGTGAGCACGAGAGGAAGCTGAACGCTTTGCTGGCTTCTGGAGATGGCATGGACACATACGGAAACACAGGAGACCTGCGAATTCCCGCGCAGCATACGGCCCCAGGAACGTTTATTAACAGCGCCGGCGCAGGCCTCGGCCGCCTCAACCCAGAAGCCACCGGCAACAACCCCTTCCTGCGACAGCAATTCACGGGCATGCCGAGCATCACCTACGGTGGTCAGCCCCAAATCAACAGCAATCCGTTTGGAGGCCAGCAGCGACCGCAGCAGCAGGGCCAGGCGCAAGACTTGATTCAGTTTTAAGGCGAATGACTCGAAGAAAAAAGCAAAACATGGAGTAATTTTTATATACCAAAGACGGCTCTGTCGGGACCTTGTTGTTCTTGTCACTCTTTCTAATACCACCGCTTTTTCCTCTTTTTTTCCTTGTTCATGGACTTATACCTCTTTTTCCCCTTTTTGAAATTGGAAGTTGTCTCTATCTCCTGTAGCAATGGTCTCGTCTTGGCTTGATACCAAAGTCGTTTTTTCTTGTCTTTGCTAGGGGAAGGGGATGAGATACCATTCGTTGGGTGGCCACGATGGAATTAAACTGGATCTTCTCTTAACTTTTTCTTTACCTTCCTGCCATTTCCTTTCCTATTGCTTCGTACGAACCACGTGGTATGTTTCTCTTAGACGACGTGCGTCTGGAATTTAAAAAAATTGTAGATCTGAATTCCACCTTGTTCATACCCCCTTGTCCAAAGCTTCCTTCTCGTGAATGCTAGCGTAAGGTAGATGTAGCATCGTAGCACTCTGCTTTTCTAGTCCTGAAGCCGCAACTCCTGCTGCCATTTGTCTCGTTATACATGAGGTAATCCTAAACAAGAGAGAAAAGATAGATAATTGTAAAGACAAAACTACCGATACGCCATCTCCAAAAAGAAACAAACAAGAGATATAGGTTCGGTGAGAGAGCATGTGCGCATTATATGTGATCCATTGTCCTTGACTATAACTCGACAACAGTCCGGGGTTGTGGCCTGCCGGGCGAATCGACCAGGCCTCCATGCCTCATATTGACTCGGGCGGGTGTTCGAGAAGGCGAGCCATGTTTGCAGCCCTGTGCTGTGGACGCCATGACATTGTCGACGAGGCGGGCAGGGACTTGGATGGAGCTTTTCTGTCGTCAAATGACCTTTTTCCGGCTTTCTCCCCTGGTGCCCAACTAGCCAGCCTCTTCCATCATCTGTATGAACTCTTCCAGGTTCACCCCGCCTTTGCCGTCGTGGTCGAGGTGTTCTATCATGGTCTGTATCTCTTCGTCCGTCATCGTGCGCTCCTCCTTGATGTCCTGGGCGAGATGCCGCATGTCCTCGACCGAGATGATGCCGTCCTGGTCGTAGTCGAACATGTTGAACACCTTGATCGCCTCCTCGCGCGGGTCTCGCCTGGCGATGAGCTTTGCGGCGCATAACCGGAACTGATCGGGGTAGATGAGCAGGCGGTTGACGGGACAGCTGTGGGGATCTCGCCAGTCGGGCGGTACGGTGCCGTAGTGTTCGAGTTCTCTGCAGTAGTCGGGCTTGGGCATGTCGAAGCCCAGCGCGGCGAGGGAGTGTTTGAATTCGTAGCTGTTCAGCCACCCTTTCTTCTTCATGTCCATCAAGTCGAACTAGAGAGCAGCAGCGTGGCGCGGAACGCCAAACGTGTGAGAAGAGAAACAGCAGACGGGACGTTTTTCTTTTGTCTTTTTCTCGCAACGACTTACGACTTCGTCAATGTGTTCGCGATCCTCGTCGGCAATGTTGCCGTAGTCCTCGTTGGAAGAGACCTGCGGCGCGGGGGGGTTCCGTTGCTGCGAGTGCTGGTTGGATCCTCCTGCTATTGATCGCCCTGGAAAAGGGCGAGGCGTGTGGGAGTTCATGATCGAGGCGGGGATGTGAAGCCCGTGTTGTTGTAACTCCAGTCGTGAAGCCAAGCGAGCGAGTCGTGAGGTTGCGTGTTGCGTAGGCGATACCGTATCCAAAGAGGATTGGGCTCTATTTTTTCTTCGTCTCTCTTTTTTTGCTCTCCCAGAAGCTTACACGGGGTTTGATCGAAAGCCGGAAAAGAGCCCAAGCCGTAAATAATGACGCAGTAGGAGGGACGGAAAGAGAATTAGTACAGAGAATGCCAGATGCGTCGATATAACAGGAATAAGTAAAATGAAGACGAGGCCCGTCTGCAGCTATCACAGAAGCAACTGATTTCCGCTTGGGTTGGAGTATCTGTAAGAATCAAATGTCAATATTTTGCCGGACGAGGGAATCGATCGATGCGACGCGACGGAGCTTGACGCGCCGCCAAACAGGGCGGGTTGCGCTCGCGATCCAGCGGCCTTCAGGCTCTGAGCTCCCCCAAGTCCCCCCAACGCACCCACTGAACGCTCTCGCCTGGCTGCTGAGGGAACGCCGCCTCACAGGGGGGAGCAGCGCCTGACCATGCGCCGGTGAGTCGCTCCCAGGCAGTGGCCCAGGCACCCGCGACCTGGCTCCAGGCAGAGCAATTGGCGGCGCTGATTGGCCGCTGTTAGTCAGCACGGCCGCTTGGGCCAATGGGAGGGGAAAGTTTTTGTCTGAGGCACCAACAATCGATGCAGCTTGTAGTCAGCCTTGGACCTTAGCATAGGTCGGTAAGTACTTAGTAGCTTTTAGCGGCTGCAGCAGCGACACGAAAAAAAAGCTGGGCTGACCAAAGCCAAAAGCAGCCGTCATTTTGCCTTGAACCTCCAACTTTTGCCTCCCTGTGTGCTGCTCATCAGCTCAAGGTGACCATCTCGCCAGAGGTATTAAAGAGGCTCTCAGCCCTTGGCCGCTGCACCTCTCGGGTCTCTGTTCGACAGCTCACATTTTCCTTCGTTTCCTTCTCTGTCTCGCGCTCGATTCTTTGACGGTTCTTTCGGCTTCTTCGTGCTGCGGCGCCCTTTGTCGCGGCTCAGCCCTCTGTCGGAAACGAGAGAAAAAAGGCCGTCAGTTCGCCAGAACGCGACTTTTCTCTCATCGACTCATCGCCTCGCAGCTGGGCTTGTTCAACTCGGGCGGCTTCTGCTACCGCTCATCGCCTTTCCGTCGCATATGCGCGCTTTCGCCCGCGATTCTCGACTTGTTGTCCGTGGCCGATACTGAATCGCGCTCCATCTCGAGTCCCTCTTTCGCGAAGCATCCACTTCACCACAGCAGAGCGGCATCCCACCACAAGGGGGTAGCTCGTAGCACCAGTCACTTCCTCCGAATACCGCGATACACGGACGCCCACCATGTCGTTCGGCGGATTTGGGGGCTTCGGCTCCAACAACCAGCAGCAGTCGACGGGCGGATTCGGTGGCTTTGGGGCCAACAATAACACCACCTCGTCAGGTACATTCAACCTCGATCGCGATGGGGCGTCACACCAGTCACTAACCACGGGATATGTAGGCTTCGGCTCCAACACCGGAGGAGGATTTGGCGCGAATACCAACACCGGCGGCGGCATGTTTGGCAGCAACACCAATACCACGGGCGGCTTTGGCTCGACAGCCGGTAAGTTTCTTTCCCCGTGACTGAAAGGCGGCGTGGACCCACGCACGGAGGCTTTCCTTATCCTTGACGACGCCCTCTCCTGCTGTCGCTTCCCTTCCTCCCTTTTTATCCCAGATACTAACCAATGGTAATGAAGGCGGGTTTGGATCAAACACGGGCGGCTTTGGCAGCAAGCCTGCCTTCGGCTCGACGGCTACTACTACTCCTGCTTCAGGTGGTCTCTTTGGAGGCTCCAGCACCCCTAGCAGCACCGGTACGGGCTTCGGTGGTTTTGGGACAAACACCAACACTACTGCTACCCCCTCTGCGTTTGGCAGTAACACCACTGGCGGCGGCCTATTCGGCAATGCTAATAAACCAGCAGGCGGTTTCGGAACTGCGAACACGGGCTCGTCTCTCTTTGGCGGCGGCTCCAACACCACTACGGGCACGGGCTTTGGCAATTTTGGCTCGACAAATACTCTTGGGGGCGGCGCCAGTGGCGATCCTCCCGGCACGGCTGTCACTCCGTTCCAGGCCTTTACCGAGAAAGAGCCCAACAGCAGCACCAATCAGTCCAATGCCTTCCAGAACATCCTGTTCCAAGACCCCTATAAGAAGTGGTCTGCTGATGAGCTGAGATTGGCCGACTACGTCCAGGGACGACGACACGGCAATCCCAGCGGTGCCGGCGCCTTTGGAGTGAGCTCGGGTTTCGGCGGTGGCTTTGGCGCAGGCAATCAGACGAGCACACCCGCGACTGGCGGCTTCGGAGCGACAAACACCGCCGGTGGACTGTTTGGATCTAACACAAACACCACGAACACCGCAACCTCTGGCTTCGGCGGCGGCTTTGGTGCAAACAACACTGCCAGCAACACCGGCGGTGGCCTCTTTGGCAACGCCAACAAGCCAAGCGGAGGACTCTTCGGAAACACCACTCAACAGAGCCAAACCGGCGGTTTGTTTGGAAGCGGCAACACCAATACCGCCACGTCTGGCTTTGGCTCGACAAACACCGCAGGTGGTGGTCTCTTCGGCGCGACGAATACCGCTGCGGCGAACACTGGCGGCGGCTTGTTCGGCAGCAACACGCAGAACAAGCCCGCAGGCACTGGATTCAGCTTCGGAAACAACCCCACTACGACGTCGACAGGCTTTGGAGGAGGCACCGCCAACGCTTTTGGCTCGAATACCAATACGACTGGCGGCGGTCTCTTCGGAAATGCCAACGCCAATGCACAGCCTAGTGGAGGTCTCTTTGGGAACAATGCTCAGCAGCAGCAGGCTCCCTCGGGAGGACTGTTTGGCCAGCCTCAAACCCAGCAGTCTGGAGGACTGTTTGGAAACGCTCAGCAGAAGCCAGCGACGGGTGGACTCTTTGGCTCCACGCCTGCTACTACCAATACTGGCGGCGGCCTTTTTGGGGGTACTCAGCAACAGCAGGGAACGACAGGCCTGGGTGGCACAAACACCAACACTGGAGGCCTTTTCGGAGCCAAGCCAGCGACGGGTGGACTCTTCGGTTCCACGCCTGCGGCTACCAATACCGGAACAGGCCTCTTCGGGGGCGCTGGCACCGGCGCTCAAACTCAACAAGCTGGTGGCGGAGGCCTCTTTGGGTCAACGGCGAACCAGCAGAAGCCTGGTGGTCTCTTCGGATCCACGCCGGCGGCTTCAGGTGGAGGACTCTTTGGTAACACTGCGGCGGGAACTCAGGGCGGCATTTTTGGCAATGCTGGTAACCAACAGCAGCAGGGACTTGGCCTCGGCAGCTCTTTGATAGGGGCTTCTCAGCAAGCGAACAACGCGCCCCAGGGACTTACTGCGAATTTGAACGACGTCTCTGCCTACGGCTCGCCGTCGCTGTTTTCTGGAGTTGGTGGAGGCGAAGTGCCGAACCCTGGTCCGCTCGCGGTTCCCCTGAGCGGACAGCCGAAGCCCAAGAGACCGTCCATCTTCCCCATGTACAAGTTCACCCCCGCGGCATCAGGCCGCTTCGGCACGCCTCAGAAGAGGGGCTTTGGCTTTTCCTACAGCAATTATGGTACCCCTGGAGGAGCAAGCCCTGCAGGCCTCTCTGGCACTCCCAGTAGCCTGGGTCGTAGCTTGCTCGGCGGCACCGGCAGCGGAACCTCGCTCACCAAGAGCGTGTCTTCGACCAGCCTGCGCCGCACCGTCAACGTCGACGACAGCATCCTTCTGCCCGGTGCCTTCTCGAACACGAATAACACGCGCTGGTATGGAGCCTCGGGCTCGAAGAAGCTGGTTATTAACCGCGAATTGAGGAGCGACCTCTTCTCCACGCCGCAGCGGGATAGACAGAATGGCGATAATGGAACTGGCCCACGAAAGCTGTCCAAGCGGGTTAGCTTCGATACCAACGTGGACGGCGAAGACTCTCCTCCAGTTCGGGCGGCTCTGCCAGCCCCTGGCGACGTGCCGGAAACCCCCGGTGATGAGACTCCTCGATCGGACAAGGCGACCCCCGTCTCAAACGGACTTCGAACTCCCGACATGGAGCAGGCCAAGGGTAAGGACAAGGAACTGGCCATCGTCCAGGAGGAAGAGACTGGCACTCCCGAGCCCCCGGCCAATGGTTTCGACAATGCCCCCGGAAAATACTGGATGGAGCCCTCGCGAGAGGAAATCCAAAGCATGAATAGGATTCAGCGCCAGCGGGTTGACAACTTCACTGTTGGCCGAGAGAACGTTGGTTCCATCACCTTCAAGGTCCCGGTCGACCTCAGTGGCATCGATTTGGATGAGCTATGCGGCGGCATCATCCAGCTGGAACCTCGATCTGCGACGGTATACCCCATTGCGGCCAAGAAGCCGCCTGTCGGAAAGGGCCTCAACGTGCCTGCCAGAATCTCACTGGAGCAGTCCTGGCCTCGTGGTGGCCGAGACAAGAGGATCGCCAACGATCCCAAGCGCTTCAACAAGCACATCGAGCGACTCAAGCGCATTGTCGACACCGCCTTCGAAAGCTACGACCCAGAGACTGGCGTCTGGACCTTTTCCGTCGAGCACTTTACAACCTACGGACTGGACGATTCTGATGACGAGACTGAGTTTGACACAACTCTCGACCATTCTGCTGCCGCCCCATTGTCGACTATCGCACAGCCAACGAACTTCCACGCACCAACCTCGTCACAGGATGATGACGCAATGGTGTTTTCTCAATCGCACGCGCTGCCCGGCGCGTTCGACGATGAGGAAGGACTGTTTACGACTGAGCAGACCGGACCGCAGTCTTTTTTAGGGGTTAGCTCCGCGGACTCTGCCACACATGATGTCAAGCTGTCGCTGGAAAACGAGATGACCGGCGACGACATCGCAGAGTATGATATGTCCGAGGACGAAGACATGACGAGGTCTTCCGTCGGACAGCATCTCGCCGCGGAGCATGACGATGCCTCGTCCGAGGGTGGCCAGGAGACCAAGCGGTTGACCGCAACTCCTGGTGGCATCCTCAGAGCCAGAATGAGAGCCATCAAGGACTCGGCTGGCCCCGTCAAACTGGAAGTTGCAGATGGTGACGACTGGATGGAAATGTTGAGGAAGACGGTCAGCCCCATGAAGCGGGACCGCTACATGCTGAGAGAGCTGGCCGAGTTCCCCCATAAGCAGGGGGGAAAGGCTGTTTCGTTTGATCTCGACGATGAAGCGGATCTTCGAAAGTCATCCATCTGGGGCAGAAGCCTGGCCCGGTCCGATAGGAAAGATGGACCTGCGATGACTGCTCAGATTGGTATGGATCAAGGCCATGGGTTTGCCACGAGTATCGACTTGATGAATTCCTTGTTTGAGAAGCCGAAGCCGAAGCCAGCGCGCCGAGAGTTTAACGCTTCTCCGTCTGCCAAAGGTTTTCCCAAGGTCGGTACCCTCACTGTTTCGCGATATTGACACTCTACCCTTTGAATAATTGATTTTGCCACTTGTTTTTCTTTTTTCCTCCTACTCCTCTGGACTGGGGCGATTGCTCATTGTGTATTTAAACCAAATATCGAATAAAATGCTAAAAAAAATGGTGTCAATTATAGTTCCCCTACGAACGACAGGATAAAGTTCTCACAACTGAAGATGATGAGCTCGCGCTTCACAGCGCCTCGAGGCCAACCTGGGGACCGGACGAGACCCTTGTCTTGATTCGGTCGCTTGACGGCTCACACTCGCGTCGGTCGATACGCGACATGACGGATATTCTCACGTTTCAGCGATCCAGCATACAGACCGATGAGCAGGAGGTTCGCCTGGCTACGTTTACTGCCGAGGTTCGTTTTTCTGGCCTTGATGAGCGCAGTGACAGTAACTAACGTGTTCTTCCCAGCCATCAAAGAAGTTTCTGCAATCCCAGGATGTCGTGACTGAGATCCGCCTTGTTGAAGGAGTGCCCCAGGCCACCCTGCATACTACAAGCCTCAAGAGCCTGTATCATCATAAGAATACGAATGACGCAGCCAGCATCCACGAGAAGCAGGTCTGGGAGCTGGCCAGCATTTTGTTCGACGACCTGGACAACCTCGGTTCGACGGACGAGGAGCATTTGGTGCGCAGGAATAAGCTGTCTCAATTCTGGTCCGACCTGGTCGAACAGGCCTCGTCCACAGCCATCGGCTTGGCGGCCACCAGCGAAGAGAAGGCACTCGCATGCCTCGCTGGTCACCGGATCCCAGAGGCCTGCAAGCACCTCCTGGATGGCAAAAACTTCCGCCTTGCCACGCTGCTCCCCCTGATCGGCACCAGTGAAGTCGCAAAGAGGGAAATGAGAGAGCAGATCAAGTCGTGGCTGGACTCCAAGATGCTGTCCGAGTTCTCCGAGGCTATCCGTACGATTTACGAACTCTTGGGTGGAAACGTGTGTGTGTGCGAAGGCCTCAAGGGCATGCCCAACGAGGACCGGGTCGATTCGTTTGTCATCTCCAAGAAGTTTGGTCTGGACTGGAGGCAGTCGTTTGGCCTGCGGTTGTGGTATGCTATTTCGAGCCACGATGACTTGTCCGTCGCTGTCGACAACTTCAAGGACGATATTGCGCAGGATAAAGAGGACTTGCCTCGCCCTTGGTATATTGAGCAGGGCATCGCTCCTCTCTGGGACGACGCCAACATCGACTCTCGCCAGGATCTCTTATGGGGCCTGCTGCAGCTGTATGCTGACGCCGACGCTGACTTGGAGGCTGTTCTTCGCCCCGAGAACTCACAGCTGTCCCCTCTTGACGCCAGGCTTCGATGGCAGCTGGGCCTCGCCTTGACCTCGACGGGCAAGGTCTCGTACGGCACAGGCGGAATCGAAAAGGCCGATGCAGCTACTATTGCCTATGCTGCCCAGCTTACCCGAGCAGGGGAGTGGCTCGAGGCTGCCTTTGTGTTGCTGCATCTGCACCACACGGCAGCACGCAAGAAGGCTCTCCAGGAGCATCTCTGCCAACACGCGGATCTGATTGGGTTTGAATCCGATGCCAACTTCGTCACACTCACGGAGAAGTACCGTATCCCGGCAGCCTGGGTCTGGGAAGCCCTCGCGCTTTACATGCGGTGCGTAAAGAAGGATGCCGTAGCCGAAGTGCAGTGTCTTTTGCGAGCTGGATCCCATGTCGAAGCCCACCGCATCTTTGTTCAACAGGTGGCTCCTCAGGCCATTGTTGAGCGTGATTACGCCGGCTTGTCCTCTCTCATCTCGCAATTCCAAGACCGTCAACAAGACATTGCGGAATGGACACAGGGTGGTGAGATTTACAGCCACTTCCTCCAGCTGATGGAGTCTCGCAGCAGAGGCGAAAGCGCATCGCCTGCACTGCTCGACAGGCTCCTCGCTGGTTTGAACGCGATGAAGGACGTTGGAGTGGAGAGCAACATTACTCGCTATGCTGCCATTTCCGACATGGCGGACGAGACTGCCCGTGAAATCGTCAAGTTGACACGGCAGAAACAGGTATGTGGCCACTGGATTGATTTACACCCTTTTTTCTGTCATCTCCCACTGACCCGTTTGCAGGATATGGAACTTCGATCCAGAATCTTGAGCCTTCCACTTACCCAAGATCGACTGCTCGCATACTCGGTAGACCTGAGCCTGGATCGCTACAGAGAGGTCATGTCGCATTAGGCATTGGGATTGCGAATGAGATTGAGAATGAGAACAGGCGGGACAAGGTGAAACGAATAGGGCCCAGAAATACCTGCTGCGGTGGAGGCATTTGATTTACACTGTTGTTCTGTGTTTCCTTTATTTCCTTTTCTTTTGCTATACAAGAGACGAAGGAGGATACGCAGATTGGTGGCGGAGGGCTTAGGTAGAATCGTGCGTGATGTGAAGGGCAGGGACGAGAAGAGCCAGGCAGGGGCTAAACTATGTAGTATTGTAGTATAATCACTGTTTTATTCGAAATTGATGCCATGGTGTTGTCGCGCCTAATGCAGATGTAAGGTGAAGTCGATGATTTCGTTGACGATTTGACTTCCCGTCTTTTTGTCTTATTGACGCCAAATCTTCGGTGGATTTCCTTCCTCTCTCAACACCAACATAAAATAAGTCGTTGCTCTGAGACCGAAACACATCATCAAGCCACTCAAAGCATTCTCATTTCACGCCTTTACACAAAAAAAGACATACATAGATAGAACAACGCCATAACCATGTCCATACCAAAAAACTGGCCCCCTTCGCTCCCTTATTTCAAAGCGCCCCAACACGGCAAAGACTTGACACCCGCCCAGCTCCAATTCCTCCGCACAAGACCCGTTATCGCCACCACTCATTCATCTCAATTCCAGGATAACGACAACGACGACCCCCTACCCATCATCCCAGCCTCACACCCCGCAACGTCAACCCCCTGCCCGCTCGTCAAGATCCTCCCCATCAGCGACCCCGCGCACCCAGCCCACGGCCAGTTCGGGCTCTTCGCGGCGACAGACATCACCCCCGGAGCGCTCATCGTGGCGTACCTCGGCAGGCTGCACGGCAGGGGCGCGACGAGCGAGGAGAGCGACTATGACATTTGGCTGGAGAGGGAGGCGGACGTTGCGGTGGATGCGGCGCGGGGGGGCAACGAGGGGAGGTTTGTGAATGACTATCGGGGCGTTCCTGTTTCCTCCTCCTCGGTTTCTTCTTCTTCTGGTGGTGGTGCTGCTGCTGCTGGCGGAAAGGACAAGGCGAAGGGGAAGAAGAAGATGGTCAAGGGGAGGCCGAATGCGAGGTTTGGGAATGCGTTTTGTGAGAGGTGGGGGGAGGTTTGTGTGTGCGTTTGGGCGGTTGGGGGAGGAGGAGGAGGAGGAGGAGGCATGAGGGATAATGCTTCTGCCGGCGGCGGTGGGAAGAAGAAGAACAAGAAAAAGGGGGGCGAGGGGGGGATTCGGAAGGGGGAGGAGATTCTTGTGAGTTATGGAAAGGGCTTTTGGGAGGAGAGGAGGAGGGAAGGCGGTGATGGATGTGCTGATGATGAAGGTGATGGGCATGGTGATGGTCATGACGGGAGGTGACATATCATGATGGGATTGCTGGTGATGAGGATATACTGCATGCAATGATGTGATATTATATAGTATCCACGTCAGAGGGAACAGATACCCTCCAAATGCTTTGCTCACTCTACACTTCCTTGTCCTCCATGTCACAGCAATACACTAACATCAAGACATAAGATCAGAAGGTATACCGATAAAAAAAAAGCCCCCCTTGGGTGTCCCTAGGCGCCGCCCAACCAGCCCTTGCGCCGGCCCTTTCCCAACAAATGCCATTGAAAAGCAGCAATATTAAATAACACGGGCTTCTCGTCCCCTTCCTCAAGGCAAGCCGCGAAAGGAAAAACAAAAGCCGACGGAAAGCAACGTGTAAAGAGGGGGCAGCCAAAGCCAGCAACATCGTTGTGCTCTGTGAATCCTCATTACTCGTCTTCACCTTCGGCGTCAACGTCCAATTCTTCTTCCTCCCCCTCCTCCTCGCCCTCTGCGCCTCTACCGTTCGCCCCGCGGCTGCCGGACCTCTCAATCGCCTGGCCGCCCAGCTGCACGCTGTGCGCGAAGCCATTGCTCGATGGCTGGGGTGTCATGACCCGAACTTCGTCCTTAGCCGGCTCTTCGTCCCCCAGAGACGTCGTGACGCTGTGGTCGCCGTCCGTGCCCTTGTCCGGCGCGTGGGGGATCTTGTCCCTCCACCCAGGGGGCAATCCCGGCCCGCTGTCTGCGTTTCCGTAGTCTGACTTCTTCGTCCCCTTGGGCCATCTGCCGGGGCCACGACCAGTGCCGCCCGTCTTTCTCCTGGTCCCGGAACTTCTGGGGCGGCTGGCGGTAGGTCGACGGGCGCTTCCTCCCGCCCTCTTTGGCCGCGGTCGAGAGCTGGTTGATCCCGTGCGAGGCGCCAATGGTCTGCTCACGCTCTGTCGCGAGCGGTCAGCGCGGCGGCCACCGGCTACGGGCGGGAAAACCTCAAAGCGGCTCGGTGGTATATCGCGATAGGGCAACATCCACTCTGGCTGCGAATGTACATCATCCATCGCTTCGTCTCGCGGCTCCGCGTTCTCCTTGTCTTCGGGGGCTGTCTTGCTTTCAATCGATACGAGTGGCGTGAACACGGGGTGGCCGTTGGCCGAGTCGCCCATTTCCGACGCAGAACCAACGCGCGGCTGTGAGCCGTCGTTCATGTCGCCGTTCATTATCATGGGGTGGTCGCCTCCTCCGGAAATGCCATTCACACCCTCCTCGAGCTTAGCCTCGTCGTCTTCGCGAGGGGCAATCGTATTGATGGGCGGCCCCAGCTCAAAGTTGACGGCATTGCTACGGCCCATCACGTATGGCGTCCAGGCAAGAGCCTCGGGCTTCAGCTGCACATAGCCCTTTGATTCCCATTTGGCCACGTACTGTCGGCAGTACTCCAGATCGATCCGGAAGGCGTACACCTTTGTCTGCGGATCGCGCACCAGCGCTCGAAGACCTTCCAAGGCGGCAATTACGTCGTCGGGCGTCATGCCCGTATCGTCTGATATCTGCCGGATGCTGAGGCCTGTCTGCTTGTGCTGGTCATCCTTCATCGTCTCGATAAAGTATCGGCAAAGCCGCAGGCGCCAGTAGTTTCTGTAGGAAACAAGTCCCATGTCCGAGAGTGGTTTCTCGGGCGACCCCGTCTTCTCCTCTACTTTGGTGAGGAGGTATGAGAAGTCAATAAGTAGATTGCCGTATCCCTTTCTCTGATGGATCGGCAAGGTGAGAATGCATGACACGTTGTTCTGGCTGCTTGCGCGCTTCTCCTTGGAAAAGTAGCCGACGAAGTGGTAGCCGCAGTCGTCGTACTCGCACAAGACGTAGAACAAGAACGGCTCCACGTCGTAGTACAGCGTCTTGGACCCCAGAAAGAGCTTTGCCAGCAGGCACAGGTTTTGACAGTAGACCGGGTTCTTCCGGCCGTCAACCTCGAATACCGACACTGACCCGTCTCGATAGATCTCATCGCCAGGGGGGTGTTTCGCACCGCACTTGAGCTTATGCCGCCACGCCACGTAGTCCGAGTTCATGTACTTGAGACAGAACTCGCAGATGTAGAGCACGCGGTTCCTGCTGTACTCGGCTGGATATGGCGCCGCATACCAGGTGTCGATCTCCCAGCCGCCAAACTCGATACACTCAATCTGGCTCGCATTGTCGCTCGACTTCTTCGACTTGCGAACGGGCACGTCCACCTCCGCCTGCATTTGCAGAACACGAGCTCTCCACTCGTCTTCTGCGCGCTGCTTGGCCTGGTCGAACCGTTTCCGATCCTCGGGCTGCGGCAGTGTCTTTGATGTGTCTGCTTCTGCTTCCGTCAAGATGCCTCCGTAGGGCTTTCCCTTCATATCTTCGGTTTCCTTATCAAACAGAGAGTAAAACGGCGTCGAGTAAAAATCAGTGGTAAACGGCGTCTGAAGGACGGACGGCGTTGCTGCAACGGCCGTAGAGTTGCGGCGGGCGGCTGACGACGCGACTGGCGTCCGCGGCCGTCGTCCGCTTGTTCCAGAACGCCTCCTTTCTCTTCGCCTGCGGGAGAGTATCTCCTTAAGATTTCCCGGTCGCACACGCATCGTCACCACCAGAGACGCTGGCAGCTTCTTGTCGACAACGACGAGGGACGGGCGAGAGATCTTCAGCCGAACCGCGCGAGAGCTCCCCCTAGCTTGCTCCGCCGATCTGCTGTCGGTATCTTCGTTGGCCGACGTGGCGTCCGTAGAGAGGCCGCGCCGTCGTCTTCGCAGGGTAACAGTGGCCTCTTCGGGCTCGGCAGATGAAGTCTTCCTCTTCCGCAGCATACGAGGCTCACCCGAGACCTCTGCGTGGGGTGTGTGATCGTCTCCTGCCTCTACGCCATCCTGCATCCATCGTTCAGGGGAGGCATCGCCAGGGGCGTCGGAGAGCTGCGACTCATTTCTTACTTCGCCATCGACGCTGGCCCCCCGCTCTCGTTCCTCCGGTTCGTCCCGGTCAGATTCACCGTTATCACACTCTGGGCATCTCCAACGTTTTGCATCTTGACCCGGATTAGCGACACTTTCTTTGCCTTGCAAATGCCTGAAGGGGACTTACTGTTCTGTTCGCTCATAGCCGCCGCATCTCGCGCGCATTGCTGGTGAGCTGTAATATCTGTCAGCCAAGTCTGTCCTGACATCCTCCCAAACGCCTTGGAGCACCCACCATTTTCGTTACATCTGATGCACGTCAGGAATGCCTCGAAATCCTCGCTTGGGTCGTTTTCTTCATCTTGTCGACAAAACATGCAGATATTCGTGGGTGCCGTCTCCGATTCATCATCGTCCTCTTCCACGCCTCCCGCTTCTTCCCAGGCAGGCTCTTCGTCAGAATCGTCTTCAGCAACGCTCAGCAGATCTGATACGTCACTCTCCGCGTCGTCGTCCGCATCATCGTCGTCGTCGTCTTCGTCATCCGTATCCCCTGGCTTGATCTTGACTGCGCCCACGCCTTCGTCTCCATCCTCGTCCCCATCCTCGTCGTCACCTTCGTCTTCTTCATCGTCGTCGTTCGCTTGCAAAGTGTGACCGTTGCTGACAACAATCTGCTGATCCACAAGCTCGGTGTAGTCCTCCCCCTCTGCATCTTGGTCCATGTCCTCATCGATCTCTTCTCCAGAAGCGTCGCGATCACTCAGCTCGTCGTCATCCTCGTCCACCTCCATGCCGTCGTTGCCGCCTGTGCCGTTGTCAGCAAAGATCGTGCTCAGAGTCCTCGCCTTCAAGGCGCTGGGCGAATGCGCGCTCTCACCTGCCGAATCTGCTGTCTCGAAACTGGCATCCTCGGAGAGCATGACGCTCTGCTGCAGCTCCTCCTCCATCGACTGCGCGCTCGTCATGGTTATCGCTGCGTAGTAGAACTGTTGGGGTCAAGATATGAGCCTGACGATGGCATATCGATCGGGGCCGAGCGTTTGCGACTGGAAACTCTCAGGGACTGGAGTCGGGCGACATGTACGGCGCTCCCTCTTGATCGTCGTAGGCTTGGAGAAGCAGCAAGCTCGCTACCTTAGATGATGCTGCTGCCAGGTCAGCTTCAGGCAGGCCATGGGTGCGATTTCGGCGGGCTCTGGGCACAATAACGCCCCGCGACGTGCCATAGTTTCTCACCTCGAAAGTTGCATGTTGCCACAGCTGATTCTGTTGACTTTGTTGTCCGAAACAATGCGACAACAGCCACCACAGTCGCGTTCTCCAAGGTGCCGAAGTCGCGGAAGCAGGAGTCACAGTGCGTGCGCCCTCGTCGACCGCGCGTTACGGCCAAGAGCTTGGTGTCGGCCAGTGCGAATATATATTGCGCTAACTATACCGTTGGCGCAGGGATGTCCCGCTGTGGCCTCAGGCATCAAAGCCGACGGCTCTACCTAGTTGGTGCTCTGCTCACTGACGTGCAGGCTCAGTATCACGAACGACATCGCGGCCAACCTCCAGCTGGATTCCAGCGCTTTTGCTATTTTCTTCGACTCAATCGACATACAGGATCAAGACCGCCGAGGCGGCCCTCCACAACGATGCCCGTTCCCTTCGAAACCCTGCTGCCGTATGGCATCATGATTGTCGTACGTACCAGATCGAGCGAGATTTCACCGCAGGAGAATCAGAGGCGGCTCACAGCTTGTTACTAGATGTTCGGCGCCACGGGTACCGGACTTGCGGCCTTCAAGACATGGCAGAACGAGGGCAAGCGACCGCGCTATTCATTGGATCAGTGGGATAAGGTCAGTCAGCTCCAGCCGGGACGTTGCGGTGCTTTGGGTGCGATAGCTAACGATGCAAGTACAGCAAAGTAAGGACCTCTCCTTCACATCATCCGAACAAAAAGAAAAGCCTGCTTGTCGCACATATTGCCACCGGGCCACGATACTGACGAGTACTCGAAGTGATGGAGCGAGACCGGCGACTCACAGGAACCCTGAGAGGGCAGACGGACAATCCAACGGCCCCGTTAGGATTCGAGTTCAGCAATGGATGGAAGGTAATGTCAACTGGCGCATACTTCTCTCCTTACGGACAATTGCTGATATTGCGCGCAGCTGGAGAAAAGATTCAACTGAGGAGTCATTTTACGCAGTCGAAACACATTAGAAAGGGGGGCATCGAAAACCGAAAGAAAGAAATTGTATATATCATACTACAACTTTACGAATTGGCCTCACTGCATGGTGGACCAGAGCTTCAAATCTCGGATTCGGCATTGCTGCAACAAGGATTGACACAATTGAGATTGGCCATTGACGGCTTGTGTTGAAACAATATATTGACCGAACTCTAACCCTCTATTGATATCTCCGGTCGATTCTTGTTGAGGTTTTCCAGCAATGTGCACGCCTGACACATGGCTTGGCTGGACATGTAGCCGCACTTGACGCATTTGCCGAGCGTCTGTAGTTGGACAGGGCCCGGGTCTTTGGAGCGGCGCTGCCGTACAGGGAGCTTTACCACATCATCGTCATTGACCTTGGGCGAGCCATTCGATGTAATCTCGGTTTCGAGACCATCGTGCGTAGGCTGCTTCTTGGTATTCACCTCCATTTGCGCCAGCTCGCTGCCGGTTGTTCGAGCGTTGGCTGATCCGCAGCCACCCATCCCCTCGCTCTCGTCACAGGCGCACGCCCCTTGTCCTTTGTCCGGCGTGAGACGGGCCATGTCTTCGCCGCTCCGGACAATATCCAATATTGCACTTGGCCGGACCTTTTCCAGATTCTTAATGAGACTTCGCGCGGTGCCACGGAATGCCTCGGGGCTGTATATGCATTCCGTGCTGAAATAATCCAGCTTCTTGTGGTGCGCATAGAGTACAATCTCCTTCTCGTAGGCGTACTTGAGCGGCTTGCTTCTCTTAACGTCGTTTAGTGAGCCCCCGGTGACGATGCTAGTGCTTCGGGATAATCGAGGCAAGTCTCCCCTGAGCAGGTTCATGAGGACAGTCTCTGCAACGTCGTCTGCATTGTGTCCCGTGACAACGTGCTTGATCCCCAGCGTCTTTGCGCCCCGATCCAGCGCCTGTCGGCGGAAAACGCCGCAGTACGTGCAGTTGCCCTTCTTCCCGATCGTCTCCACGACTTGATCCATGGTCCAGCCATACAGTTCATCGTACCCCACGATCTTCAAGGGCATATCGTACTGAACCGCGTTCCGCTTCACTGTTTCTAGAGAATCGTCTCTGTAGCCTTTGATGCCTTCGTCTATACTGAGAAGGACAAGGTCGAGCTCATACTTGTGGCGCTCGTTGAGGGTCTTGAGGACAGATGCCAGCACCGTCGAGTCTTTGCCTCCTGATGCTCCGATGGCGACCTTTTCTCCGGGGTAGAACAGCTTGGACGAGACGATGGTATGGTGCACTTCGTCCTCGAAGACGGTTATGAAGCATTCGCGGCACAGCTTATGGTGATTCTTTGGCCGCTTGACAACTGCCTTGTTCGTCTGACACCGTACGCACGTGGTAGGCGGCATCTTGTAGGATATCTATGTGGGTTGTGAGTTGCGAACAAGTTGAGGCTGCTGGTCGCCGTCGGTTGGCCAACGGTTGCAACGAGCCGTATGTGAAGCAATCCTGAGAGAGAGCTGTGTTAAGGAGTCTGTTCGTATATTTGGAGAGAAAGAAGAGTATGAAACACAAGCCTCTACTTTCACAAAATCACAATATCATCAATGAAGAACTTCAAGTTCTCGACAAACCATCACGCCGCCACACATTGAAAATGACTCCGGGGTACAAAGTACTTGCTGATCTCTTATCGCTTTTTCTTCCTTGTTCAATCGATAAGCTCACGTGACTATACGCCACAGCAGCCACAACTTCTCAGCCTCGAGCCGAAGCAGCTCTTAGTCTAGCGCCCCACACTCGCAGGCACGCCAAAGCCCTAATTTACCGCCCACCACATGCAGACGAACTTTTCTCGCCTTTTTCTTTTCCAACCCATCCCTCTCCGGCATCTCAAGGAAATTCTGTTCAACGAACAATCGCCATCCGCCCAACGAACAAGATGGTAAGTTGATAACAGTCTGACAATACAGGACTCGAATGGCCACAGTTTGTGAGTCAAATGCGCGAAAGCGCAATTGATAAAACCGCAGGCTGCTTGCATTGAATCTCTTGATTCATGCAGCAACTTGTTGGAACTTTCCGCCCGACGTTTCAACACACTGCGCGGTGTGTTGAATCGGACGGTGAAGACTTGGCTGGAGACGCAGATTGTGTGCTGAGACATGCCACACTGCGTTCTCGTTAGAGTTCAGAGAAGACTTTTTGGCTTGAGCCCCTCGCTGATGTCTTCTTTTCTCAATGACAGCCTCCCAAATCTGGCAAGAAGGTCGCCCCTGCTCCGTTCCCTCAGAGCAAGGCTGGCAAGAAGGGACCCAAGGTTAGTAAAAATCTTCGAAAATGTCTTGCCCCGTCTGCGAAGAAACGCGTCGTTGATGTCTAACGAGTTGCTGCAGAACCCCCTCATCGAGAAGCGCCCTCGCAACTATGGCATCGGCCAGGACATCCAGCCCAAGCGAAACCTGTCTCGCATGGTGAAGTGGCCCGAGTATGTCCGCCTCCAGCGCCAGCGCAAGATCCTCCGCCTGCGTCTCAAGGTCCCTCCCTCTCTGGCCCAGTTCCAGCACGTCCTTGACCGCAACACCGCCGCCCAGGCTTTCAAGCTCCTCAACAAGTACCGCCCTGAGACCAAGGTCGAGAAGAAGGAGCGTCTCCTGAAGGAGGCTACCGCCGTCAAGGAGGGCAAGAAGAAGGAGGACGTCAGCAAGAAGCCCTACACCGTCAAGTACGGTCTCAACCACGTCGTTGGCCTGATTGAGAACAAGAAGGCTTCCCTGGTCCTCATCCCCAACGATGTTGACCCCATCGAGCTGGTTGTCTTCCTTCCTTCTCTCTGCAAGAAGATGGGCATCCCCTACGCCATCATCAAGGGCAAGGCCCGTCTCGGCACTGTCGTCCACAAGAAGGTTAGTTCCAGCGTTTCCACAGAAGTATCAGTATCGAATCCGAAAAAACTAACCCGACTGCAGACTGCCGCTGTCCTGGCCCTGACTGAGGTCCGATCCGAGGACAAGACTGAGCTGTCCAAGCTCGTCTCCGCCATCAAGGATGGCTACCTGGAGAAGCACGACCAGGTCCGCCGACAGTGGGGTGGTGGCATCATGGGCGCCAAGGCTCAGATGCGCATTATCAAGAAGCAGAAGGCTCTTGAGGCTGCTACCAAGATTTAAGCTTTCTAAATACCCGGGTTGCTTTGGGATTCAAGGGATTATCATCGGTGTTCAAGGGTTCAGGGCATGGCAAAAAATGAATGAATTTCCAGCACAGTTGTGTATCCCAAATATGACGGTTCCCTGCCTATGTGTGACTTGAGTGAGCAGTAACGAGGAAACTGAGGTTCATGATAGTCGTCGACGCTGTCCACTGAATAACAAGTTGCATTCTCGACAGAAGTTCTCACGAGCCGAAGGGTCTGACTGATATGACGCTGCCAGACACAACTGCGTACTGAATATTGCCTTATTCCTGCCTTGTTTCTATAATTGGATGCAATACTCGAGCACAAGGGAGAGTACCATGAAACGATTGCGGAAAATTTCATCATCCTCGGATAAGGGGGGCAAAGGGTTATCACTAGAGTAGAGCACCTTGCTCTTCTATTGATGCCGTTGGCTTTCGACGAGGTTGCAAAGAGCGAGAACCTAGTCTAGACGGTATCGAGGACGCCGTCGGATAGGCAATGTTCGGCCCGTGGTATTGACATTCATAAGTTCCCTGCTGCTGGGAAATTGACCTAACGGGAGGCTCAGGTCAGAAGCATGGTTAGCTCTCTAATACGATGTAAAAGAGACTAGGCACCATCTCGTAAACGACAATCCGTCAAGAGACCAAGTATGAAAAGAAAGCTGTTGGGAGGAATAGGAATGAGGAACAAGGATATTGGCAAGGCAAAGAAGGCTTGCCAGCACCAGGTGTATAGGAAACACCAACGACACCCTTCTTGTATGCAAAAAGCTTGTATAATATGCTGGCCATCTAACTCGAATCCCCGTTCCAAGGTGTAATTCGGCTATCATCCCATATCTCTCCCAACGGAGTGGTTTGGTCCAGACTGTTCTTGGCCCGATCAGCGAGACTTAAATTAAGTGAGTACAGGCCGGACCCAAAGATCAGGCAGACAACGGCATCGCTGGAGCCCCATACCACTTCATCGTAGCGGATCCGTAGACAAAGCTCACCGGTCAAGGTCAATTGGAAGAGGTTGCTGGTACGTAAACTTTCCCGTGCCAGTCGAGCATGCTCAGAGCAAGAAGCTTTTGAGATTGGGTAGTGGGTTTGGGGGCCAAAAGCCCACACAGCTGGCTACTGGAGACAAGACAGAGACAGGGGTCGAAGAGTGCTAAAGATTGTTGACGGCATCCGCTAGCAGCAACCTGCTCACGCCGGCGGGCCACAGTGCGTGTCGAAAATGGTGCAAGTACCTCGCGAAGTGCTGGACCAGACCCAGAGGGCCGTCAAATGGGTCCCGGCAAGGGACTCCCTACAAGCCGGCGGCCCACTTGGCCGGTGGTTCCTGATGCCCATCCGGAATGGACTCGTTCTCCGTTCGTGTCCGGGAGCCTGCAAGGGACCTGGATCGCATTTTGTGGCCAGAGAGAACCCTGCTTCGGCCAGCCAGCCACATGTATCCCATGAAAACACCCTGGGACGCCGGGGAGGGCTCGAAGAAACCAGCACTGAACCCCATCATAGTGCCTCTCCAGGTCCTAGGCAGCACGTAGACTATTCGGAGTTGACGGCCCTGCGCTCGGTAGCCGGCGCGGTTGATATTGATTGACGGGGTCGCTTAATATGTAGACGACAATCACTTCCTGTTCCACGTTGATTGGAATCGAACGATCTGTGCAGCGGAAAGCAAGGGAGGCACTGCACCTAGTTTTAATGCCACTGGTGGGACTGATATCACAAGGGGATTCAGAGAAGAGTGGTGGGCAGGAATTCCTTGCATACCTTAGCCTTGCACTCTGGGTAAAACTGAATGGAACGACAAAGAAGCAACGCACCTGAACTCAATCTCCGACCGGCAGGGCAATATGAGGTACTCGCAGTCTTCGCATTATGTCGGCTACATAAGTGGCTGCCGTATTTGGTATTCCTCAGACCTTTCTGCTCTTGGCATAAAACGCGCTGCGGGCTCCTTTACCCGAGGTTGAAAGGCAGACTATTTGCTCGTTCCTGTTCTCTTGCTGTCCGTAACTCCATAGGATCCATTGAGTGCTGACGGATGCAACCTTGAATGCTCGAAGCTGCACTAGAAGAGGTCTAGTTGGAGTGATGTAGTAGCTGAAAGGACCGCTGCGGCATATGCAGCATCGCTGAAAGAGGGCAAGAAGAAGGAAAAGGTCGGAAAAAGCTGGGGATTGTCTCGGGCAATCCGCATGCTAGAGCTATCACAAGACAAGGGGTGGCCTTTTCGCTGCCTCTAATGGCGCATCTTTCTCCTTGTTGTTTTGTCCCTCGCTTTGTGACGGCCACCGGGCTTGCAATTTCCGACGACGCCATATTATGACTTGAAGCAGTTTCGATGCTTGTATGCTGTGTTGATGTGTTGTGGAAACCGTCGGTCCCAGAACAGCGGGGACTCGCAGCGATTCGAGAGCTGTACTCATAGTCCAAGTTTGTCAGTCAAACCTTGCATGAGGAACTCTCCACCACAGGTGTTTTGCGTTTCTCTTCTCTGTTTCCAAGGACTTGTGTGGCTTGCTAAACGCTGCCACTTACACGCAGCTAGGCATCAACCAGCTGTCTCGGCCGAACAGGGATTGTCCAAGCCTGAAACGCTTGCCATCGTTGCATCGCAGGGAATCTAGACAGACCGGCAAAGGGAGAGACGGAAGGCAAGACACCGACCAGCGATGACCATCAGCACTGACAGATCAGGTCCCGGGGCCACCGCGGCCCCAGGAAGCGCCCAGCCGCTGGTGCTCATCGTCGGAGCCGGCATCAGCGGACTGCTGCTCGCCCAGCACCTCAAGCGCGAGGGCATCCCGTACCGCATATTCGAGCGAGACGCCGACCTGGAGACTCGCGGCACGGGCTGGGGCCTGACACTGCACTGGTCGCTGGCGGCGCTGCAGAGTCTGCTGCCGTCTGAGCTGGCGCAGCGCATCTGCGATGAGTCCAGCGTGGATCGACGGGCGGATCGCCGGGGTGAAGCATCGCGATTCCCGTTCTTCAACCTCGACAGCGGAGAGCTCAAGGCGCAGACGCCGGGAGCCGTGAAGAGCGCGAGGATCCGAGTGATGCGCCAGAGGCTGCGCAAACTGCTGGCAGAGGGCATCGAAGTCGAGGTGAGCGCAACTGCAATTTGATGTCATTGAGGATGTCGTTTGTACCTTCCACGCCTCGATGCTTTCCACAAAGCATTCACGTCATCATTTCATGGCACTTTCCCTTCTTCTTCTCTCACTCACTTCGTCTCCTCCCTTTGCCCAGTTATTGTTGCTGCTCCTCTCAACACCTCCGCACTCTCCTCGCATCGTATTGGCAGCCCTCATGGTTCATTTTCGCTAATCGCCTCGACTCCAGTGGGGTAAAACCCTGCGCGAGTTCCATGCCAGCGACAACGGCATCGTCAGCGCTCTCTTTGAGGATGGCACCTCGTGCACCGGCACGCTGCTCGTGGCATGCGATGGAGGCCAGTCGCGAGTGCGCCGTGCTCTGTTCCCGGACGAGTCCAAGCTGATGGTGCAGCTGCCCGTGCGGACCATGGGCGTCAAGATCTCATTGACGGCGGAGCAGATCGAGCCAATCCGGAAGCTGGATCTGTTCTTCCTCCAGGGCGGCTCGCCGAGCAACAATTCCTTCACGTACTTCAGCGGTGAGTGACACAAACGCCTGTCTGCAATCTCTATATCTCGAGACCCTATTTGCTTTCTGTTTCCTTCCATCGCGGCAAAGCTTCATCCACCTCTCGGCGTTCTACTTTAGGTGGCCTGCCGTCGTCTTTGCCTGCAATCTTGGGTGCTTATTAGGGCTTCGGCCCGCTCTCAGCATTTGGTCCTGTGGAGCTCGCAATACGATACGGAGCCTTACTCGTATCCATCACCGACGTATGAATTAGGTACATACATACGGAGCACAAGCGGGAGCGGGCGGCCGCCGTCGCGGATCTGGCGATCACCCCTCTCCCGTGGCGGCAGCCGTGAGATTCGGTGATGAGATATGACGAGACGCCCTGAGATTGTCATCTGCAGCGAATCGCACATGGGAAGAAGAAACGAAAAATGCAGGAAACCATTTTGCTGACGCATCGCCCTTGCACATATAGTTCTCGATGTCCCTGGAAACCAGGTTGACAGCGACCCCGACCTCTACAGTTGCCAGATGCATGTCTCGTGGCCGTATGCCGGCAGCGGAACGTCCACAGACGTTCCAGCCACCAACAAGGGACGGTACGAACTGATGCACGCCTATGCAAAGACTTGGTCGGAGCCTTTCCGCTCTCTCGTCTTGAACAACGTGCATCCTGAGACGGAAATCAAGCGCCTGGATGTGCTGGACTGGGCGCCGCCTCTAGGCTTGCGCTCCAAGGGACAGGTGGTGCTGATGGGCGATGCGTTTCACCTAATGTCGATGTGTAAGTCGCTTTCCCCTCGTGTTCTTTTGCTGGGAGAGAATTTTCGCAAGTCTCATCGAAATACCCCTGCCCTTGGTATTTTCAGCTTGCTAGCTCCTACGAGTGCTAGATAACACCATGACTGCTATTCCGAGCATACCACCGGCAATACAGAACAGACTGGTGACGCCTGCTTACTCTATCTCAGACCGAGGCGAAGGCGCCAACCACGCCATTGTTGATGTACTCGACTTTGCGACACACGTCGTCCCGCTACTGTCACCCGATCGCCGCTTCAGCCCAACCACGGACTCGCAACAGCTTACCGATCAGAATCAAGGCCTAGACTTCCGGCGAGCTCTGCGCCAGGCGCTAGATAGGTATGAAGACGCCGTCGTCTCTCGGGCTCGGCCAGGTGTGCTGGCCTCGCGCAGGGCTTGCTTAGATGCGCACGCCTATTCCAGGTTATTTGGAGAGGCTGCGACTGGCGTCAGCCCGCTGCTGAGCAAGCGCGAGATGATGCTTCAGTTCGACGACGAATCGGCGGAGCTACTCAAGTAGTTGTAGCTTAGCACATCAGCTCCCCCAGAGTGAGCGATACGAAGTTTGTACTATATCCTGCTTATTATGCAAGGGAATACAGCAAATCACTCAACCAGTCCACTCTGATCCCTACGTTTCGTTTCGTGCGCCTCCAGGAACTGGTGCGTGGCGCAATGCAAGCGAGGCTCTCATCACCACCGTCGATTTATTGAACCAAAGATCAGGACGTCGGCGGGTCGGAAGATGGCCAATGGGCCTCGCTTCCGGGACCTCGTCCGAAGAATACTACCCTTGCCTGTGCATGCTTACGGGAGGGCCCCGCGGATCATTCCATGTACGAAGTACATGAACGAAGTGTGAAGGGAGAGGAAAGAAAGGGACGTGACAAAAGGGCCAGTCATAGCATCGTCCCATGGCCTGATGCCCACATGCTCAATATACTAGTTGGGAGCAGGGTCACAGAGTGGTTTAATTTAATCAGCCCAATCCCGACTCCTGGAGCGTTCCGCGCCATCGCGACCCCAGCTTAGCTTCCTTGTCCCGTCTACTATGAGAATTCTAGATCCCCCTATGCAAGAAACCTGCTCCGGGAACATGATCCGAAACGGAGAAGGGACTCCTCCCTCGACTTGTCCTTTGTATTCCGTTGGCGCTTGTTTCTTTCCTTTTTCCTGTCGTTTGTTTTTTCGATTCCCTTGCTCGGAGTCAACGCCCCTTCTGGTAAGGCAGCTTGATGTGCTCTGCTTCTCGAGGTTGGAAACTTGAAAGGTTCCAGATGTTGAGTTTTGTTCATGCGGTCTTGATATGTCGGTTCCTCTTCTTTCTAATAGAGGTTTCAAGAAGGTTTACGAGAGGGTTGCACGTAGTGGCTGCATTAGTCAGGTTTCACGAGCTTTAGTAGACAGAAGAGAAGACATGTACAAGCCTCGAGTGAGACGTCGCATCAAAGACTCGCCGGCGATGTCCTTCAAAGCCGCAGTTATTCATTGCCTCCGCGGCTATCCTAAGTCCTAGTGCACCAATTCTTTGGTTTTTTTTTAATTGTTCCCCCCCTGAACCCCTGGTGAACACCTCGCGAGAGAAAAGAGAAAACAGGGAAAAAGCAGATCGTCATTCCAAAGCATCAATCCAAAGCGTCACAAGCAAATCCGTACCAGTAGAAATGAACAAGAATGTGTACAAGAAATCAAAGGCATCACGGTTCTTTAGTAGACAAAGGAAAGTGAGACAAAAGAAACAATAACAGGCCCATTAAGCAGGCTGCCACATGACATCGTCCACCTAGACGTTGTCCTCGAAACTGTCGTTCCGCCGTCTGGGCTGGTTGCTGTCATCGTCCACCCGTACGCTGTATGTGACGGACTTCATGATGCCCGTCCCCTGTAGGATGTTTTCCTCGCTCGAAGATTTGCCCGTGGACAAGATGACGCTCTTGTCTTTATCGTGATCGTGGCTGTTGCTCACATCGCTAAGCTTGATGTGCTCGCCCTTGGGACCTCCTCGACTGTTCTGGTGAGATGATCCGTGGTTGTACGAGTTCTTCGTGCGGTATTCCTTGGCCTTTCTCATGAAGACGGGTGCCAAGAATGGCAGCGACGAAACCATGTTCTAAAACGGGAGGGTTAGGTATATGCATGCCAAGCCACAGGGGACATGGACTACTTACGCCGACATTGAATTCAATGGTTCCCCAAAGCACAAGCATTGTCGAATTGCCATCGCCGTTCGAGATTCGGTTAATCTGTGTATACCGCAGGATGGAGCAGACTGTTGTGAAGAGACCGAGCAAGAAGATGCCAATGAGACCGAGTTTCTTGCCCATCTGGACATTGAGCTTGAGAAGAACCGGCAGAGGGATGATGGCGACGATGATGTCGGAAACGATGGTGACAACCGCGTAGGCTGTAAATGACGGTCCAGCTGGCAGGCAAGTACCTGCCTTCAGGGGGTTCCAAGACTTATCAACAGGGTGGCAAGCGAAGATGAGGGAGAGAGCGCAGCCAAGATGCCCTAGAAAAACCAACAGCATGGTGGCAAAGACAACCTTGCGATACGTTCTCTGGTCGGTGCCTTTGAGAAGTCGAAGATAGCTGATGAGGAGTGCAATCTTGAAGAAACTGATTCCGAGTTGGTAAATGGGGCGTCCTGCAAAGTTGACTCTCGTGTACGGAATCAGACTGGCTGCGGGCCGGTCTTTGATGGGTAGTCCCAGGCCGTATCTTGTTTCTGCGCGGTGCGTCAATACCCAATTACGACCCTGAGCTCGGCTGACGGAGTATCATAATGTTGACTTACGGACAATGCAGAGGATCGAGTAGATGAGCGCGAACACCACGGATAAAGCAGCCATCCAGTCATCGCTTGCAAGACCACGGGCGGTGTGTCGAATATACAGACGGGTACAAACGATGACGATGGAAAACGCGGAGAGAATGGAGCAGATGATGATGATTGTCGGATATTGAGACTCATGGTTTATCGCCTCGTCGGCGTTCAGGACCCAGCCCATGATGAAAGAAGATGAATTGCCGTCGTTGGTCGTAATCGGTGTTAGCTGCTGAGCCGAGAATGGCGGCGGCCATGCAAGAGGCGCTTTGGGACGGCGAGAGACGCAACGACGAGGGGTACCGGCCAGAAAGAGAACGAGGGAGAGCGGCAAAGAAAATATAGCAAACGCCAGCGCCAAGTCAGCCAATAGACGGTGTATGCTTACTTGCTGCAGTCAGTCGCGCAACACAGCATGAAAGCAAAATCGAAGACCAGTATAAGCGGGACCGAGGGAAAAAGATGGCCCCCAAGGGGAATATAAGAGAAATGTGTGTTCAGTAGGAGAGCATCCAAGGCCAGAGGCCGCGAAGGGCGAGAGAGTGTCGGACGATATATGGATCCGGGACTAGCAGACGCGAGGTGTGTCTTAGATAGGGTTTCTCTTTTCCCTTTGGTCAGCATCAAGCTGGGACACGAGGCTGCAACCTGGGGCCCTGGAAGGCTCGCTTTCTCAAATCCAGCATATCAATGCTACCCTTTCGGTCGAACCCCATGCACGAGTATCCTCATCCGTACAGCAACCCCAGGAGACTCTTCTCTTACGGCCAAGCTCGCCACATAGACGAGGGCAGGTCGTCTCTCGCATGAGGTATTACTAGTAGAAGATCCCTACCTGCAGCATGGAGTGGAGGGACAGGTTTGACAGAGCAGGAGCTGGGCCCTGCTGAAGAGGGCACGAGTCAATGCGGACTTGAGAGCCAATGGTGCATGACAGTCTTCGACTCTGCCCTCTGTCCCCTGTAGCGATTCCACGTATACTAAGTAATCCTCTGCCTTTTGGCGGAGGCGAGGTCGGGAGACGATGCTACGATGTCGTCTCGCATTAAATTAGCAGCAGCTTTGACCGCGGCCTCTGGAAGGGATTGGCTGAAAGAACCGCGCTGTACGGGGTACTCGAGAGAAACCATACCTGCCAGCGCCGGGGTTCTCGACGACAGGCATTGAGCATCTCACCAACTCACCTCATGGCGAGCAAGGGAGGATACGTGGTCCCACCCTGATCCCTGCCCGCCAGGCGATAGCCCTCCGACCTGGTCGTTTGTAACGTATAGTGTGTATACCAGCTCGGACAGTGGCCGTACTGTGAGGGCGTGGCTTCGGCCGGCGCGCGGTTGGCGTGGTGATCTTCGCCAGTAGAAATCCACCAGCAAAGCCGTCTCCTCTTGACAATTGACGGGCCGCCGCTAATGGACTACCGGACAGAGGATCCGTCCATCACAGCGCTCATGACCCGACCTATCACTAGCCATGGGAAAAAAAGACCGCTTGTGTCTCGGCCAAGTGGTGGGAGCTGCGGGAGCTGCAAGAAGTAGTAACTCGTCGGCATCGGCTGCGATACTTTTGCCTGGCGTTGACTGTTGACTTGAGACAGACCATTCTATTAATGGCAGCGGGCTCAATGCTGTCCGAGACATTGTTCTGTACACCTGACGGCACAAGCAAGGTATTCACGTCTGTACAGAGCCGTCGAGGAATGGCGCGACCGGAACACTTTTGCCTCGGCCGACTAGAAGAAGAAAAGAAGTGTAAAGAATATTCCAGTTGCGCTCGTCCGGGCAGTCCCTATTTGGCATCCAACGCGCTGCTCAAGTGTCCTTGGTGCCCTCTGGGTCTGCGCTTCTTTTTTTTGCTTTCATCTTGCTACTACTAGCTGGGAAGATCACTGGGGCGATTTGGTGGGCCAGAGACGGCGGGCCTCTTTCATCATCAGTGGCACATGCTGCGACTGCCGAGATGCCCCGGGCTAGCAGAGGAAGGTGGTGAAACTATCGTGACGGCATGAAGAGGACGAGAGAACTGTTTGGGAGGGTTAGTACTCGAACTACTCCGTACTTGGTAGGAAGCATTAATACCGGAAGAATTTACTTCTCACACGTATCATGATCTGTCTGTCGCCTCAGGGGCAGCTGAAGAAGGGGAAGCGGCAGGAACTGGACAGAAAATCCCCGTTGCAACAGTGACATTGGGATGGAGACGGCCAGCCGCAAAGGTTGCAAGGCGTAAACTCCGATGGCGAAAAACACCGACGATTCGAGGTTTGATGAAGACAGAGAGAAAATTTGTTTGATTGCCGTCGATTGTGGAGTGTGAAGGATTGGGCCAGTGGGTACGTACTCCCGGGTTCATGGATGAGGTGCCAAAACAGGAAGGAAGGGACAACAGTTGCGCCGAGTGCAATTGCCAGCTCTTGCCGTGAATTGCAACTGATATACACACTTATTACTAACACACCTTGGGTAGGTACAGTAGGCCCTCATACCTTATGAAGGCGATGCATTCTAATATACAGAGGTGCCATTGAGATCTCGGAAAGGCCTGGGTAACCTGAATTCGTGAACTTGTAATACAAGATTGGGTTCTTATTCGTATATACGCCTCGGTAATATTATGTAAGAGCTCGGGGGAGAAAGCGAGCTGGAATCGGCTCCAAGACGTGGGCGATCTAGAAATGAAATCGTAGCGGAACCCGACGCAATTTGATACTACTATGGCAGATCAGTGGACATAGGCAGGTGGGCTCCTAGTTTAGCATGGACTTTGCACTGCTCGGAGCTCAACGACTGCAGAGTTTTCTGAGCAACACGAGGTACTTGCAGACATGCGGAGGACTTCTTCCAGAACTGATGGAGCTGGGCAGCGTACGATGTTTCGTGCTAAGCTCAGCGAAGCAAGTTTCTGCGGCAGCCAGGCACGACTTTGGATGACACCAGACACACGGAATCTGCACATGCAAGCCCCAGCGTGCTGCTTAACCGAACTATCAGATGCAGCTGCAGCTGCATCCTGCACCCGGCCACGCGAGGCAGAACCACGTACCTACATGGACTATTCATGCCTCTGCTTACAAGTGAGTGAGTAGTAGTAGTATTAGACTACCTAAGCTACTTGTGCCTAGAACTGGAGAACGAGTCCAAACGAAACTACTCGCTGCTCGTTCTCCTGGGGTTGGCGACGGTGGCCCTCAGCCGGACCGGGTCGGAGCGGTAGGTCGAGTATGTACCTAATCTAGTGCTGAGGGCTTGAGCCACAGGTCTCGTGTGTGCTCGTCCAGGCGCCCTGGAGTGCTAACTCGACTCCGCTGTAGCTGCTAAAGTCCCCTACAGAGCATCGGCCCAGCACCGGCTCCAGCTAGGTAAAGCAAGGGAGCTGCGGTCGACTGCCGGGCACAGCCCGCCGTTCATGCCTTCAAGTCCCTCCGTCATCACGCTCTGACAGTTACAATGGCCTCGATACGACCCTCGATCCGGCTATCGTACGAGACGATCAATCAACGTTACTCGGGTCAATTCCCCAGACCCCCGTCGATTCATGCTCGATGGCCAAACCGCACCGCGATCCGTGACAGGCGATGCTTCGCTGGGCGGGACTGAGACCACACAGAGACTAGACGCCGGCTGCTGCTGCTGGCTTTACAACTACATGTACGTTCGTAACTCGATGCTGGCTCAGACGGCGGAAGACGTCTGCATTGAAGGTGTCGACGGCGCAGTGAGCCCCTGCAGACCCGTCGGAAATGCGTTTCGCCCCTTGGCCTGTCTGGTGCCTGAGCGCTGCTTGGCCGCTTTCATCAACCACGCTTGTTGGCGAACGACATGCGATCGCGGCATCGCTGCCCGCCTCCACAAGCTCGCGCAGCGAGTCCCGGGCCTGCTAGGTCCTTCCACCCCCTGGCAATATCCGGCCTTGGCTGCTTGGCATCCATGGGCATTACTGTGCTGCTGGGCCCTCGCCTTTGAGCCTCGCTGGTATGATGGCGAATCCCTCGAGCGAGGGGGGCTGACTGGGGTAGGGGACTTCGACTGGCTTTGCGATCCTGGGGCAACATGTCTGTCTGTACGGAGTACGGAGTATGTATGGTCGAGTGGCTTACACAAGCAACGCCTTCGGAGATTTCGCCCATCCGCCAATATTGGACGACGGCGATTCCTGGGAGAGAGCAGCCGCGGCGACTCTTCTGGACTGCTTCGACCACCTAGAAATGAAAGCAGTTTAGCATCTCGACGTTGGACCGAGAGGAAGGCTGCCGCTTTGACAGGCCATCTGCAGCGCAACCCACCCGTTGTGACCATCCCTTTGGGTCGAGCCATTTTCCCTGCTCTCCGGCTATACGGTAAACCCCTCGCGGATGGCACTCTGTCTTGCCCTTTTCCCACCTCTTGTTTCGACGCCTGTTTGCTTCTCCCTTTCACTAGCATTGCTAGCACCGTTGGTGGCCAGTCAGTCTACTTGCTCTCTTTGTTATTTCTTACGAGTCATCTTCAACGAGCTGTGCTAGGCCGCTGCTTGATGGGTCCGGCCCAGCATATCCCTGGACCTGCAGTTGAACCCTGCTCGAACCCTCGCTGCGGCCCCTCGTGGCACCGCTGCACCTGCGCCCCGTCCAATTGTTTCGTCTTTGTGTGCTCTGAGCTGCTGCTAGCTTGGACAAGTGCGAGCGCTCCTGAGCTGCGATATCGACGCCGTACATACGAGTAGCTGATCCGCTCAAGAGCCCCTTCCCTTTGGCATCGGGACCCCTGCTCTGTGCTGTCAAATATATCATTACATATCCTCATTGGGGAGCCCGGAAATCTTGCTATTATTACGACGTACGGCAGCCCCCCTTCCACATCATATTTGAGCTGCCATTCCTGGCCCGAGGTGTTGATCCTTTGCAAGCAGCGCTGATCGTCCTGCTTTTGGAGCCTTGGAAGGAGATTTTTGTCCCAGGGCCCATCTCAGACATACTGCTGGATCCCTTCGTCTTCCGCTTACTCCCTCGCTGGGGCACTCAGACATACGATTCACTCATCACGTCACCCATTCCCCCAGATTCTGTCCTCGTTCAATTGAATTCCGCGCCTCTCGCCGGATCCGAATACACGGCCGTGGCTCTTTGGCACAGTCGAGAGCCGTGAGGACAACCGCAAACATGTCTTCCCAGAACATCAGCGAGAAGGGGGGCGATGTCGATGTCCGCGGCACTACCCCGTCTCAGAGCGACGTTGACGTTCCGGAGGCCGGCATCGATGATGCGTGGAAGTTCCTCAACGAGCACCGCGATGCTGCCGGCGTGGCCGCCATCAACATCGACTCGCTTCGCCTCAAGATCGACCTCCACATCGTGCCTCTCATGTTCCTTTGCTACACGATGCAGTTTCTTGACAAGGTCATTCTGAATGTGAGTAGATCTTACATGATCCTTTCGTACCTGCATATCGGCCCCCACTCAGATCGAGGGAGCGGGTTTCCTAACTGGGCGCCCCCCATCGTGGGTTGACAATGCGAGATGCTGATGCAGAAGTAGTATGCGGCTGTCATGGGCCTCAACACCGACCTGCACCTCCAAGGGAATGACTTTTCAAATGTGGCTACATTCTGCTTTGTCGGTTTGCTTTGCTTTGAGATCCCCAACGGTAAGTGTAGCTTCGTCCAAAACTTGGAACATGCTCTCCTTGGTCCCCCTACATGCAAGGGCCATATCGACTAACAAAACGTCTTGATAGCCTACTTCCTCCAGGTCGTCCCAGCTGCCAAGTGGCTCGGGCTCAATGTCACCCTCTGGGGCATTGCCACGGCCTGCGGTGCCGCTGCCCACAACTACCAGACGCTGCTTGTTTCTCGTGTCTTTCTGGGTATCTTCGAGGCCACCATTGGGCCTTCCTTGATGCTCATCAGCAGCCAGTGGTACACAAAGTCGGAGCAAGCTCCTCGCTTCTCGTTCTGGTACCTTGGCCTGGGCCTGGGCCAGATCCTCGGCGGTGCCATCTCTTACGGCTTCCAGCATGTTGCTCCTGGTGCAACCCTGGCTGGCTGGCGCATCATGTTTGTTGTCTTGGGATGCGTCACCGTTGTCATTGGCCTCTCCACCTTCTTCTTCTTGCCTGATACCCCTATGAAGGCTTCCTGGCTGTCCGATAATGAAAAGGTGGCCCTGTTGAAGCATGTCAGTGTGAACCAGACTGGCATCCAGAGCCGCAAATTCCGCCCCAAGGAGATTGTGGAGGCCCTCCTTGATCCTCAGATCTACCTGTTGCTGCTATCCGTCGTTTTGGTGAGTTTCGAACTGTCCATTTGCTGATCGTTCAATGTGTACTAACGTCCCAAAGCTCTCCGTCTCTAGCGGTGTCGTCACTACGTACTCGGCTACTCTGATCAAGAACTTGGGCTACCTGCCGGCCAAGGCTGCCCTGATGAACATGCCCTCGGGTGTCGTCAGCATCTTCTTTACTCTGCTCGTCGGCTTCGGCGTTCGCAGGCAGTCCCACCGATGGGCTTGGATCATCGCATGCATCATTCCTGCGTACGTTTGCCCCCCCTTGAGTCACACATATGGGGCCCGTGTAACTTCTGACACCTTTACACAGCATTATTGGAGGCGCCCTAATGTCCTTCCTTGACACCAAAACCCACCACGCGGGCGTCTTGGCTGGTATCTACCTGGTCAATGCAGTTGTCGCTCCTCTGACACTCTTCTACGCCGTAAGTACACACGCTTCCTTCCACCCACGGGCGTATTGCAGCGGTGAGTCGACTAACACGACGGATGCAGTGGACTGTCGCCAACGTCAGCGGGGCCACCAAGCGTGCCTTTGCTGCTGCCATTGTCAGCGGCTCATTCTCCCTGGGCAATATTATCGGACCCCAGACCTTCCAGGCTCGTGATGCGCCCGACTTCCGACCCGCCAAGCTGGCCGTCATGGGCACTCAGGCTGGATGTGCCGTGACTACCTTTGCTCTCTTCCTCTACTATGTGTGGCAAAATAAGAGACGCGGCGACCGCAGCCAACAGAACGAGGAACAATTCATGTCTCCTGAGGTCTGGGCCACCATGACGGATAAGGAGAACAAGATGTTCCGTTATTCTTACTAATATGCTGCATGCAATCCCGCTACGAGATATCCCTTCTTTTTTTTTCTCTCCTTCGCTCGAATTAATCCCTTTTTAGTTTGTTTATATTACCTATACTTTGCGAAACACGGATTTATCAAGTTAATGATTTGGGTCTTTCACGTCAGACATACGGGAGGAATAGGTATGGGACGAGTAGGAAATACCCTCATTTCACAAAATTCAAAAATTGAAGAAACGCTGGTTATGTCTATAGATGTCGAATATATGATATCCTGTCCGCTATATATGATCTGGGGTTGATATGATTCAGGCCTTAAATTCCCGGGCCCTGATAACGGTGCCACTCATGGAAGCGTCGAGGGCATTAATGACCGTGAGCATCTGCGAGACACTTTCCTCGGGGGTGATTTGGCCCTTGACGCCAGAGTCAGCCTTGCGGAATTGGACAAGCATCTGCTCTTCCGCCTCGACGAGCTGAGGCGGCTTGGGGCCTATGATTGTGTGAGCCTAGGTATAAGAAGACAGGGGGAGGAAGTGCGATATTCTACTCACCCTCCCAAGTATCGACCCAGCCGGGGCACAGAGCGACCGTCTTGATGCCCTTGGGCTCGAGCTCAACCGCGTACTTTGCGACCTGGACATTCATGCCGGCCTTTGCGATGGAGTAGGCCACGGCGTAAGCGACGCCCGCGCCGAGGATGAGATCGGTGTTGGCCATGGTGCTCGTGATGTGGACAACCTTCTTCTGCTCCCCCTTTTCAATGAGCGGCAAGAAGGCGTTGGTCGCCCAGGCGCCGCCCCAAACGGCCGTCCGAAAGGGCTGCTCGTAGAACTCCCTGGCGGCGTCGACGTCAAAGGGGACGGCCGTGGGCGGGAGCCCCATGGTCTCGAGGTTGACGGAGTTTGAGTTGTGGATGAGGACGTCGAGCTTGCCGCCGAGGATGTCGGAGGCTTCCTTTGCGGCGGCCTGGATCGAGGCCGGGTCGGTGGCGTCGGCCTTGAGGATGCGGATGTTGGGGTGCGCCTGGGCGAGGGCGTGGAGGGCTGGGATGGAGGACGGGGAGGGGTTGCGGACGAGGGCGAGGACGGTGTTGGAGGGGGACTGCTGGGCGAGCTGGCGGACGAATTCGCGGCCGATGCCTTTGGAGGCGCCGGTGATGGCGTAGGAGGGCATGTTTAGCTGTTTTTTGAGAGTAATACTGAATTTGCTTGAATGATAGTGAATTTGCTTGAATGGATGTGCCTTTGTGTTGGAGAGGGATTGAAGGCAACTTCACAGGGTTTATATGTGTTTGTTCGTGTAAGTCATGGCCTGGCCGGCTCCATGGTGGAGGGTGTCATTGCCATGAAGAGGAACAATGCCCGCGATGACAAACCCAACGGCCTGTATGTGTAATGCAAGATGAAACACAACATTTCCATGAGAATCTTCCATATCCAGCGCCATGTCTATGAATCATCTTGACAAAGATGGGAAAGCATCTCCTTTCACAAAAGGCCGGGCCGGAGTTCCATCGCCCGGTCGTCACCAGATCCAGCCAATCAGCGACGTCGTTCGTCAGCAACGGAAGCGGAACTCAACTTCAGCCGTCGGCCGACGGATCTTGGACCGGCCGTTCTCAACCTCCTCCCTTCGAAACGAAGTAGTACTCACTTACACCCACCCGTTCCAATTCTTTCATTTTCGGGTTTTTGATTTGATGATGAACCAGACAAGCGGATTAGCCCACAGAAGCAGAATCAAGAGAAGAGCCTGCGTCACGTGCACAAAGGCAAAGTCCAAGTGCGAGCCGCGGACAGACAACCTGTGCCAGCGCTGTGCCCGGCTGGGGAAGCCGTGCGTCTATCTGGATCTGCCCGAGCGGAAGCGGAAGCGCAAGGATGGCGATGGGTGAGATTTTTCCATGTTGTGTGGTCTTGATGGTTGCAAGATGCCCCGGGCTGACTAAATGAATGTTTTCAATGAATGTCATAGCCGAGTGGATGCCCTGGAGGGCAAGATTGAAGAGCTCACGGCTCAGTTGAGGGCGGTTCGATCCGGGCAGACCATCGTCACCACATCCTCCGTCTCCCAGGACGAGATGACAACGGCAACGGACTCGTCCGCCTCAAATCAAGAAGCTACCCTTGCCGAATCCGCAGACGGAAACCCATCAGAAGACCCCCTGGACCTCGCCAGCGAGGGCTACCACGGCCGCCCGCCCCCGACGACGTCCATCCTAGAAGGCATCCCCGACATCGTCGACCGCGGCTTTCTCACCGCCACCGAGGCAGAAAGCCTCGTCGCCCGCTTCCAGTCCAGCTTCGCGCCCAACTTCCCCTTCGTCGTCCTGGCGGCCCCCTCCTCCCCCTCGCAGAGCGGCAGCAGCAGCAGCGGCAGCGCACACCACCTCCGCAAGCACGAGCCCTTGCTCTTCCTCGCCGTCGTCTCCGCCGTCGTCTCCAGCGCGCATCCCATCCGGAAGCTGCTCGCCGACGAAATCATGCAGCACGTCACGTCGCGCGTCGTCGCCGGCTCGGAGCGGAACCTGGGCTTGCTGCGCGCGCTGCTTGTGCTGTGCGCCTGGTACAGGTATCCCGCGCAGAGGGGCAACGTGCAGCTCGTCCTGCTGCTGGACCTGTGCGTGACGATGGCGTACGATTTGAACTTGCATCGGAAGAAGGGGGGGCTGACGACGGAGGAGCAGAGGGCGCTGCTGGGGACGTATTGGGTTTCTACGAGGTGAGTTTTTTTGATTTTCGGATGGGCCCCCCCTTATGAAAAAACACTGGACTTTTTTGTATGGGAGCACCTTTTTTTGCTGATAAACGCATGAATTGAGCTGTTGTCTTCGCGTAGCTTGTCGAGTGTAGTTGGCAGGCCGACTGCAATGAAGCGAAGCAAGCGGATAGACGAATGCTGCGACAACATGGCCCGCTCGACGGAATATCCCTCCGACAGATGTATCCGGCCCATGATCCTCACGCAGTCGTTTATACGCTCCGTCCACGCCAGCTTCCAAGACCTTGAAGATGACGAAGAAGAAGACGATGCGCTCCAGCAAGAGTCCCTCATCAGGGTCATGGTCGGCGCCAACCTGCGCCAGTATGCCGCCTTGAAAGCCACGCTGGATGAAGAATTAGCAAGGTGCCCAGACCATACAGGTAAACAAAACGTCCCCTCTTCTCCAAAAACCATAAGACCAAAATGAATCCAGCAAAAAAGGGACTCAAAAGCTCACAACATGGCTTCCCCTTGATATGATGAATAGCAAACATCTTCCGCTGCACGACGCACTACATCAACATCGCCATCCGCCTCACGGCCCTCGACGACGAATCCCTCACCTCCTCCTCCTCCTCCTCCTCCCCCTCCTCATCGTTCGCAACGTCCCCCTTCCGGACGTCCCTCCTCTGGCACCTCCTCCGCCACAGCAAGGCCCTCATCGACGCCTACGTCGCCATCCCCGACGCCCAGCTGGCCCCCGTCACCGTCTTCACGCTCGCCCAGCTCTGCGCCTCGCTCGTCTACCTCCCGCGCTCCGTGTCGGCTCTGCTGAAGCTCATTGTCAGCAACCACCACCACCATCACAATCCCACCACCACCATCGCCGCCCCTTCTTCATCGTCATCGTCAGCTGCTGCTGCTACGAATCGCATCAAAATCAGGGGCGACGCCCTAAGCGAGGCCCAGGCCGTCATCGACGAGGCAGACTACCTCAACGTCGTCGCCAGGCTGTACGACAAGTTCGGCGTCCTCGTCGAGGGGCTCTCGCCGCAGGAAAAGGGGCTGGACGTGGCGGGCACGCTGTGCTGCCACATGGGCATCCTGGCGGGCTGCTACGGGCCCAGGGTCAAGGGCATTTTGGGGGTCGATCTCGTGGGGAGGAATCCGCTGGCGAGTATGGATCCTCCTCCTCCCCCTCCTCCTCTTCCCGCGGCTGATAATGGTGTTGCGGCTGTTGCTGCTGTTGCGAATGTCGGTGCAAGTGCTGCGACGACGACGACGATGCAGCAGCATGTAGCGGGCCAGAATGTCGGTGGAGGAGGTGAGTTGATGGATGAGCAGAGGGGATATGTTCCTGTTTCTGGTGCGTACTACTATGTTGGTGATGCGCAGGACGAGGGCTATTTGTTTAATGATGAGATGTGGTCTTCCGTACTGGAGAGTCTTACCAGCTTTGGATGATGGGGATTATTCATGATCTGTGGAACAAGAAAAGGACAGTCACAATGTTGGCTAGTCAGTGCAGGCGAACTGTTGAATAAACACGTTTTCGTTCAATTTGGCTATATAGCTCTTTTCCCCCGATATCAAACGGGGGAACATGAAAACCGAATAAAGTAAAACGCCGACCCATATCGATGCTTTCCCAGCGTATCAAAACGTGGTCATTACGGAAACGAAAAAGGAGAAAGAAGCAAAATAGCAGCAAAAAAAGGAAATCTAAATCCTTCCCCAAAGTCGTCCTTCATTTTAGTTTTCTTCAGCTCCCCAACACTTGTCGCCAACGGACGACCTTGGATATCACGATTTGTCATGCAAAATGAAATGTTTTCGAGCTCAAAACGTTTCCCCCCCCATATCCTCAAGCACTTAGACGCTGGGGCCGGCGGCAATGACGTCAGGGGTGGCCTCGCTCTCGTACTTCTTAAAGTTCTCGCGGAAGAGCTGGCCCAGCTTGACAACCTCCCTCTGGAAGCTGTCGTCGCCGGCGGTCCAGGCCTTCTTGGGGTTCAGCAGGTCGTCGGGAACGTTGGGGCAGGTCTTGGGGACCTGCAGGTTGAAGACGTCGTAGTTCTCGAACTCGACCTGGGCGAGCTCGCCAGAGTGGATGGCGTCGAGGATGGCACGGGTGTACTTGAGCGGGCATCGCTTGCCGCCCTGGGCGAAGCCGGCGCCGACCCAGCCGGTGTTGAGCAGCCAGGCGTTGGCCTTGTGGTGCTCAATCTTGTCGGCCAGCATGCGGGCGTACTTCATGGGGTGCAGGGCCAGGAAGGGCTGGGCGAAGCAGCTGGAGAAGGTGGCCTGCGGCTCGTTGACGCCGTCCTCGGTGCCGGCCATCTTGGAGGTGTAGCCGGAGATGAAGTGGAACATGGTCTGGGCGCTGTCGAGCTTGGAGATGGGCGGCAGCACGCCGCGGGCGTCGCAGGTGAGCAGGATGATGTTGGTGGGGTGGTTGTCGGTCATGCAGGGGATCTTGGCGTTGGCGATGTACTCGATGGGGTAGGCGCAGCGCGTGTTCTCGGTGAGGGTGACGTCGTCGTAGTCCACCTCGCGGGTGACGGGGTCGAAAACGACGTTCTCGAGGATGGAGCCGAAGCGGATGGCGTTGTAGATATCGGGCTCCTTCTCGGCCGACAGGCCAATGCACTTGGCGTAGCAGCCGCCCTCAATGTTGAAGACGCCGCGGTCGCTCCAGCAGTGCTCGTCGTCGCCGATCAGGGCGCGGTTGGGGTCGGCAGACAGCGTGGTCTTGCCAGTGCCGGACAGGCCGAAGAAGAGGGTGACGTCGCCGTTCTTGCCCTCGTTGGCGGACGAGTGCAGGGTCAGGACGTTGTGCTTGATGGGCATCTCGTAGAAGAGGACGGTGAAGATGCCCTTCTTCATCTCGCCGGCGTACTCGGTGCCCAGGATGACCATCTCCTTCTCGGCGAAGTTGATGGCCACGGACGTGGCAGAGGTCATGCCCTAGGTGTATCGGTTGGCGGGGAAGGTGCCGGCATTGTAGATGGTGTAGTCGGGGTGGAAGTGCTCGAGCTCCTCGCGAGGAGGGCGAATGAGCATGTTCCTCATGAAGAGGGCATGGTAGGCGCGCGCACAGATGACGCGGACGCGGATCCTGTACTTTTCGTCCCAGCCGGCATAGCCATCAATGACGTAGATGCGGTTGCGGGTGTTGAGGTAGTCGACGGCACGCTCTCGGTTGATTTTCCAGACCTGGGAGTGAGCATGTTAGTCGAAAAGTTCATCTCATCTCGCCAGTTGTCACCATCGTCAACATGGAGTGACTGTCTCAGTGAGCTCAGGCACGGGGTAGGCAAGTTGACACAACATCCACCCATTCAATCATCCAACCAACAACTTTGCTGGCGGCAGCACAGACACTGTCTTGCCGGAGCCCCTTTGCAAGTCAGCTCAGAATGCAGCCGCTTGTCGCCCAGCCCAGGGCCGGAGCACCTCGGATCGGATCGGAAGAGCCTGGAAGGCAGCATCACGAGCCAAAGCCGCGGGTGTCGGGCGTCCTTGGGGAGGCCGCTTATGGTCGGCTAGCCAATTCGGCCCAGCGGGGCCCCGGCTTTTTCTCTTTGCCCTGCATTCCTTTTCGCCAGAGTGCCGAACAAGAATTGACCTATTTCGTGTTCATGCGGGGTCTGGGGGGGCTGCCGTGACGCCAAGCTAGAGCTGCATCCTTGTTTTATTGGGCACCTCTCCGCATGCGCTTCCGATTCGACAGAGGACCAAAGGCAAAAAAAAACCCCAATTCTCTGGCCAAGTGCGGAAGCGCAGCTGAAGGAATCTTGTTGGAGGTGGCGGCTTGGGATTGGGTTTGGGCTGAACAGAGCTGAATAGGAGACGGGCTCCCCCCGCTCGCGTGACCATTTACCCAGGGCAGAAGGAAGGAAGATGCAGGGGATTGAGACAAAGGCGAACGGCAACGAAAACGAATGCATGGGTAAAGTCGGAGCAACGCGACAAGACAATGACGATGGGAATGACGCTCGCAGCGTCGATCAGGCACTTTGACTTACATCAGTGCTCATGGGCTTGTTGACTGGTCCCCACCAGATGTCGTTTTCTGAAGAGGGCTCCTTGACAATTCGCTTGTCCAGGGGCGAGCGGCCAGTCTTTGCGCCTGAGTAGGCAGTCAAGGCACCGCTCGAGGTGATGGCAGTGCCGCTCTCGTAGACGAGGGCATCTTCGTAAAGCGCGGCGACGGAGGGATTGGCGACCTGCAGGGCAAAGTACTTGTCAGCGAAGCGTCCTCCTGGTGAAGATGCAGTGTTGGCCGGCGATGCCTTGACTTACAATGGCGACGCGGTCGTAGTCAATGTGGGCAATCTCGTGCAGTTCCTCCTCTGTGGCAGACAGGTCAGTTAATAATGCCGGGTCGCAGGGCGGTGTGCCAAGGTCAGCCGCATCAAGGCGCAAGGTGGGACATACCGAGCTCGGTGTGCTCGCGGTAAGGCCTGCAGCACATGGAGGTTAGTCTCGGTTCTGCAATAACGCAGACGACAACCGTCATCTATGGGCATAGAGGAAGCACTCACTGAACACCGCCAGGGTGCAGGGCAGTCTTGTTGACGTTGCTTGAAATCACTGCTCATGCGTTAGCCCTCCCCAAGTCTTGCACGTTCCCAATTTTGGCATTGTTTCAACGGCCATTGAGGGCAGCACCAAGAATGGAACCGCTCATGGGAACCGACTTACTCTTGCGTAAATCTATTCCCGAGGCCTGAATCTGGAAATTGGGACCTTTGACGGTAGGATCAATGTATGGAGAGGCAGTTCTGAAGACGGGCTCCATTGGATCTTTATGTATTCCAGACGCGAACAGAGCCGGAGGGACAGGATCGGAATGTCGACGTCGTTCTTTTCGTCTTTTCGTCCTTTCTTCCTCTTCGTTCCCGCTTCAGCTGCTAAAGCCAAGGACCGGCAGGGGAGGGGGAGGGGCGTGGCGTTTGTCACAGGGTGCCGGGGTAGGGCGTCTTTGGGAGGCTTCCTCGTCCAGGTACCGACTCGCAAGGAACAGCGCGTCGATGTACTTGCGGCAGATCAGAAGGGCAGAAGCTAGAGCCAAGCTGTTAGATACGAGCTGCGTCCGCACAAGGTGCACTAGCTGGTAGCCCTGCGATCGAACAGTCCCGACTGGCAGGATTGCAGAGGCACAGGCTTCTTCCGAAGGGGGCTGTGGAGCCATGGCGGGCAGTGCGAAGCTTGACGCACGAATTTATATCGGAATGAAGACGGCCAGAAACAGGGGCAAGAGGGTGTGTGTGAAATGCAGTGGCAGAGAGAAACAGGCCCGGGGATTTCTGTGTGGAGAATAGAGGATAGGAGAGAGAGAAGGGCAAGGGGGTGTGCGTGAAGCAAAACGAGAGAGGAAAGCCATGTCTCTGCCATGTACTATCTTTTTTGTGGCGCTTGCCGTCGTCTGCACTCGGCTCAGGCAGTTGGCCGGTAAACTGATTCACCCACGGGACTTTTTGATCATTTCTCCAGCAGCTTTCTGTTTAATTTGGATTGCAGAAGCACAAGGGGCGTGTGTGTTTCAAGGATGCAAGGGAGGACGAAGAAAAGAAGGCGTGTAAAAGAAAGAGAGAAGGAAAATTGGGTAACTCACGATGCTAGTAGCAGAGTCAGTCAGTTTAGTTGTTAGTGCGGCCTGGGCACTTGTACAATAGTAGAACGAGTAATGATGGATTGATGACGGCACAAGCGCACTCAGAAGGTGAAGCCTTTTTCGTCTTGATGAGAAAAAAGAAGCTGATCATCATCGTCCAGAGGCGGGACGAGCAGCCGTATTTAAGCTTCTCTGTCGTTGCCCTCGTCTCGTCTGTTCTCCAACGTGATGTGAGAACATAGACCAACTTCCCCCCAGCCGAACCACCACCACTCCAACACGCATGAATGGGCATTCGATGATTCGCAAGGCAAAAACCGGGAACGATGGAATCTGACTGTGAATAACACAAGCATAACAGCATCTTCTGTCCCATTCTCCCCCAAGCGGACTCTTCCGAACGAACCCGTCCAGACGCCCAAAACCAACGTCTACGTCTGGGCGATTGTCTCGAGTCTTTCTTTTGCCGGCGCGCCTCAGCGGCTAATGCGGGGCGATTACGTACGGACTGGGCGCCGGGGGAGCGGCTTTGCCCGATGGGGTAGTTTCTGCTTTTACACATGATGCTTCTGTGGCGAATTGATTCCCTCGTCTCTTCCACTACCCCGTACTTTCTGATGCTCTAGGCCTGTTTTTTTCCTTTTCTCTCTGGGGCTGGTTGTAGAAAAGAAGGCATTGATCATCTTGATCCCGGGGATGCAACGGCTCGAGACCACCGATTCAAGCCGAGTTTTTTGACAGGACGCAGACATTGACATGATACTTGTCATCGTTGGGTAATCACGGCACTTTCTGAGGGTCACGAGGCTGGCCCGTGAAATAACAGGAACAGGCCTCAAGGCAAGAATCCATGCCAGCAAGACTTGTGGGCTACGTATCGTACTAGAGGTAGGTAGGGGGTCAAAAGAGGGAAAAGAAGCGGAAAGAAAAAGGAAGACGAGGTCAGCGCCAGCATCTTTCGTGTTCTTGCTCTTGCCTTGCTCCCCGGCCCGGGACAGCTTGACTCGTTTCTCTGCCGCTAACACATGGAGTAATGTGTAAGCAAGTACCCAAGGTACGGGGACACGGCACTCCTTACTGTCTACCCTAACAGCTTGTACATTGCACCAGCATCAAAGCATGTCTGTTATGAACGTACATGTAGTCAGGTTCAATGTTCATAATAATGGCAGCCCTTGATACTTGCTATTCGTGTCTTGACACTCGCGGCGAGAGCGAGGGCAAAAAGGCCTACCGTGGACTCAACAGGGGCTTCGAAGCGTGTGAGACTACTTAACCGAATCTCACAACTGGGCACGAGATCTCTCTCCTTTTCTCTGTTCCTCCGCCCAGAGTCCTCTCCGGTGCCCGATTACAGCTTGTCGCACAGGGCAAGCCACTGCCAGTCAGGCACAGCCTGCGCCTCAAATAGCACGTCTAGAATCAATCACTTGACACCCGTGAAACCATACAGCTCCAGGGCCATGGTGCTCCGAACCGATATTGGGGATCCAGTTCCGGTCCAGGTCACGATAGGTCCGTCCAGGTCCAGGTCCAATCCGGGGAGAACCAAGAGCCAAGACCGGCCCGGCCGTTTGCCTTGGGAGCCGCAGCTCTGGGGCCAGCAATCTCGCTACCCCGCGATTTTCTCGACAAACCGGAATGGCTCTTTGAGATTTTCGGCTGTGCATACTTACACGCCCCCTCCCCCTTGGCTTCTTCTGCCACGAGGAAAGACGAAGCATGATATGTACCTTAGATAGTAAGTACCTACGTATTTTTCCTTGGGCAAGACATCCCCGTTGCTGCAGTTCCGCCCGGCACGGCATTTTGCATACCTACTTGGTCCTCATGTCTTCTGTGCTTCCTTTTCTTCTCTGGCGTCTGCCGTGTCTCAGTCCTTCTGCTTTGCTCGAGACATTCGGCACCAGATATCCGGGAGTTTTGGACACAAATACCGTCATACGGAAGCACCGTGAAACAGTTCCCCTTTTCTTTCCTCGATGCATCTCTTTTCGACATCAATAAATAAATAAATAGATACCTAAATAAAATAATAATGGATACAAAAGAAATAAACATGTACACACGACATCAACAAACGAACCGACAAAAAGGGTCTCGGCCCAACGGCACCCCGTTCCCCCTTCCCGGTCCGTCTGATCCCGTGATTGGCTGCCCGGTCGCCGTGGTCCTTCTGTTCCGACTTTCTCCGCGAGAGAAACTGTGTGTATTCGATGGTATTGTATCGCATATTTTCCTTGGTATTCTCATCTTACATTTTGATTGATTGTCGTTTTTGAGTATTTCTGATAGCACCTTGACTCGAAAAGATAATCTCAGCTGTGCTAATGCCACCCCTTTTGCGGCATGTATCTTACGTACCCTCTACCTTATGTATGTTCGTCAAGATTACCTTAGCATTTCGGCTTGTTTGCACATGTGATATGCCCAGGCACCTATGCAGTGTGCATGGCTTTTAGAGTTGACTGAATAAACATCACCTTCCATCATGGAAGTTTCCGCCATGGAAGTTCCCGTCGTGGAAGAAAGTAAAGTAGAATATAATTCTCTAGAATCCAAGAGAGAAATCCCCCAATAGCAAAGGGCAATTCCAATAAGATGAATATTATACAAGTTGTAGATACGGAGCACCATCAACTGCCTCCTCGTAGAGTATTATGAAACGCCTCTTATCATCATAATCGATCCCTTCCTTCTCCAGCACTCATCGTTTCTCCGGCTCAACGCCAAGCCCACTGGATGGGTTCCCTGACGTAGCCAAACAACGTCCATCACCGTAAACATGTGGCTTTGGAGAAATAGTACCTAACCATTCAGTATGCCGCGTCTTCACCCATCACGGCAGTTTATAATACCAAAATACATGAGCTGTCTCTCTCCCTTCCAAACTTCAAGTCGACGCCTCATCGCCTCATCTACAAATACACATCTCATGTCACAACCACAAAAACACAAGTTGTTAACAGGCTCTCCTCCTCCACCTACCCGGCATCACCTCCCCCGAACCGAACCGAAAACCCCAACCCTCCATCCGACCCCACTTCACGGACGGACCCCCGAAACCCTCCCATTTTCTCATCCCTCCTCCTCCTCCTTTCTCCAGGTCTGCCTCCCTCCCTTCCCCCCCGCCCTCCTCGAGGTGTGTGCCGCTCCGTCTCGCCGGCTCGGGTTCGGGAAGCCTTTTCTCCCATCCCACCCCAGACTTTTCGGCCCACAAACCTTACGCAAATGTCCACATGGGAGATTTCACACAACAACACACACATACATGTACATCCCTGATTCCGAATTATTCTCGTGCCTCTTCCAGCGTCCCATCAGTTGTGTGATTCGGGTATTGCGTACACGTATCTTGCAAAACCCTGGGTGTTATTATTACGAGTGTTGCCTGGTGCTACCCCATATTCAGGCACCTTGCCTCTATGTATTACCCAGGTAGTTATTGACACTCTAATACCGAGCACCTACTTGATCGTATAAGGCTTCAGTCATCACGTCGGTCATGGACATTGACAACAGAACAATGCTTCAGTCATCGCTGACATACGGAACAGCCCGGAACGTCCGTGTCTCCACGAGAAACAAAACATACAAGTACACACAGGATAATCCGCCCAAACAAACCCGGAGCATCAACCAACTTATAAGGTAGTATTAGCAAGCAATCACTATGTACTTGTAATACTCCAGCAACGCAACAACCGCGCCTCTTTCCCTGCTGCTACCCATGCACAATGCAGGTCATTAAAATCATCAACCCAAAAAGCCCACAACCCCCCTCCCCTAGCCTGGCCCTTTATTTTCCTTCCCGAGCTTCCACACAACAAATCCCGTGAATGATTCTCTTGATTCGTTCAAATCCCACTTACACGAATTACTATTATGCTTCTTGCATGTGGCCTCTCCCTTCTTTTCGCCCCCATCACCTTCTTCTCCGTCAAGTCAAGTCAAGTCAAAGCCTCACCACACCCCCCCTGCCAACGGCATGTGCCGAACGTCTTCTTCAGCCGTTTGGGCTGGTGCTTCCAGAGATTGCTCGGGCCGAGGGCCGTTATCTGCTCGCATCTCCGTTCCTTGTGCCGAGTTTCATCAGTTTGGGCATGGGTGTATATAGTAGCTTTGTTAGTATGTGTAGTAGTGAGCGGCTGAAAGAATACCCTTTCGCGATGCTTTGCAAAGGTAAATGTACTCCGTAGTTATCTATCTCTGTTACTAGGCAGATAGGTAACATTCCGATGTGCAGCTCGACGGGTCAATACGGAATGAAATGCCCATATCAAAGGCGTTCTTATCTTTACTCCTTTCTCATCACACCCTGTGCTTGCATCATTCGCGCAGACATTGTCTTCTTCTCAAGCCCACGTCTCCCGAGAACGACTACAGAGTTGCTACACAGTAACCGCGATATTCCGTCTTGAACCAAGAAAAAGAGATTCGTTATCCTTTCTATGCTTGATAATCATGGCTTCATGTGGCATCTACAAATGCTTCCCATGACCTTATATCCCCTCCCGACCTGAATCGTATCTTCACAGCGTCTCAACCCGGGGCGCCCGAAGTCTTCAACATCGGCTTCCATGCAGGCCACGCCTTCTATACGAGTCGCTAACCGAGCTTTTCTTGTCCGTCTCCTTGACGCCTTGCTATCAGGGGTGGCTCTCACGCTCAGATTCCGTATTTTCCCCTTAGCACACCGTCTTAGCCAAACCGTATGAGACTGACACTTTCCTGCTCTTCCCATCTATGTTCATTCATTTCACCAATGGTCCTTTACTGATCCTCACTGGTAATGAGCTTCGTAATCTTGCCAATGGCAATGGTTTGTCCCTGCGCGATGTTGTTAGCATAAACGTACTATTAGTCCATGGCATCTAGGTCTCTTGTCATACCTGGTCTCGCAGGGTGAAACGACCCATCTGTGGGTAGTCCTCAAACTTCTCGACACAAACCATGCCGGCGCCTCCGGTCACCTGAAGCCTGGCGATGATGCTGTCACCCTTCTTGGCGTGTGTGGGAGGCAGCTTGCTCTTGCGGTTGGTGCCCTTCTGCAGCTTGTGCAGCAGAGCCGCAAAGGTGACCTCTTCAATGGCGGCGTGGACGTGCAGCACGCAGTTGAATCCAGACGTGAGGATGCTCTTGAGCTCCAAGACTCGGATCTGGGCCTCGAACTCGGAAACGCAGTGCACCAGTCGCTTCGGCGAGCAAAGCACAAACCCAGGCAGGATATCTTCTTCCTCGATGCCCTTGAGACGCAGACGCACCTGGTCACCGCACTGCAGAATGGACTGCTCCTCTTCCTGCTCTCCGTAGATGGCTGCGGCCTCCACCGGCTGCTTCCGGGGCATCATGACCAGCTGCATGCCCTTCTTGATCACACCCGCCTCGATCTTGCCGTCAACCATGGTACCCAGGTCTCGGTACTTGGCGTTGATCGGCATCATGAAGGGCGCGTTGACCTTGCGCTCCAATGCCTGCATGCTGTCAAGGTACTCCAGCAGTGAGGGTCCCTTCCACCAGGGGGCGATGCCTTCGGGCAATCTGTCCTTGATGTTCAGGGACATCTGGGCGGCCACGGGGATGAAGTAGACATCCGTCTTCAGGTTGTAGCCAGTTCCCTTCAAGAACTGCTGCAGCTTGGTCGTACACTCCTTGTAACGCTCCTCGGACCACTCCACCGTCGGGTCGTCCATCTTGTTGATGGCCACAATGAGCTTGTTGACACCCTGCGTCTTGGCAAGCATGGCGTGCTCACGCGTCTGTCCTCCTCTTTCGAATCCGGTCTCGTACTCGCCCTTTCGCGCGGAGATGACGAGAATGCCCACATCTGCCTGCGAAGCACCTCCGATCATGCTAGGCACATATGTCTTATGGCCCGGAGCATCCAGAATACTGTAGCGTCGCTTCTCCGTCTCGAAGAAGCCACGGCCGACCTCGACGGTCTTGCCCTTGGTGCGCTCTTCCTTGGTCAAGTCCATGACCCAAGAGAGATACCACGATTCACGGCCCAAGTCCTTGGCCTCCTTCTTGTACTTCTCCATGGTACGCTCATCGACCATGCCGGTGGTCCAGAGGATCGAACCACCCAACGTTGACTTGCCTGCATCAACGTGCCCGATGAAGATGATGTTGACGTGCTCCTTGCCGTAGATTTCCTTGAGGGTTTCATCGTCTACATCGGCTGTTTGTGCCTTCAGGACCGCATCGACCTCGCGCTGAGCCTTCTTCTCTGCCGCGCCGGTAGGGCTGGAACGGCCAGATGATGGGTCGGGAGACGTCCTTCCGGAGGTCTTACCGCTGCCGCCGGCGGCCGCCTTGCCAGCCTTTTCGCCAGTCTTTTCGATAGCCTTGACTGCGGAAGCCTTCTTGCCCGCCTCCGGCTCGTTGGATGGTTCGGCCTTGGCGTCCTCCTTGGCCGGGGCCGGGGCCGAGCTAGGGGAGCTAATCGACAGCACCTTGGCCTTGGGCTTTGCATCGCCTCCGATGCTCAGTACCTTGGCACCTCCTTCGTTGGAAACGAGGGGCTTCGGTGCGCTGGCTGGGGCCGCAGGGGCGGCAGGCTTTTCGACGGGGAGCGACTTGACAGGAGCGGCGGCCTGTGGCGCATTGTTCTTGGGGGCTTGCGGAGCGGGCTGCTGGGCTCGCTGAGCCTGCTGCTGACCTTGCTGATGGTATCCCTGTTGGCCTGACGTTGGGGGGAGACAGCTGCTGTTAGCTTTGAGGAACTGAACTCGGCGCATCACGGCATCGACATACCGTAGTTCTGGTTGTAGCCCTGGTTGTAGCCACCGCCGTAGCCTTGGTACTGGTTGTACTGGTCAAAGCCTTGGCCGGCGCCGTACTGCGGGTAGAAGCCCTGCTGCTGCCCGTAGTATTGCTGCTGCTGATATTGCTGCGCATATCCCCCGCCATAGGCCTGGCCGGGCTGGAAGGTCTGGGCCGTGGGCTGGAACGAGGCGGCGCCGGGACGGAAGACGCCGGGGGGAGGGGCGTTCATGTTGAGCTGCTGCTGGGCCTGCTGGGCCAGGTTCTCGTCCTGGGCCGCAGGATCGTCCTCCCAAGAGTTGAGGTTCGACATCGTGGGTGGCGAGGGCAAAGCCTGGGTGTTGCTTGGATGGAGGGGTCGCTCGAGAGTCGTTCGACGGGCCGAGTGACGAGGTGCGTTGACTGCCAGCCGCGTGGGAGAGGTGATGAGCGGCGAGAGATCGGACGCCGGTGATGGACTGCAGCTGCTTTCGCTCACAATCTCGAGGCTTGGGGTTGAAAAGGCGACGGTCGAGCGTCTCCGCTGGCTTTATGGTGCAGGATGTGAAAATTCGAGCCCCACCAAGGCAGCGACATGACATCGCTAAACTTTGGTGGTGCTTGCAGGATTTGTGGAGGGGCGGCCACAGTGCATCGCTGGACGACGGGACACGGTACTGCTGTGGTTGGGTTCGACCTTGCTCTCAGAGGAGGCGAGTCACTGGATTGTCGCCTCATTCTATCGCAGGAGACCTGATAATAATACAAGAGCCGCTTTATCAGTCGATCTAAATGAAAACCGTACTTTTGACCCTTACGACCGCACTTCAACTTGATATTACATCCCGCTGCCTTGAAGCCCCTGCCTCCATTCAGCATTTAGGCATCCTCAGGCGGGTCTGAGTCACGGAGCGAATTTCCGCACTGTATTTCTTCGAGCCCAGCGAGGGCCCGCTGCGATGCACTATCATTTCACTGCAAATTTACAAGCAACACTTGGAACTTGGAAGATCCGCACTCAAGATGCTTTAAATCTCAGGCTCACGCTCCGTCATGATAATACTGCAGCTGCAACACACACACCACAAACCGCGGATATGGACGACTTCCTGGCCGCCGTTGGCGTGCAAGCCATGAGATACGCCATTAGATCCGGCATCGCCTTGACCTCGTCGTATGCCATCAGCCAGTGCTCTCGCCTGCTAAAGGCCGTCGACGACAAGAGCCTCCATGCCGAGCTGAGGACGTTGCAGAAACACCTCGATAGCAAGATCAAGGTACGTTGGCCTCGGCATCTCTCTTCGACCATCTTGTCGTGCTGACTCTTGTGGCAGGTCATTTCTCCTGCGATTGACCTGGTGGAGTTCAAGTCGGTAATGTCCATGGCTAGGGAGGGATGGATGGATGGATACTGACAATAGCTAGATCCGGACGAGGAAACGTCTTTCTTGAGTCTGCCCTCCCTCTCGCTAAATCTCTCCATCAGCAGATCGTCTCGCTGGGTCGTCGTGTGGAAGCTGCTGCCGCTGTCGAGGAGCATAGCCACCGCTCAGGGGTCAGTCCACCAACCGCAGCAGCCAGCCACGAGGCGTTGAAGAAGGTGATTCAAGACTTGAAGGATCTGCTGGGCGAAATTGATCGGGATATCCCTCTCTTGCAACTGGCTATATCGGCATCTGGTGAGAGCCTGTCTACTTCTCTCCCTGCTGGTATATCTCCTTCTCGGCTGCTTCAGGCCAGTACTCTCTTGATTGTCGGCGATACGCAGTTCGCACAAGACCCCAGTAGATCGGTCCAAATTGGGCCTTCATTCACGCTGTCCGTCTACATGCTGTTTCTAGGACATGCCTCTGTGTCGTCTGCCCCCCAAGACGGGCAAATGCAGCCAGGAGCTGGAAGCAAACATCAACAGACGCTCTCCAAAAGTGCAGATGCAAAGACACAAAGACCAGCCTATGGACTGGGAGTGCAGGATAGAAAGCCTTTGTGGCAAGAGGCAATCCATAAGGCGCGAGTACGTCTATGTAGATCAGCATGCAGCCCAGCCATCGAGGGAATCCCTTCCAACGGGGATACTCACAGTAAAGTTGAGCCTGATGGACCACTGAAGTATGCCTATCACCTCGAACTCGTCGAAGACTTGGACGACGGGCGTGCTCATGAAGGGGATGCCTCTTCGCAGCCGTTCAACGGCGTTGCAAAAGCCGGCATTCGAGAACTGATTCCGATCCATCAGCTCTCCAAGATATTCTACACCGACACTGGCAGAATACTCAACGTTGGAGACGGAACCGAAGGAGAAAACAATCCGGTTCTGCTGCTGAAGCGAGATATCAACGCACCTCGACTGCGAAGGCCAGAATACGACATGCTTGGCGAGATGCACAGAGCCGCCAGCGATCCTACGCAACAAGAAGCCAACGAAGACGAGCAAGCCGACGTGGATCGGCAGTTGTTTGGAGAGTCCAGCGGCTCCAAGGTCGCTGGGGACAGCTGCGATACTTGTCTTCCAAAACACCTCGATCCTGAGTGGATCGCTTTCGAAGTTTTCGAAGAGGATGATGATGAGCGGAGTGATGCGAGCTCAAACGCAGGTCCTGATACGGAATCATCCGACGAGACTCAGGAGCGTGGCAATTCGCCAGCAAAGTCACCGTCGCGTCTCCGTGCGGCCATGGACTCGAGCTTGGTCTCCCAGATCAAGAACCTCTCTGTACAGCCGACTTCACGGAGTGACCTCACGCTGAGCAATTCGGACTGTAAACTTGATCGCCCTTCACGAGCTTTAGCAAAGGATTCGGCAAGGGAGGCGCAGGATTTCGTGTCGCGGTCTCCCTTCGGGGCCATCACGACGTCTCTCTCCCTGATCGAAATGCTGATTCGGCTGGCCGGACTTCAAGAGTTCCAGCAGGCTTCCCACTTGTCGATTCCGGACCACATCTTGACATTTTTCTTGGAAGAGACATCGACAACGGGGTTGACCGGGGAGGCGATGTGGAAGGCGAGGAGCGAGACGAAGCAGCGCGTTGGGTTTGACCCATATACCGACACGGCATGAGGAGTGTTTGATAGAGACCAGGAAGAATAGAATGTATAGACCAAATCGAAAATAGAATAAAACCAAGTGCACCATGGGACTGCGATGCCAGCTCACAATGGTGCTGAATCACCAACTCATGGACTCTTATATGCAGCTTCCTCGAGACAGCCAGCAATGCATCCTGAAAGCATGCCTGCAGAGTGAGGCCGAGTAATTGGCTGTTCTAGAGAAAGCTGGGCGAAATATAACATCATTGATGAACTTGATCATTGCAGCCACTCAATTAGCCCCCGTCACCTGAAGGTCCGCACATGTACCTACTACTACAGTCTTTTGAGGGGTTCGAGTATGAGCGACTCATCGACTCCAAATGTAACCAAGGCCCGCTTGCTGCACGAGGAAACCCTGGTTCAGCCAAAGATAATTCTCCATGTTGACGTGCAACTTGATACATACCTATTGACGAGAACCGAGGACATGGCGCCCTTGATTCCCCGCTTGCAGCTGTTCGAGATTGATGATCAGCCATGGTAAGAAAGCCCCTCCTATATAGAATACTACGACTCCAAGGCTCTAGTTGATGCATTCAAACTCGAGGTGGATGTACAAGAATTACCCAGTGAAAAACCTAACAAATGAGAGCTTCAGGTTCCCTGCATTCCTGCGCAGCCGCGTCCAAGGCGGCCTCACTCTGGCATGGAACTCCAACACGCCTCTCCAGCCGCAATCACCCGCCCACATCGCCGCATCCACCCTCATCCAAGAAATAGGCAGCCCGCTCCCCTCTTACACCTTCATCGACTTCTGTGCCGGTGCGGGCGGACCTACTCCCGCCATCCAGCGAGCCATCAACGGCCATCTCAGCGCCCAGGGCAAGACGCCGGTCGACTTTGTCTTGACCGATCTGCACCCCAATGTTGCGGCGTGGAAGAGCCTCGTGAAAGGAGAAGGCCCGCGGCTCATGTTTGAGAGGGAGTCTGTGGATGCGAGCAACGCCCCGAGACACGTCGTGGAGCGAAAGGACGGCAAGAGAGTGATGCGGCTGTTCAACTTGTCCTTCCATCACTTTGACGACGCCCTGGCGAGAGACATCTTGAAGGACACGGTCAACACCAGCCATGGCTTCGCCATCTTTGAGCTACAGCATCGTAATCTCGCGGACGCCGTCACGGTCCTGATGCTGGGCGTTGCGGCCATCGCCTTGGCGCCGCTGCTGGCCTGGAAGTGGAAGAGCCCAGCCACGTTGGTCTTCTCTTGGGTCATACCCGTGCTTCCCTTTGTCATGGTTTTTGATGGACTGGTCTCCTGTCTGCGTACGAGGACGGCGGAGGAAATTGAGGCTTTGCTGCGTGGCTGCGGTGCGGACACGAGCTTGTGGGAGATGCGGAGTGGAAGAAGCAAGTTCATCTGGCCCTGCGGATACTTGCGCTGGGTCATTTGTAAGCCCGTTGAGAAAGAGCCGAGTCTGCGCTAGGTATATATACAACAAGAAAGGATGGGATGACTCTTATACAGTCGAACCTCAGCGAAACCACCAGTTGACTGATCCGTTTAGATGTCCATCCGACTGCTCGCTTTTGATAGAATGCCACCACCCCTTTGGAATAAACAGGGCATCACCGGCACGTAACGTGACCTCTCGGATATCCGTCATCTCAATGTCTTCCATCTTGTTTTCCCAAACAGCGCCATGCAGCAGTTCTCTCTCTTCACCCTCCATCATCTCGGTAGACCTTATCCGACCATTCCCAGACTTCTGCAGCCTCATTCGCACCCGATGATACAGCTCGTGGCCCATCTCAGGGGGCAGCAACCGCACCACCTTGCTGCTACACAGCTGACAGAACAGGTTCGGGTTCGGGTCCCGGTGGAGCGGCGTGTAAGTCGGCTCGGTGCCCAGCCATATCGAGGAGCTGTAGACGTCGCCTCTCCCTACTTGGGAAAGGATTTCTGGAGTCGGCACATCGCTTTGCAGAGGGCTGGGGAGGTCCGGGAGGAGAGACTGGGCAATGTAGAGCTGTATGGGGGGATGTTCTTTGCGCCGTTGAGCTCTGTTGAACTCGAGCGCCCTGATGAGCAGCTTTAGTGGCGCATAGAGCTGGAAGAACTGTTGGCCGTGGGGAGCTTCTGAGATGACTGATTGCAGTGCCTCTGCTAAGCTTCGATCAATGACATCTTGGCTGTTGGAGAGGCTGTCGTGGAAAAGAGCAATGGTCTCGGTTCCTTGGTTGGCGGGCTTGATCAACTCGTACGGAAAGGTCCATTGGTGGTAAGGATGTATGTATGAAGATAGACATGATGTGCCGTTGTCGTCCTTGTCAAACCATTTCTGATATGCTGGAAGAGTAAAGGTGGGAGAGGTTGTTGTATCCGTAAAGACGTACGGTCGTTCGAGCTTGAAGCTATCTCTGAACGAAGGCTCATCTGCGGCACCTCTTGTCGAGAGTGTCCGGACTTTGGTAAGAAATGACACTTGATTAGTCTGAAGTCTCCATCTTTGAGTCAATGGGAATGCCCTCAAGCTTTTGCTCATTTTCATGAAAAGCACAAGTTGTTGAGCAACATGGATGATGAGAATGAGAATGAATGTCCAGGGTGAGTGAACCGCCTGAAGCTGCTCAGATTTGAGCCGACCTCCAGCATGCTCTCGGTATCTTCTACTTGTGTCCACTGCAAAGCCTGCGACAGCTCGCCGGTAGCCGCTACTTCTTCAATTTCAATGTCCAACATCAGCCACCAGCTTCCGCCTTCAGTCCCTTCTCTCGGAACCGGCAGAATCTGATGCCGATCCCTCTTAGTCAGGCTGCATGTCCTTCCCTCAACCAACACCGCCTGCATCTCTACTTACGCGCGCCGTCAACTGCCTGTCAGCTTGACCAACAAACGCTCTCTATCGTAAGGTCAGCCTTATCATCACAGGCCCGCGACGAGGCTGCCACCGCGCTGCCCGAAGCCGATGCCTGCGTGACATCCGTCGCCCTCTTACGCGCATCATCCATCTGGACCTGCAAAGTACTTGCCAGTGACCCCAGTGCCCCAGCGAACCGCCCCTGCCACGACGCCGCCCGGCTGCTCCCTCAGGGTCTCGCTGCTGTCCTGCCCAGGTTACGCGCCCAAGCCGCTACGCCTCAGGCGGGTTCCAGGCCACATCCACCGCGCCAACGCGCCCGTAACACCGGCACCACAGCACCACAGCAGGCGCCCCAGGCACTAATCCGGGCCCCCTAGGCGTCCAGGTTGGGTGCCCTTCCAGCGGCTGACCTTAATCGATAAGCCACTCCCAGCGAACGGCGGAACCCCACCTTGGCCTTTGGCCAGTCCTTCTCGTCAACCTCCAGTCTGCATCTGGAGCCTCAAATATCTGCAGTCCGCACCTGTCCAGCCCCCTCGGTGGCCGTCATTGAACCCAGCCCGGTCCTCGTCCTTGCTGCCGGCACCATGTCGACCTCTTCGGGGACCCCCGAGTCCTGGATCGCGAGCTTTTGCGCGCTGCCCGGCCACGAATACTTTGCTGAGGTGTCCGAGGAGTTTATCGAGGATGACTTCAACTTGACGGGCCTGCAGACGCAGGTGGCCATGTATAAAGAGGCGCTCGAGGTACGTCGCGGATCTGCTCGACATGTCCGTCGGCCTTGACGGACACATGCTCAATGCCGCCTTCAAACTCGTGACCCACGATTTGCTAATTTGCGCGCCCCCCTTAGATGATTCTCGACGTGGAACCAGAGGATGACGAGGATGATGAAGAGGAGGAAGAGGACGACGACGAGAACGAATCGGGCCTGGAGGAGGCCGACCGTGCAGACTTGCGACGCGGCGCAGAGCGGCGGCACCACAGCAGGATGGCTAGCGACCTGTCCGTCATCGAGTCGTCCGCCGAGATGCTGTACGGCCTCATCCACCAGCGCTTCATCTGCTCCCGGGTGGGCATCCAGCAGATGAGCGAGAAGTACGAGTTTGGCCACTTCGGCTGCTGTCCGCGGACGCACTGCGAGCAGGCACGCACCCTGCCCGTCGGCCTGTCCGACATTCCCGGCGAAGACACGGTCAAGCTCTTCTGCCCGTCCTGCCTCGACGTCTACGTTCCGCCCAACAGCCGGTTCCAGACCGTCGACGGCGCCTTCTTCGGCCGCACGTTCGGCGCCCTCTTCCTCCTCACATTCCCCGAATACGACCTCACCAAGCGCGGCGCCGACGTGCTGTCAACCACAAACTCCAAAGTGCCCGACGACGAGAGGATCCTCAACGGCATGTACGCCAAGAACATTGCGCCGGGCCTGGGCAGAGGCCACATCTACGAGCCCAAGATATACGGCTTCAAGGTCTCAGAACGCGCGCGGTCCGGCCCCAGGATGCAGTGGCTGCGAGACCGGCCCGACGACATCACCGAGCTGGACGAGGCACGCCTCTACCACGAGCAAAACCCCGATTCGGAAGAGGAAGACGACGAGTCCATGCAAGTCAACGGCCGAGCGCTGGTCCGACGGCGGCTCCCGGGCAATGCTCGCCTCCGCCAGCGGCAACAACAAAATCACAGCGGTAGCCCCATGGCCATGTCCGCCAACGGTGCCGAGTCTGAGCTGTAGCGTAGCCCGACCTTGTGTAGCGAGACCTTGGGGACTAACAGACAACGCATGCGGAGCGCATCGATCGAGGCCGTCGTGGCATGTTCCAGGAGATATTCGCCATATTGATGACAAAGTGCGCTTTTTTGGGTTCTCCTGTTTCGAAAGCAATTGCTGGTTCGGATGTGGCCAAAGAACGGACGGACGGACGGACGAGGGGAGTAACACGGAGAAAGGGGGGAGGGGGAAGCCGATGGTGGGGGGATGGAAAACGAAGAAAAAAAATAATCATGCTGTTAATGGATACACTGTTGAATATCATGTGTGTCCTTTTCTATGTACGTAAAGCGAGGCTGCCGGGGTCAAACAAACGGGTTTGCTTTTTTTGTTACTGTTCTTTTTTTTATCTTTTACCAGACAAACACACGCGCAAACACATATATATCATCTTCACCTAAAAAAATAACACATGCACAGAGAAGAAAGGGGGGGCGGGGGAGGGTGGTAATGCATACATGGGGTGTTTTGGACGGTTTATGAAATAAGTAGGAGTTGCATTCTTCGAGAGAGCCAAGTCCCCTTCAGCCCAACCTCGCTCGTTCAACCTCAACACGCCGTAGCATTTCTTTTCATGCCACGGAATGTGTGAAGAAATTGCATTCTTCGGTTTACTACTGCCTTGATCTGGGAAAAAAAGAGAGAAAGACAGAAATAAACAGTAGGTATAGTCGAAGTGTTGTCTTATTTGTCTTTACATATCATCAATCCCGTTGCCGCTCTCGTCCCATTCAAGCCCATAGTCATATCAATTCCTGTCCTTTAGGATACTCCCCCCCATGTTTCTCAGATGTTCTGTACATCCGTACATTTCCTACATGTCGTGTCTCCTTCAGATATCATTTACCCTGCTTCTCTGGAGGCAGACTCGACCACTGAGTATAACCATCCCCTCCAGCATGCTCAAGGCGGACCTAAGACGACAGGCTGTTGTTCGCCTGCAAAGGTCCACAGCAAACATATGTTCGCAACTCATTCCAGGCTTCAGAATCTCCTCGTCTTCATTCCTTCGGTCATACCCTCCCTTCTGTTCTGTGCCGTCTCTCACTTCATAGGTGAAGCCTTGCCCGGTGTCCAGCCCCCATTGTTAAACCCGACCCTACCGGGGGTGGTTGGCACCTGAGTAGGCGTTGGAGTCCCCCCGTTCTCCGCAGCAGGCAGGGCGGGTGGTGTGACTGACCGGGAAGCGTCGCCGCCGTCCCTTTTAGGGGGCTTGAAGTTGACGTCCCGGCCAGCACGATAGATGTCCTGCAGCATAGTCTCCAGGATCCCGGCGTCTTGAAACTCGAGGTACTTCTTGTAAAGCTTGAGGGCCGTCCTGGAATCTTCAATGGAGTCATGTGTCTCCAGCTGGATGTCTTCCTTGAGCAGGTACCACGCCAAAAAGGCGAGTGATAATTTTCGCAGGCGTGATTTGAGGTAAAACTTCTCAATCGTGTCGATGATTTGGGCCTTGGGTATGTGGATGTTGATGACTCGAAAGTCCTGTTTGAGTCCGTGGCCCAAGAACGTGCAGCCCAGGTTGAGCAGTATCCAGAGCTTCTTGTACACCACTTTGTGTGGCAGGAGACTGTGCGTGGTGGTGGCTGGGTTCAAGTCTTCCGCGACAACGCCCGAGAAGGACGTCAGATAGTCAACCACCGGTTCGTTGATGGAGATGTAGTCGTCTATGAAGGGAACCCCCTCTTTTTCGCCTTGGCCTCTGACAACAGAGGCGCGCGCGAGTGCGTGAACTCTAGGTCGAATCACTTCGCGTTCGCCATCCGAGTTCATTTCGATTTCTGGCTGCCGCACTTCCACAAATTCGGCGTCCAGCGCGACGATGGTGCCTGGTCCCGGCCGCTCTGTTGCAGGGTCGAGCAGTTGATATGTCTTCTTCTCCGCACGAGGGCTTGGTCTAAAGGGAGCGCCAAAGTTAGCATGCGCTGTTCTTTCAACGCCATGAATGTGAGAATATTAGCAATAGATCGGCTTACCCCAGATCCTGATACAAGATCGATGTATCAATGTTCTTTTTCCATTCATTGTCGATCTTGTTGTTTGCCGCCTTGACCTGGTATGCAAGAACAGAAGGGTGTTTCCAGGTGGTATTGAAGCTGAGAGCCTCGTCTTTGCTTACGGGGCGCACCAAGAAGTCATTGAACAAGTGCCATTGGCTCTGAGTAGGAGCCTCGGCTTCCGCATGGCCAACTAATCGAGAGGTTAGTAACGTGATGAAAGAAAGTAATACCGTTGAGGCATGATGTCCTACCATTGACCATGGCCACAAGATGCGGCTTCTGTGCCTGGCCGCTCTCGATGTTGATGGCCATTCCGATCAGCGAATAGACTGTGATATTGTGAATGCCGCGCTGCAAGTGGAGCTTCAAGTCCTCTCCTTCGTAGCAGAAGAACTGGCCCTGTTCGACGATGATGCCGATTTCCTCTGGTAACCAGCCCGGCGTGGCCCAAAGCGCTCGGTGCTCTGCGCTCGTGATTGCGGTGTTGAGCATCAAGACCTTGGGAATGCTGTGAATCGTCTTTCGATTCGACATGGGTTGGTACTTGTGGCATCCGATGCACCATCCCTTTTGAGTCGTCTCTCTCTCCACGCTGCTCTTAAGAATCTGGGAGAAAGTGGTGCGCGGTGTTCTACCATTTCGACCGGGCGGTCGCTTGAGACGCGTTGGCACAGAGTCACCACGGAGCTGGTCTGACGAACTTACAGGACTTGGATAAAGCAAGTCATTCACATAGGTCGACCCAGGCCTCTTCCATTCGCCCCTGCAAGTGGCACATTTGATGTTGCTGGTGGCCATTGTCGCCAATGTCTCCTCCATGACAGTGGGAGCCGGGGCCATAGTCGTGTAGTCGGCGGCAATTCTGTCGAGGAGAAACCGGTTGAGCCCCTGCAGCATGGCATGCAGAGACGACCCGTGAGCATCATCTTCCTCGAGGAGACCCAGTGGCGCAGCTGTGGGTGGGTTAGCCTTTGCGGAGCGATGTGATGTGAGCGGGGAACGAGTCTTACCTTGAGGATGTCGGCTGAGGGTTTTCAGCATGTTCGTGGCCTGGCAAATTGATCCCTCTGCTTTCTGGAGCATATCAAAGAGAAAGCCGAGCTCGCACAGAAGGCAGGTCTCGCTGATGCAGGAGGTAGCTGTATGATTCAAAGCAATGTTTCGAATCAGGGGGACAAAGTGCATGAGCTGAAGCAGCGAGTTTGCGTAAGAGTTGGAGATGTGAATCTCGAGGCCCGAATATCGCGTTTGGTTATAATAGCCAAAGTCGAAGTCGTCTACACCGAATTTGCTGTACTTGATCTCGACATTTCTATACATCATGGGCAAGTCTGATCCGACTTCCATCTCCGAAAGGGGGAACGAGAGCTCGTCTGCCCTCTCTCCGGCGCTGGAAGATTCCGATTTGGCAAGGTCTCTAGCCTGTTCGCTGAGAAACTTCGGCGCCTTGATCCCAGAGTTGGCGGACTTGTGTATGCTGCGAGTGTCTTCTAGCTGATTCCTTTTGAGGCCTCGCACATTGCGGCCATAGAGCGCCGACTCGGTAGAGTTGAGACCGGCAAGGAATTGCGTATCGAATTTGACAGGAGGAGCACCAACATCCGAAGGCAACTCGGGCCAAGAAGAGGCAAGTACCTCCCGATAGTAAGGGAGGCCGATGGAGTTCAGAGGGCTGTGACACGTTAGCTGATACATGATCGGACCCATCGAAAGAGGGTGTGCAACTCACGTTTCTGGTGACCAATCAAGCTGCGGAGCCGGCGGCTCGATATGAGGATACTCTATAGGAGCAGGCAGATCCACGAAGCGTATCTTTGTTGGCGAGCCCCAGAGGTGAATGAAGCATTCTGCATCGGCGAGAGCTATGGCCTCGCCCGAGGGAGCTATCTCAAACATGCCCAGGTAGCTCATGACATTGGCCTGACGCACGTTGCTGGTGTTAGGGTTCATGAGATCCACCACGTGCATCTGGCCAGTCTGTGACACTACAATGCTGGTCGTGAGCATGCGCGGGTGCATGCGCACGTATGCGGCGCCGGCCGGGAACGGAATGGCAGGCATGGACGACATGGTCCGGATGTTGAAGACGTTGAGGAAGGGATCCAGCATGTACTTCTGGCCCTGGCGCAGCGAGTAGCCACACGTAACAATAAAGTCGTGTTGAGCGTCCATGTCGTTGATCATGGCCGTATGGGCATTCCATGTCTTGACAAGGGCAAAGGTGACGGGATCCAAGAGATCGACGGCTCCGTTTTCTGTGGCCGCGCAAATGTAGCGTCCACGCCTCATGATGGAGTACTGACGCTCCGTTGGGACCTGCTTGACGACTTCTCCTTTAGCGACGTCGATAACAAGCATGGTTTTTTGGAGACCGGCAACAAGGATCTCGGCCGTGCCCTTGGAAGTGAAGCTCATGCATCTGAGCTGCTTCATCTCCTCGTGCCTGGACAACTGTTAGCACCGCTGTGGTCTGACTCTCAGGGACTGCACCCAAGGTAGGAAGTAGTATGCGCACTTGAGATGCCAGATCGGGGGGCCTCCCCTCTGCGCCATGTGCACATCGGTGGTTCCCAGCACCAGCACGCCCTTGCTGTTGACAAGAATCTGCCGCACCGGGCCCTCTGACGCGTAGTGCGCCTTGAACGACGTGTATCGCTGCAAGTCGTTGCCGGCGAAGGAAGTGACTCGACCCTGGATAGACCCGAGTTAGCAAGACATGCTGGATACCTGCGTGCGCCGGCGGGACATTGGGATCGTACGAATTCATTGCCGGCCCAGAGAAGTGCCTGGATGGTATCGAAGGCCATCGTCGTGACTCGAGTCGGGAGGGCGTGGACAGCCGGTGGCGGGAGCTGAACCCGGGCAACCTGCAATGGCAGACAAATTAGCATCAAGCTGGGCCATGTTGATGCATCACAGAATGCGAAAGCCGGGGGTAACGAATGGCAGGGCATTTACCTCGTCCCATCCTTCCATTGTGGCGATTGTTGGGCCTCCCCGGTATCAAAGCCCGTTGAGAGGGAAGCAATGATACCGCAAGCCCTGGAGAGGCTCCGCGGGAGTCGAGGCGAAGAATGCGGGCGCAAGTTCGAGCAGGTGAAGTTGTCTCGCCGGTACAGCGAGGCGGAGGACGCGACTTGGGCGGTCGTTGGAGGGGCAGTGAGGTCACTTTGCGTTATCCGAGATATATCCGTAAGCGCAGTCTTGCGTAGGTAGGTAGCTCGGTGTCTGTAGAGACGGTGATGCTCAAGATATTGAAATTAATACTGAGAATATCGCGAATACCAAAATGACTGCGTAGACCGATGAAGAGCGAAGAAGTGTGAATTTTCATGTCTGGGGGCTTTGATGGATATTTATTTGTTTACAGCTCCGGCAACCATGTGGCTTGCCTTGTTTACTTTGCCTCAGCCTACTTCGTCGTAGGCCAGACTTCTATCTACACTTTTCGCTACAACACCATACTAGGCGACATCAGTGTTAGAAATTGGATTTACGCCGCCGCCGCGAAGTTCAAATTTTGGGCGTTTGCCATGACAACGGAGCGCCTCCGAAAGTCAATAAGCTGCCAATGGACATGTATGTTTACTATGGCTTCAGGATCTCCTCACGATTGCATCATACAAAGACTGTTATCTTGCATGTAAACAAGGGAAACGTGGTGGTAACGATGGCAATAGACACAAACGTGGCTGAAATATCGAAGCTGCAGAAAACCTTACGCAAAGCGGCAATGGAGCTGGAAAGGAGCGGAAGGACAAGTGGTGAGGAGGAATCTTGATGATGGCCTAGACGCATGTGCACTCGATAACCTATAAGCAACTCTTTTTTATTTCATTTCTAGGGACCTGATATATGGTAAAGTTGACGGCATGTGCGCCTTTCGGGTTTCCTGGCAGCCGGGCCATTTTCTCGCCCGTTGGCTCTACCTCGACCTTCCACTTGGTCGTCGTAAGTTCTCCCACCTCGTCCCAGAGGCGCTGGAAGCTCTCCTGCGTATGTAGGCAGGGTGAAGAATCGCTCGTGTCAACCTCGTGATTGCTGGTGACGCCCACATGTCGGCCGTATATAAAAGCATTGCGTATTCCTGGCTGCAGGAAGCGGACCAGCCGCTTTCCAATGCACAGCTGCTGTCTCCAGCTGAACAGGTGGAAGAAGCTCGCGGCATGAATGATGCTGACGCGGCCGTCGAGCTCCTCCAAGCTCAAGTCGTCGGGATCCGCCACGTCTCCAACTGTGAAATGAGCGCCCAGAACATCTCTGTCTCGGAAGAGGTCATAGCCCGACGAGATGAATTGGGAACTAGAGTCGAGTCCAAACAGTCGTGACCCGTCAACGCCGTCAGCTCGGAATTGTCGAAGGACCTGACCGAGTCCACAGCCCAGATCCAGGAGGGCGTCCCTGGATTGCGACAACCTGAGGCGGAAGAGAGCCTGCTGATAGCGGGAGTCGTTGGTGTCGTTCAGGGTGAGGAACTTCCATCGGCCAATAAAGGGCATTCTTGAACTTGTCCAAGCTGCCTCTCGCTATGCAAATCCATCGAGTCAGCAGGTCAAGGCCGGCCACGCGCGCAAGCAGATGGGACCAACTTACAATCCTCATGAGGTGAGGCTCCAGCTCATCGGCCGGGATGTTGCTATAGCGCATGAGCAGGTCCCGGATCGGCGCTATATCAGCGGGAAGATTAGGCATAAAGGCCCATCGTTGCAGCTCCAAGATGTCCATGCGATAAGACGACGGACGGCGTCTTCAACAACAGGAGGTGAAGATAGAGTGCAGCCGCAAGCCGCCGCTGGATGCGAGAAAGACCAGATGATCACCGATGTGCAGAAGGCGTTGCTCCGTGTTCGCGCTGATGTTTCGTCTCCCTGTATGAGCAGCTCAGCACGCGACTAGGGATCCATCTAGCGGGATTGCAGTCAAAGGCGCAGCATCAGCAGACGATCCATGGTGACGGGCTCCCTTTGTAAGAGGTGTTGAGCGCGCGCTCCCTTTGTTCAAGTACCCTCGTGGTCGGGAGGAATGCGCAAGTATCAGCCGATGGTTGATGCTCGCCGTGAGTGTCAATGCAAGGGCACGGCAAACAGGGCGGCCAGACAGACGGCGGACATGACGGCCACGGCCAAGGTCGATGAGCTGGCAAAGGCTTGGGATTGCATCCGAGGCACTTGGTGCTCCATTGGCGCCGGCCGAGAGGAACTTGAGAGCAGGGCGAAGCGCTACCGGATTGGCAAGGCCGGGTATGCAGAGGCCAGGCCAATCACGCCTTGGCAGGCAAAGCTTAGCAGGGAGTTACAGGGAGTTAAAAAAAAAAAAATAGGAGGCAGATGCCTGTCCAGTAATAATGAAGTGCAGTTTGGAATCTCAGATGCCTGTCCGCTCACGCAGATTGACCCTCTTTTTGGCTGCCGACCGCGGGAAAGTTGCATGATAAAGGGACGGCTGACTCAGGCTGAGGAAGCCGAGCATCTACCGATCGCGCTATGTCGCAGCTTGTCGCAGCTGAGGTGCTGACGGCTTACCTAATTGCGCGTTAGCTCCCGGATTTTCCGTAGTTGCGTTGCCAAAACGTGCCAAGCTTGCCAAGGTTGAGGGCTAGCACTGAAGCGCTCTAGCGCCGCTGAAGTACTGATGATAGCGATAGATGACTCATCAAGCGCCGCAGCTCGCGCCACAACCAGGTTGAGCCGGAGTTTGCCCGCCCTGGCGCTCGGAGAAAATTCTTTTCCCTCCTCCTTGTCCCTCTCTCTGCGTAATCGAACGCTCGAAAAAGGCACACCAACATCCCGTCGCCTATTACGCGGCGACGAGTTATTCCTTTCCGTTCAAACGGCCCAGTCTCGCAATTACCATGCTCCGTCTTCCATCGCGATAGAAGCCTGTAAGTCAGCGATCCGCCTCGCCTGGAGCAGTCGGACAGGCAACCCCAGACAACTCGGACAATAGAATCGTCCACCGTGACAATTGCTGACAATGGCTTCAGACCTGCGTCTCCAGATTGCATCGGCGCCAGCTCGCCTCCAGCAATCGCGTGACAAACCGCGTCTGACCTGACTGTTTCCCATCCACGCCTCTGTGTGTAGATTCTCACGGCGTGTCACTACCGCTCAACTGTTTTCATCTTCTCCTCTTGCGGGCGTGAGACAGCTCAAAGAGCGTCGTTGACAGTCCTCGCCGGCCTCGTCTGAGTCGTCTCCCAGCAACTATGGGTCCTGGGCGTGAGGGCGAGCCGGAAGAGGCCAACAACATGTCGTATCCTTCGCCCGGCGCGGAGGGCCTTGACGCCGGCCCGTTCTACCACACAGGCGCTCGCGATGACACGCATGAGCATCACGAGCCTGAGGACCACCAGCAACAGCAGCAGCAGCAGCAGCAGCATGACCAGCATGACCCGACTCAGGTCCACGCGCAGCAGGAGCAGGACCATGGCCAAATCCCCACTCACGAACCGTCTTCTCCCCAGCAGCACCACATGTCCAGGCCCCCCAACCTCGAGGAGCTTCAGCTGGCCGCCCAGCTCGGACAGGGCTTGGCAGGGACGTCTCTTCTTCCGTCCACCGACCCCGGCATGAACGTGGATGATCCGAACATGCGTAGCATCATGCCTCATCCCGAGCCAGACCAGCATCAGCCGCCATCGTATGTTCACGAGGCCCCAGCTTCTGAGCATATGGTGCAGCATGCGCTTCCGGTTGCCGTTGGGCCCCCAATGCCGCCGCAGTATTCCATGGGAGAGGCCATTCCACCTAGGAAGAGGTCCAAGGTATCTCGTGCATGTGATGAGTGCCGGAGGAAGAAGATCAAGTGTGACGCCCAATCGGATACTGGCGACAGCCCATGTTCCAGCTGTGCCCGGTCTTCCATGCGCTGCCTGTTCAGCCGCGTTCCTCAGAAGCGCGGCCCAAGCAAGGGGTATGTTATTATGAACAGAGATGCAAAATCACCCCTTTATGGACTAGGCTAACGTTGGAGACAGGTATATCAAAGAGCTGGCGGACAGGATTCATAGTATCGAGAACAAGCTAGAGTCCGAAGGTAGCCTTACCCAAGACGAGATTGACCGACTGTTGACGCCAGGAAACCATCGCGCTTACAACGGCTTAGCCCCCTCTGAGGAGCCGGGCCGGAAGAGGCCGTTTTCCAGCATCTCGGCGGGCGACTACAGCTCACCTGCGCCTCCGCGACAGGCGCCATGGGGACCAGAGCCACGGCCAATCCTGCCTGCACCCGCGGCTTCGGACAGCTTCTCGGGGACTGCGTACACTAACAGTTCATTGGCTCCTCAGCCTTCAGCGATCAAGGCGGACAGCGCGCCGCCAAAGCCCCCCGTGGCATCCATGGACTCGCAGGTTGTAGAAGCCGAGGAGGTACCGGACTTTGACGAGGAGTGTTTACATGAGTGCGTATTCCCTTGCCTCCCCCCCCTTACAATTGGAGCCGGAGCTAACGGGCCTCACCACAGCTACCTTGCTCATGTCCAGGCTATATATCCCATACTCCCTAGCAGCAAGGCAAGGATTCAATCCCTGCTATCACAATGCCCGTCCACTGTAAGGACGGCCTTCATCACGGCACTTCAGGCAATTGGACAGTCTTCGGGTGACACACAAGCTGCGAGCTCCCTTCTCCATGAGTGGGAGAGCAGTGAGGCACCTCACCCACGCGCCGTCGATATTGTCCACGCTCAGACTCTCCTTCTGCTGATAATTGATGCGGATTGGCGAGCATCGTCTCAGCTCCCGTTTCTCTTGGGCAGAGCGGTGGCGCTTGCGAATACAATGAAGCTGTGGAAGTTTACCCCTATCGAGTCTGCATCCGAAACAGACTCTGACGACCAGCTGTGCGTGCGGATTTGGTGGTCGCTTGTTCTAATGGACCGCTGGCACGCCGCAGGAACAGGGAAGCCATCTCAGATTCCGGACAGCAGCGTTGTCGCGCCGGCTGGCTTGGAGAACACCTTGGGCGAGGTGTGCTACTACTTGATCCGTAAGTTGAGGAATCAAGTCCGATAATATGATTAATGAACTAACATGAGTTTTCGCAGGCCTGTCGAAGCTGCTGAATAGGACTGCCTTCGTCATCTCCACACTGCAGCCGGGCTCTTCTACCGCCGAGCCAGCCATGGCCGCCATTCTCGCCGACTACATCGAGAACTACCGGGAAGATCTTCCCGGCCACATCGAGGCCGCATCTTACCCATTGGTGCACCTTGCTTACTGGCACTGCAAGCTTCTGGTCACACTGTTAACGCCAGGGGCAACGCCGACGGAGACACTGTGGCCGACGTCTGAGCTGGCCACTCTGCTGCTAGCAAACGCACACCTCAGGAGCCCCTTTACCAACCATTTCGTGTCACTGGTGACCATGTCGCTGTCGAAGCTCTCTAAGATGGACAGTTCTCGAGAAGGCGCCGTCCGGCTGATGAAGGAGATCCTGGAGAAGCCCAGCGGAGGCCACTGGGACAGCGTGAGGGAGAAGCTGACCGAACAGCTGCGGCCGACGTCGTCGGTGGAGGCTACGGCGAGCCAGGGGCTGCAGCACCTGGCTGATCTGGCGACGGCACACGAGGGCATTGCGCCTGGCTCAGACGATATCACGTTTGGACCTACGCTCGCGTCGGGCTATCTGGACGTTGCTTGAAAGGAGGGCTGCCCGATAGTTGATGAGAATGTCGACATCCTTTTGCTTGAATTGGTGCACGGTTGAGTTTCCAAGCTGTTGAGCATGTACAATTACCACCCTTCTGTCTCTTTACTCTTTACCCTTTTTTTTCCCTTTGGCCATCCTATTCTTGTGTATGAATTGAAGATAGGACGACGTGACTTTACGAGGGGTCTTCCGATGACGGACTGCGGCGGTGTTGGCTACATCGTCAAGGGGCGTCTTGCGGATGGCGTCACACATACCACCTACCCTCGGGGTGTGCTAGGCTTACTAGGTAAAACGCACAATGTATTGTAAACGAACCCTGACGTTGATCGGTGAGTGAAGGTGTCCCGTGACGGGCAAGGCTGAGCACCGCCCAGCTGGACGGAGCGGTTCTTGCATACGTAGAGAGGCACAGTGGTCGGAATGATTACCTGCGCTTCGTCACAAGCTCACGCTGCCACATGTCACGGACGCATATGCAGATTCCATTCCCCCGATAGATACCACGTGCTTGCTATTAATAGCCCACGACAACAACACACACCGAATGGGGCACCCAACAGCGAAACAAGTACTCATTACCGCCCCCGGAATCCTGTTCGGTCTTGTCAACCACAGAAGAACAAGTAGTAATACTAGTACTAGTACTCTGTATATCTCGGTTCACATTAACATACTCGGAAGATGCAGGAAAGAAGAAAAGCACAGATGGCTTGCACGCACTCGTCACCCTCTCCACTCCCCCGAACCGCTCCATACTACTACTACTTACTACTTACTACATACAATATCCAGCCCCGATCCCACAACTTCTTCAATCTTGCCAACAAGACCGAACCCAATATCCGCATGTTCACAGAACGTACTCTGTTTCAATTTCAAAAACTCGTCATTCCTCCCAAAGAAGTGGATCGGTCATTCACAGCAAAAAGTGACACAAATGATGGATGGCCCCCCACGCCGTTTTTACTACGAGGTACATGGTACGTAAACGCTGTTTCTGACCGTTAGGTAGACGATCTTGTTCCATCGATCTTTGGAGCGTCATTTGGCGGTTTTGGTTCGTGGTGTGAAGACGAGACACCGCTCGTTCCGGAGACAGTCCCGTCTATCTTGGGGACCTTACCTATAGAGACACCGGCAAAGCTGCACGGATACCTACCTATGGAGTAGCTCTATATCCTTTGTAAAGTAGGTACCAAGATGGATGGTTCAAAGGTGATAGCATATCCACTATTGCCACTACTATCCGCTTGCTCCTCCAGTTCATCCATCACAATCACGAGTCCAATCCAATCCACACCACACCCTTCCAGCATCCACTCGGCACTCCTCTACTGTCCCAGGAATACGTAACCCGTTACATTACGTCAGAACGTCGTAGCAAGATAGCCCTTAATTAAGAAGACGGAGAGGCAAGAGACAAAAAGAGGGCTCTGAAGACATCCCTCACTTTCATATTCCATTTCATATCCCGCAAGGCACTCCGTAGGTGAGATAGGTGTATGTGCGCATCATCCGCCAAGAGCAAGTGGATATTGAACAAAAAAATCTGTTCAGCCACAACATGTCCCATCTGTCAAATCACAAGCTGCAGCTACTTTACCTTATCCATCTTTCTCTTTTCCCACACGTTTTCTCCCTCCACTCTAACTAAGTTACAGTAAGTTGCCGGCTCTTAATCCCACTGTCCTCACATACCGTACGGATACTCGTGAACCGTCAACTTCCGTCACCAAATCAAACCCACACGGCGTATCAGTACTACTTTCTCCCCGCGACCTCCAGCCAAGACCCAAGCCCAAGTCTATCTCCCCGTCGCCTCATCATACATACTGTACCAACACTGTCCCCGTTCCTGACTACGACCAGCAAAGTTTAGCCCAAAGCCATCAAATTTTAGCAAAAGGCACAAATCAAGAAAAAACAATGAAGCCAGAAAGCCCCAAAAATTGTCTCCAACGAGAACTTTCGGTGTGTGTCGCTCTCTGGATAACCACATTGACACCCGCCTGTAAATCATTTGATGTTAGATGCAGCCCGTGAAGTTTCAACGGCCAACTGTTGGACCCTAGCCATGCTCCGACCGCTCTCACGTCGATGCGCAGCAACGGGCCCAAGGCGAAATAAAGGTGTTTCTAATTCCAGGCTTGCGCGTCAAATAGAGGCTCCATGTTTCGTGGGTAGTGTGTTGGACAGGGTGTCTGTCCCTCTGACAAGTGGCGCGTCTGTGCTGCGCCTTGCGACGAACAGTCCAAGCACGTCCAGTCTGAAAGATCAAGGTCACCGCTTCTATTGCCTGCCAGTGTCTATATATACTAAAACCAAAAGGTGTATTTCTAAACAACTTTTCTTCAAAAAAAAAGAGGGAGTCAACGAAACAAAAAGACAAGACAAGCAGGATAAAGTCGTCTCTATCAAGAAACAACAGTCTATCTGTCCCACAAGCTGCTCTATGTGCACGAATCTTCAACATAGCCTCTCGAAAATAAACAGCAAGTGACAAGAAACAGGTCGATAACACAAATATACCGTCGTGTCCTCATAAAGCCAGGCAACCCATTGGAGCGCCTAAGCCGGAGAGAAAAGGATCCAAAATTCGAAACCGGGAACCACCCAACAAACGCAGATCCGGCGTCATCGGGCAGGGAAAAGCACCAAACAAGCCCAGCGACGCACCGACGAGAACCCCAGACACCGAAACCATGTTCCCACCCTTCATTGCCCGCGTTTCCCCTCCAAAGTTGCCCCTGTCCCCACCCCACAAAATTGTTCCCCCGTGCCCCGTTGTATGATGTCTAGAGACGAGAACAAAAACCAAAAAGAAGAGTAAAAACGTGGCCGCTTGTTTCCCAGCCTGCAAGACCGGTGTTTCAGCGAAATCAGCGAAATAAAATGTAGAGGACGAGAGGCTGGCCCGAGTTGAGTCGTGGGCTGTTTCGGAACAGCTTGTTGCCAGTCATCCCGGATCCCGATAGAAGCGAAAGTAGAGAAATGTAAAGTTCGTAAAAGCGTCGCTCAAGCACGATAGCCGACTGAATGAATCAGGTGCGCCTCCCAGACCAACGGAATGCTCGCCGCCCCTCCTGTTTTTTTTCTCTTGTTGTGTAGTGTGTAGTGGGTTTCCTAACGCCTTTGTCGTGAATGCGTCCAAGATGCCAACCACCATTGGGGTATACCGTACGCCGTGTAATGTGATGTGATGATAAAAGGGAATAGATTTGAAAAAGGGGAAAAATAGAAAAGAGATAAAATAGGGCCAGATGAAGGAAATCTGGAAAGAATGAAGAAAAAAAGGGGTTCGATAAATGGTTGAAAACGTCATCCCATTTACCAGTAATTCAACGAAAGGGCGTCGCCGTGGTCGTCAACCGCCGCCGCCGAGTTTTCGCTGTAGCCGGGGATGTAGAAGGCGGGGTCGTCTTCGACGGCGGAAACGCTGGCGCTGAGGGCCTGGCTGTCCGTCTTGTCAAAGTAGCTAAAGTCGAGGCCGCTGAAGTCGACGTTTGCTTGTCGGAGATAGCTGCCGCTGGCGGCAAATCCTTCCATCTCCCGGTCGCCGCCGGGCATAAAGTCCTCAATCTCGGACGTCTCTCCGGACGTGGACCGCGTGCCGGCCAGGGCGGGCAGCTGCTCCGAGCCGCTGCCGAAATCGAAGTTGCCGGTAAAGTGCGTGCCGGTCTGGCTGTAGCTGGAGGGGGTAAAGGTGCCGTCGTTGGACTCGCCCAGCCCCAGCTGGTTCCAGTCGACCGACTGCGCCAGGCTCGCGCTGAGCACGTCGGTGTCGGGGACGGTGAACATCTCGACGCTGGCGCTGGCGGGATAGGCCGAGTAGTTGGAGATGCCCGACAGGTTGAGCGGCGGCAGGTTGCGGTGCAGCTGGCCAAAGGGCGAGGCGGACATGAGGGGCGACGTGGCCTCGGACTTGACCTGGCGCTGCTCGTAGCTGAGGAAGTCGCGCTGCATGGCGGCGTGGGCCTCGCTCTGGGACTGATACAGCAGGTTGTCGGTGCTGCTGCCGAGGCTTCCGGCGCTGGTGACGGAGTTGCCCCTGTTGAGCTGATAGGGGCCACAGCGCTGGGCGGCACGGTTGTGCTTGGCCGGCTTGTGATGGCCGTGCTGGTCAAAGGTCATGCCAATGTCGGACGAGTGAATCGTGTTGGCCCGCCGCCGCTTGGGCACAGGTCGAGGAGGAGCCGCCTTGGGCTGTCCGCTGTCCGAGTCGGACTCGGGCACAGGCTGCAGGGCCGCCTCCTTCTTGCCGGCACAGGTGCATGGGGCGCCGTGGTTGCAGCAGCACGTCTCTGTCGGCCAAGACGGATTAGAACCCGGAGCCTGCGACGGTCGTATCCAGGAGCTTCTGTGGTACTGGTACTCACCAAGGTGTCCTTCGACGGGCGGCTGCAGGTGGATGCACTTGCTGGTCTTCTCGCCGCAGTCGCACTTGATGTGAGCGGACCGGGACTTGCGCATGGAGCGACAGTGCGCACATTGCGAGACGGGACGGCCCTTCTTGTTGATGTGCTGCAGAGGCCGGGCTGCGAGAGTGGAAGCGTCACGTTAGCAATTGGGCTGTCTGAAAGCAACCTGCGAGGTTGTTCCCCTTCTGGCTCCATTGTGTTTCGTTTCGTCATGGCTGCAAAAGCCAGAAGAAACCTTGTACCCCAAAAAGGCGAAAAAAAAAGCCAATTCAAGCCCCAAGCCAGCAGGGTGCTTGTTCTTTTGGAGTTGGAGGTATGGAGGGGGGGCCCGCGGGGGGGAACAAGAGCCGTCTGGCCCCAAGCTTGTAAGCGACTTGAACTTACTCGAATGCTGGCAGTTGCTGACGCGGTGACCACGCACGCAGGCGTCGCAGGCAAACTTCTCGCCGTCAATCAACATCATGAAGCCTGCAGGAGGAGCAATGCAGAGCGGTGCAGAGGCGAGGACAGCGGGCGGGCGGTTGGCGGTTGCGGACGCAGCGGCGATGGGATGGATAGAAGAAGGACGAAGTTTCGCGGCTGGCGCTGGTCGGGTTGGTCGTTTGGTTCGGCTCTGGATCGGCGGCTCGGGGGCACGGCGAAAAGGGCCCTTGCCAGCCTTGGATTGGCCCGGGACTCACTGGCAGCCGGCAGCAGCCTGTACTGAGCAGCGCAGAGCAGTGCAGAGCAGTGCAGAGCAGAGCAGCCAGAACAGGGCCGATGCAATTTTGTGTGTGCGTCTGGCGTGCGTGCGTCTGCGCTATTCCGCCGAACCGGGGGGGTGGCTGTAGTGGGCTGGAGTGGGCTGTAGCGGCCGATATACAGTGGGCGAGCGCCGGTGGAGCGTGGAGCGTGGA